CGGGCGGCGGTGCACAGCCGCCGATGCGGCAGCGCTATGCACGACCGCCATCAGGCGGCGCTATGCACGACCGCTGTCAGGCGGCGCTCCGCTGCGGCCGGTCCGAGGCTTCCACTGCCGACAGTCGGTCCGCTTCAAGCCGCATCACCAGCCGTCTATTTGCCGGCGGTCATCCATCCACTGCCAAGTGCCGGCCATCTGTCTAATGCCGGCCATCTGTTTATCGCCGGCCATCTGTCCATTGCCACCTGGTGTAGTGTCGGGCCTGCACCACTGCCTGGTGGTCTGCTGCTTGCATTGGACCCTGCTCGCTGTGCCAGACCTTATGTCAGATAGTACCTGCCTCATCTCAGAGGTCACAAAGGCAGCTGCTATGTGCTTGGGTGGGTTCGGCTGGCCCCTGGTGACTGGGTTCTGTGCTGTAGCACACCCCAGCCCTACTTGTGTGGTATACTATACCCCATTACCCACCCTTTATAAAACCAAGCTACCTAGTTGAAGCCTTACATACACCCTACAACATGTTTTACACATACTATACACCATACCCACTTCAACCGGGTCCGGCCGAAAGGCTCCCCTGGGAAAACGAGGGGAGTCCGGCCGAACGACTCCCCTGGGAAAACCAGGTGAGTCCGGCCGAACGACTCTGCCGAGGTAACCGGGTGAGTCCAGCCGAGCCCGGGTGAACGGTACCTTCGGCAAATGGCGGTGTCCCGGCTGACCGACTTGATCGGGGTAACTCCGGGACCTCAAGTGGCAGGCCTCCTGCAGTTTGACTCCGCACCTCACGGTCGGCGGGGGTAAATTTTGGTGCGCAATGTATGTTTCTATCTCGCTCTCGCTCCCCCCATCTTCCCCCATGAGGTGTGCGCAGCGTGGCGGCTGTGACGGTGCATGCACGCGGCGACGAGCCTGTTCGCTCAGGCCGCTCCGCTGTGGCTGGGCAGATGGGCGGCCACCGTCCGCGCTCGTTCCGACTAACCGATGTGTGCGCTGCTCAGCGCCCCTCCAGGCCGGAAGTGACCGTGAGGAAGACGGTGCGAATCTCGCGGCGATGGCGACGGATCATGGCACGCACCGCAGGACGCTCGGGCCCGGAAGGAACAAGGCGGATATGTCGGGGGGCAGGCGTTGTCTAGCACGGCGAGCGAAGTCCTCGGATTTCGCTGGCGCCCGGGGCACCTCCTCTCGTGGGAGGCTTGGCTGCTGCTTCGGGCGGGCTGCGTGCACGGCTAGCGTTGGTACGTATGCTGGCGCCTGGGTCGCCAATCTTCGTCTTCCTCTTCCCCGCTGGAGGAGGCGGCAGGCTCGCGCATGGGCCCTCGTCCGAGGACCACGATGCTTTGCCGCCGTGGATCGGAGGTGCGACGTACGGACGCACGCCGAGCACGTCACTTTCGGTGTGCAGATTGCGCGCAATCAATCATGTCAACCCCCGTAGGACCAACCACTTACCCTCCGTTCGGGAGAAATGAAGATGTTCGCCCTTGGGCACCGTACGGGGTGTCCGTGCGGTCGTCAACGCTCTTAGCATGGTCAGTTTGCCTCGCGAACCGCGATGGTACGGGTGTGATATCCAGCCACATTTCTCCGAGGCCGGTGCTCGAACCTGGCTCCATAAGGCACCCAACTCCCTCGCCAACCTCCACGGGGCTCGACATATCCCTTCCGGGCCGTCCGCTCGCGCCGCGCCCCCGTCAGTCCTCCGCTCAGATCGCACCCAACGCCCCAGCAGCCCGCCGGCGTGCTGAGAGGTGCCCGGACGGCCAGCGCGTCCGAGCACACCAGCTGGGAGCGGTGGCGGCCAGGGTCCAGACTCGAGGCTCGAGATTGACGCCCTGGCCGCCCGCCCGCCCGCCCTTCACCCGGGGGTTAATCAAACTCCTCTCGCAGAGCACATCCCGCCTCCCGACGCGATCGACCCGAGCGGGGCCCACAGGTGTCCACAGGGCGGCGCCGCGCGCACGACCCGACCCGGCCCCTCGTCACCTCCTTCTCCGTCCTGTGGGATCAGGTACGGGCGCGCGAGCTATAGGTCGCCGCCGCCGCCGCCTGCGGGCGGGCGGGCGGAATATATACGCACACGAAGTGCAACGGTGCGACGGACGACGTCTATAGCGCCCGCGGACGCGAGCGTTGTGGCCTCTTGGTTCCGGTTGGCGCGCCGTGTGGTTGCAAGCGGGCGGGCTGGTGCAGGCGGAAGGGATAGATCTAAGGTGTCCCCGGCGCTAGCTCTGCGCCGGAGTCGTACTTCTGTCCACTGTCGGGTTCGGAGTGGCGAGAACGGGGGGCCTGTGCACATCAGCCGTGCACCCTGAGCGGGCTCGGCACCGAACTCAGATTCGAAACGCAAGCATGGCGCGCGGCGGACGGAGTACTTAGCCTGCACTTAGGCAGGACGGTTTGGACGGATGGTGTCGCGTGGCGTGGCGCGTGGCGTCGCAGGCCCGCCCGGGCCGCGATGGACATTCCGGGTCGTGTCGGACGCAGGAGCGAGGCCACCGCGCGCGGTGAGCGGAACGCCCGCCCGCGCGCTCGCGCTCGCCCCGCCCATCCCGCCGGGTGTGACCTGCCCAGGTGACCGCAGTCGGCGGCGGATGGCGGGCGCAGGCGCGTCCGCCGTCGTCACCCGGGTGTGCGCGGAGGACGCTTCTCGCATGGACGTTGTAAGCTTGCTGCGACACCTGCTCTGCTCCGCGCGCGCAGATCCGCCGCGCGAAGCCCGCGGGGATGCGCTCGACCCGCCCGTGGTGTCGCGCTCGTCCGCGCGTGCCGCCATGGCGACCGCGACTCCGAATCCGCATGCCAAACAAGCGTGGGGTGCGCCGCCGGGTCTGGAAGCGGGCTGGGGTGGAGATAATCGCCCGCAGCGCGCGCCGCCCCGCGGGCTCGCCGCGCTGGGTCTCGGGGCGCGCACGGAAGCGGGTGGCCACCGCGGGGTGGACGTTCTCGGGCACGCCGCAGATCGAAGTACGGTGTCTTTTTTTCTTTTTCCAGGTTCATGTCGCAGCTCCGTGCCCGACGACGCCGCCGCCGCGAGTGTCAGTTAGGCGCTCGGTCGAGCGCTTTGGCGCTGTCGCCCTGGATGATATGGGCCATGCACGGCGTCTCCGTCGCTGTTCTGTTTTTTTTTCTGCGAGCGGGCGAGCCTGAGGCCTAAAGTTCGGGAGCGCGATCATCGCTGGGCTAGCGCAGGCCCATTTTCGTACGTACGAAAAATGAGACAGAATTTGAGGCACGGCGCGATCGATTCACTCGTCCGACCGTCGTGTGCCAGGGCGCGAGGTTTCGGAGGGGTCTTGTGTGCTCCCGGCAGAGCAGGCCAGTCGATGGACGTTGCGCAGCTCCGGATCTTGATGCACGGCGTGTTTTCGAGCTTACTTGGCTCCTGCACGGCCCGCCCGGCGCGTCACGGCGGCGGCGGCGACGACGGCCTGGTAAGCATCCTCTCTCCGCCCCGCCGTCCCGCAGATGCCCATCGGTCTCCCAGAACGACCCTGCGCGCGGTGATCAGCTCCGGCGCCCGCGGACGCGTCCAGGCCGCGCGCACCACGGGAATGCGAACGAGGGCCGGGCCCGACGGGTCCGCGGCGGCTCCCCGCGTAAGTGCTCTGCTCCGCGGGACCCGTGCGGACAACGTCGAGCACTTAATAATAAGGAGTCGAGCCGTCGAGTTGGCAACCGGCCACGCCGCCGCGCTCGAGCCAAGCTCGCCGTTCAGGAGGATTCGGGCCTTCAACTTTCAAGCTTCAGGTCCGGCCTGCGTCGGACGCGCACCTGATACGCCCACGCTCCGACTCGGGGCCCGGGGGCGGCGCGAGGCTGCAGGCACGTATGCGTGTGTCTGCGCTTTGCGGCCCAGGGCGGCGCTCGCGCTCGCGCCCGGGCACGGCAGCAAGGCAGTCCCTCCCCTCCCCGCGCCTGTAGCGCGGTGCTGGTCCGAGATCGGAGGGTGTCCCGGGGCTCGCGCCACCTTGTTTCGCGTGGTCCTCGTGCGGTGGGGGTGCAGGCGCGCGGGGAGGTGCGCAGGCACGCATGGCACTGTATATGTATGATGCACATATCAGCGCTGTCCATACGTAGGCGCGGCGTGTGGGCAAGCAATATATACATAAAGGCTGCACACGCACATCTCGCCGCCCGAGGCTGAGCAGAGGGGTTGCACCTATTACGTGCGCCGTCAAGTCGACTGTCGGACGACTCGGACCTCGCACGCGCTGCGTGCCTCAGGCCTCAGGCCTCGGGCCTCGGTGTTCAGCCACAAGCTCCGAGCGCGCGGGGATCCCGAGCGCGCTGCCATCGACCGGGCGACGTCGACGTCGAACACCCAGGGCGGCCCCCCCGCCAACCTCCCGGCGCGGGCTTGACGGGCGGCGAAGGCGAAGCGGGTGTTCGAACGTTCAGACAGCCTCGGCCTCGAGGGCGACGGTGGCGGCGTTTGAATGGACCAGTGGGCGGCGCGTGTAGCCACCAGGCTCGCTGCTCGGACGCGGAGCGTCTCCAGACGGGGCCACGCGACCTCCAAGCCCGCCCGTGCGTGGCGACTTCGGGGCGGGGCGGTACATGCTCGGTGGGCGGGCGGCACCTGCATGTGGGCCCGCGTGTTGCGCACGGAGATGGGGCCCCAACTCTGACGGATTGGACGGCGGCGTCCAACCCATGCACACCCACGGCCACCATCGGTGTGTCGAATATTGTGGGAGGGCGCTGGCGTGCGCACACAGTGACAGGCGAGATGGACGCGCGACGGCAGTCTCGGCCTTCGGGAGGAGAGCGCACCTTATCTCCAGACAGCGAACACAGGGTTCAACGTTCAACGTTCAACACGCCGACGGGAGAAGCGCGATCTGAATCAAATGCTAGTATCCCAAGGGAGGTTCTGGGCTGCCTGGCCCGGGATGGCACGGACATCTCGGAAAGCGTGTGTGCTCTCTTGGACGCGGGTGCATTCACTTTGGACACAGCGTGTCTACGACAGGGATGCGTATTGCGGCGACCTAAGCGCTAAGAACGGTGGAGATTGCGTGCGCGAGGATGCTGTTCAGTCGATGGGGACATGCGTTGTTAACGGAGATGTGAAACCAAGCGGGAATTTTCACTTACTTGTGCACCGTAAACAGGGGGTGGAGACTGTTCAGCCAGCTGGATCGATGGGAACGTTCGGATGAGTAATCGCATCAGGGCGGGGAGAGTGAGACATATAGCTCGCTGAGGCGAAATGGCCGCGACTCAGTAAACCTAACGGAATGACTCACAAATAACTCGAGACGGGTGCACAAGGCGCAGTCTGGGTGGTCTGGTTGGGCGTGCCATTCTGGTACGCGTCGCAGAATCCGGTGGAGTTGACGAAGCCCAAGGTCTTGGCATTGTCGAGCAGCGTGTTGAAAATCGGACGGGTGTCGAAGACCGTGACTTGGTCGAGGTCATGGTGCTTCTTCTGGAACGCCTTCACGCCTGCTTGAAGCTGCGCGTTATAGTCGGCCAGCGAGGAGGCAATGGTCTGCACCGCCGAACGGCCCTGCTCGATCAAGAGCGGGGCGCGGTTCGTCGGGGGAACTGTGAGGAAGAGGAAAGAACGAGCACCATCCTGGTACAGCTCCTCGACCTGGAAGACGCGCATTGCGGGCAATGACGTCGCACGTTAGGTCTGTGAAGAGTTGGGAAGCGTGATAGCGCAGACCTGCCCGAAGAGCCTATTCATCAGGGTCGCGTGGAACGAGGACTGGGTCACATTCGTCTGCGGCAGATGTGGCGGTTTCAGACGGAGGTTCATGTCCGTGCGGGACGGCATAGACACACCCACGAGTAAGAGTTGCCCTATCGAGATGCGGCGGATGAGCACGGCGCCAGGCAGGAAAGGAAAGCGAGGGGGCATTACCACGTCGTTGATGCCGATCCAGAAGGCAAACAGACTGTCTGAGCTCTGCCACTCGGCGCCCTCGGGCTTCGACGCCAAGATGTCGTGGAACTGCCCGACCTGGTCCACGATTGAGCTGGCGAGGGGTGCAGGGAAGCAGATGCGGAGCGCCGGACGCCGCAGGGCGTTCAAACCAAAGTTCAATGAGTTCTGCTCCGTGTGCGCGTGGTGTGGCGGACGTACAGGACGGTAGGCAAGTATGGGGCGACGAGCGCGGCGTCGATGGTCGCACCGCCGTATGCGAGGTTAAACACCTTGTTGTGGCATGGCCGCCCGGTTAGCTCCGTCCGGCTTCTAGCTCGCACAGCAAACCACAGCAAGCAGGGCCCTCACCTTCGTGTTTGTCACGTTGTACGTGCCACCTGATTGGCCAGGACGAAGGGCGCGTGTGGGTGTCAGGGGCTGGCTGGGCCAGATGGCGGGATGCTCACCCAGGAATTCCACCCAGTTCGGTCCATTGGAAGACGTCTAGTGGGACCCGATGGGCGTGAGAAACACGGCGAGAGAACAGCTCAGGGACAGCACCCACAAAGCCCGGGGTTGGCGAGTTCACGCCTGCCGAGATGTTGAAGCCGTCGGTGGTGTATGAGTCTCCGAACGTAAACAGGAACTTGGTTTCGCCCCAGGTAAGCTTTGCGGTGGCCGCAGACGCTGCCACGAGGACTATAGAAGCCTTCCAGAACATGGCGTTTCGAATGTGGCGCGGGACTAGTCTCGGGTGGCCTACGCTAGAAGCTAGAAGGAAAACGTGAGTATCTCTCTGAATCAGCTACAATCCTGCAAGTGTGTGAACACGTACTTTCGAGCGGGGTGTACGAGACGTAAATATCGCGCCCGCCTTGATCCTTATAGCTTGCTCACCGACAAGAGACTCCGATGAAAGGCCGAAGGCCGAAAGCCTTGTGCTTAATATTAGACCTGGGAAACAGATGCTGTAGTCTCAGAACAATGCCACTAGAAGTTCGGTAAGCTCGGAAGAAGGACGAGAGTCAGGGTTGAAATACGCACGTGCCCTGGGGCCCGCGCGGATGTCGCGGAGGCTATGCGTCTGCATCTGATGACTCTCGCTTCTGGTGCATGCCGACATCGGTGTGCATGGTCAGATACCAGACGCGGAACTATCTCGGGCAGTTGAAGACTCACCACCGCCTTCCTAACAGGTTAGAATGTTCCGTCATCCGGCAGTGACCACGCTAAATAGTATCATTTGGATCAGCTGTACAGATGCCGCTAATACTTCGTTCGATGGGACGAAGCCTGATACGTTGGTAGAGACTAATATAGCGGGCCTGGGGTGAACATGGTCGTTGCAGTTCAAGATCTTTGATCAAAGCGCCGGACTGGACTGTAGCGGACCCGTCCGGGCCGAAAACTTGAGCGCTAAAGCCCCACGCAACGCGGAGGGTGGGCAGCGGACGAAGCCAGGCTTTGGTCCTTTGGACATCCCTCACCATGATCTCGGTAGGCGTATGCACACACCTACTAGAGGCAATGCTCACGCAACCATCAGGCCTTCTTCATCTTCAACCAGAAGGGCGAGGTACGGTCTCCAATCCCCAACTGAGGACCATCCTTCTTACACCGCCCAGGTCCTCATTTCCCGCCTCTACCGCACAGACTTGAAGTAACGATTTCCACGCTTTCCTACCTTGCAATTTCAGCTCAAGCTTGTTGCCCTTACTCTAGGCGATCAATTGCCGATGTTTTTCGGATACAAGTCGTCTCAAACAGCGACGTTCGGTCCCCCATCATCACTCTAGGCTCTACCAGCTTCTTCCATGTGCGCATTAACAACCTCTATGTCGTCGCCGTTACGAAGTACGTTTTCCCGGACATCACATCCCCTCTCCTTCAACCTTACCATGCTCCCCGATAGATGCAATGCCAACGCCGCTCTCGTTTTTGAATTCTGCTACCGTTTCATTTCAATTGCCAAGGCGTACTTCGGGAAGGTGGACGAGGAGGCGGTCAAGAACAACTTTGTTCTTATCTACGAGCTCATTGATGGTGAGTCTTTGTCACGTTTCCGTTGAGACATCAGCTACAAGGCCTCCTCCCCCTTCTCTGCCTCCTAGAAATCATCGATTTCGGATACCCACAGAATAGCGAGGCGGATACCCTGAAGACCTACATCACCACCGAGAGTGTTGTGTCTGCAAACATTGCTGCGGTATGCCGCTTTTCATAATCATTTGACGTTCTCGCTCACGGCAGCGCAGGAAGAGTCGTCCAAGATTACAACGCAAGCGACTGGTGTTACGAGCTGGAGAAGAGGCGACGTCAAGTACAAGAAGAACGAAGCTTTCGTCGATGTTGTCGAGACAGTGAACCTGAGCATGAGCGCAAAGGGTAAGAGGCATTTGTTTATCTCATGCGTTAAGACTTGGCGTTCAACTGGTTCCAGGTACCGTCCTTCGTGCCGACGTTGACGGACATATCCTCATGCGTGCCTATCTGACTGGGACGCCGGAGTGCAAGTTCGGATTGAATGACAAGCTGGTCATCGACAAGAGCGAACGCGGTGGAGGAGGTGATGCGGTCGAGCTCGACGACTGTCGCTTCCACCAGTGCGTGCGGCTCGACGAGTTTGATTCCACGCGCACCATCTCCTTCGTTCCGCCCGACGGCGAGTTCGAGCTCATGAAGTACCGGTCAACGTCGAACGTCAAGCTCCCTCTCAGGGTCATCCCCACTGTGAACGAGATTGGCACATCCCAGGTTTCGTACGTGGTCACCGTCAAGACCAACTTCAACAACAAGCTGTCGGCGACGAACGTGGTCGTGAGGATACCAACACCCCTGAACACAACCACCGTCGACTGCAAGGTTGCTATTGGAAAGGCGAAGTACGTGCCTGCGGAGAATGTGGTAGTCTGGAAGTGAGCGGCAGCCTCTGTTGAGCTCGTCACGCGATTCGCTAACGGTATACTTCCTCACCCCAGGATCCCGCGTATACAAGGTGGACAAGAGGCGACGTTCACCGGTAATGCGGCCTTGACTAGTGTCACAAACCGACAAGTTTGGGCGCGCCCACCCATCGACGTCGATTTCCAGGTTTTGATGTTCACGGCGTCGGGGCTCATTGTGCGCTTCTTGAAAGTGTTCGAGAAGAGTAATTATCAAAGCGTGAAATGGGTCCGGTACCTGACCAAGGCGAGCGGCTCATACCAAGTCCGGGTGAGTCGAGGTGCTCTCCATCTGCGGTCGCGCCCATGCTAATCCTCCTCTCCAGTTCTGACCCGCTAGATACGTGGCGTGGTTGTAGTTTAGTGATACCGTTTACGTACTGTGCGTAGGACATTGATTGTGTACAACTAACTATTTGGTTTGTTTTCCTTCTGCTGCTGGCTGGTTACGCGAAGGCTACTAGGGGTCACAGTATAGCACACGTGAACATATCCCGACAGGTGTTTGAGTGGACGCGTCGGAAGCGCCGGGTTGTTGTGAGTGCGCATCTCTCCTCACTCAGCGCATATATTCACGCCTCACATCGCCAGACAGTTGGACACGCAGCCATAATACAAAATTGCCCTCGCTTTGATTGAGATCCTCTTCGCCGGCTCAAGCTGTTAGACGACATGATGGTTCTTACGGAAATCTCCATCTACTAGACAGTCGCGCATACTAGGAACCTAGTAAAATCAAAAGTACGCATATACAACTATTAGTACTTGAACTCGGCGAACTGGTGCACAGCTCCGCAGATGGAGCTGACTTCTGCGCGGACAGCGAGGAATGCGATCTACTACTCACCACACCTCCAAGCCCTCAGTCCGGCATTCTTTATGCAGAAAACAAGGACTACACCACCGCACGATCCCACTTCTACGAGAAGTTCGAGGATTTGAGCACACAGGACGGCCCGAGTGCACTGGGTGCGATCAAGTGCACGCCCCTGCTCAACTTGGTCCTTTCGTGTCACTTGGGGCGGACCTACCTTGTCGTCGATAGCCTGAAAACATCACATCGCTTCTGTGATCGAGCTTACGTCCATACATGCGCAGGTGTGCGATGCGGAGAGCATGCGCGCGATCGGACGAGCCCGCCAGAAGCGGAACTTTGCTAGCTATAGGGTACGGACGACCTCCTTGCACGCACGAGTGTCTTGGATGCCGAGGAACACCGCACAGCTCTCCTTGAGCACTCCGATTAGGACACACCTGTCAGGATTGGACGGCACTCTGCTCGAGCAGAACCTCAGTGGAGCCTCATTGTGTCGTCGAGATTGAGTACGTTGGGCAACAGGTCGGCCAAAGTCGACAAGCTCTGGACCTCAAGTACGTACTCTTCTTGATGTTCGAACTTTCACAAAGGATCCTCGATAAGGTCTTCCATGGCGTTCTTGACCAAGGACGTGGATGCTTGCTGATCTTCGAGGAGCCAGAGGCGGACGTGAGTAGCTTTTGCGATGTTACTGTGACTTCTCTCATATGCATTGCACAATGAACGTACGGTGCTGTTATTATACGCTCAAGCAAGTCGGCAAAGCCATGGACCCACCGTATGCCGTGGGTTTGGCTTGCTGTTTGACTTGAACACTGATATTCCGAGTGAACGCACTCTTACTAAGAAGAGAGAGGGAGGTGATGGCGTGTAAGGGTTCTGACGGGAGTCTTACGTTCTGAATAGCACATTATGCATTCTGCTGGATGCTGCAGACACCTTCTACTGATATCTACCTATTTGCTACCTGTATGTGAACGTGGCAGTACCCCAGGGTCGTTCTAAAGGCTTCAGGCGGATGGTAAAGCTGTTTGAAAGGCCCAGAGGCCGATATATTTATTGGGGATAGTTCATGGCAAAAATGGGCCATCGTTGTGTTCGTTGACCTGAATCACTTCGGGCACCCGCTGGGCCCTCAATCGTAGTCGATGACTGATAGAGTGAGGACAAAAGGCCTTTCGGAAGTCGCGGTTGGATGGTTCGACGAGTAGTTGGCAGGCACCTTGCGCAGGCGGGATCCAATGCGGACAGCAAGTTTGACATGGATGGAGATCGGACGTATTCATCGAGATAGCGCTGGAGAGGACAGCGGCGGGGTACACGGGCGCCTAGATTTCGCAATGTCAAATCGAACCAAACAAAGCGCGTCGGCCAGGGTGGTCACTGGTCACGGCATCGACCCCTCTCCACGGACGACCGCCATGCCTCCCTCTGCACGCAAGAGCAGCCTCGGCGCACGCAATGGTCCCAAGAAGTACGTGCCGTATCGCGCGGATGACTTTCAGCATGGCAAGAAGACCGGCATGGCCGTCGACTACGTCGAGCACACAGACGAATTCGAGCCCTTCGAAAAGGTCCTTGACCAGGCCGACGCGCGCACCCCCTTCCGCATCCATAACCCACGCAAGAGACGCGTCACCAAGACCCCGGTGGTTCAGCAGGAAGTGATTGACGATGACTCTGACTACGGCGAGCGGTCGATGGACCTGGACGAGAGTGCGTATTGCCACCCACTTGTGTCGTTCCCCTTACCCCCTGACGCGTTGCGTTAGGCACCCCTCGTGGTCCGTCCGCGTATTTCGCGCATACACGCATGAACTCCTTCAACTCCAGCGTTCCGCGCGTGGGCTCATCCTCCAGGCCCGTCAACCACTCGTCCGACGTCAACTACGATGATGTCCCCTCTCCACGCGCATCTCCGTCGTTCATGGCCGCGAAGCGGTCACAATCCAACATGAAGAACAGTCGAACCTCTATCCCCTCGCGCCTTTCTCAGTCTGTTGTTGCCGACTCGGAAGAGGATCCACAGGGTTCGGAAGAGGATCCACCGGGCTCGGAAGAGGGTCCAGAAGTTGCCGCGCCGGACTACGGCGATGATGGAGGGATGGCGTCGATGGAGTTGGAAGATGACTATCCGCCACAGCCCTCTCCACCGTTGCGTACTCCTCATGCGGCACGCTACCAGTTCCAGGGCCAAGAGACTCCTCGTCGGAAGAGCTTTGGCAACCTGGCTCGGGAGCCATCCGAGCTTGAGGACGAGCCCAGAGATGTCGACATGGACGACGATGACCGTCCGCTTAGTGCGAAGGCTCGGGGAAAGCAGAGGGAAGCGCCGTGTACCAAGGAGAAGACGACGACGAGATGGAACCCGAATCTCTCGAGGGCTCCAGGAAGCGGAATTGGAGCCCATCCCGGAAGAGGACGAGACACCACCCCCTGCTTCTCCACCTAAGAAGAAGGGAGGGAAGGGGAAGGCTTCAAAGGAGAAGACCACGAAGGAGAAGACCACAAAGGAGAGGGCATCGAAGAAGAACCGGAAGGAGAACGAGGTGCCTCGGAGCACGACGAGGGAGCTTATGAGAGATGGTGCGTCCGTCTGTGTTGCCTCTATATGCGTGCCGAGCTCACTCTGTGGGCTCAGCTTCGCCGGACGACGCCGATGCGACAGGGTTGCGTCGCAGCAAGCGCAGGCACTATGCGCCTCTTGCGTGGTGGAGACTTGAGAAGGTCGTCTACGGTCGTCGAGAGAATGGTCCTTGCTACGTGGCGAACATCAAGGAAATTCATCGCGAGCCCGTTCCTGAACCCCAACCTCTCGGCGCGAAACGACGGAAGATAATACGTAAGAAGAGCCAGACCGTCGAGGCGGAACCTCAGCAGTTCCTCGTTTACGATCCAGAGGAGGGCTGGGACGACGAGACGGACCCACATTGCACCGTGCTCGAGTACGGCAAAGAAGGCAAGGAGGTCAAACGACGTAAGTTTATCCTCGGACTCATTCTCACTGGAGTTGGGGAATGAGACGAATGTTGCAGGGGTCGCCTTCACCGACAAGATGACTTCACCGAAGGCTGCGGCACAAGGCTCTTTCTTCTTCCAGAAGGTCTTCAGCGACTGTGATCATCTCGCCGCTGGGCAGTTGATTATCCCGCCAGGCTCCACGAAACCGACCAAGAGCACGAAGGACAACACCTTCGTACGTTGCGTCTGTCTTTAGACCGGAGTACTTATCGCTCACTACATGGGCCGTCCTAGGTCTTCTACGTTATCCAGGGTGCGGTGAAGTTCTGTGTTCACCAGACGAACTTCATCCTCGCAACTGGCGGCATGTTCTTGGTCCCTCGAGGTACGTGCGCCACACTTGCCATTCGTCCAGCATCCTCACTAGTGGGTTTCGACCCTTAGGAAATATCTACTACATCCAGAACATATGCGACCGTGACGCCAAGCTCTTCTTCGCCCAAGCCCGCAGGATGACGGAAGAAGCGGCCGACGACGAGGAAGTGGAGTCGGAGTCTGGGTCCCGCGATCGCTCCAAGTCTGCGCCGGAGGACGCACATGCATCCGATGAGGAAGCCGAGCCTTCGACAGAGCCGAAGAAACGGAAGAGAATAGCGAACTCGTGATTATCACCTTCTCCGCGCGTTGGCCTTCGACGCCTGGCACGCTTGAGCGCCTTATTTGCAGCATTTCTTTGAACTGTACGAGTCCCGTGTACTTTCTACCGTTTCGCAGTCTATCACATGCACCCTGGCCCTCGCACCGTAGTCCGTGTATACTATCCACGTAGTCGTAGTTTTATGCAATTGAGCCTGGCCAATTCATGGATTCTATATGCCCGCCTCCCAAAGCCAGCACGCGCACCGCGCACGAAACCCGGAGCACGAAACCGTAGTACCTGATGGAAATCCCGAAGCATGAGGCGGATTCGCAAGAGTCAGCCGGGCCAGCCAGATCAGGGACGCACGGCGATGAGAAGCAAAGATGCGTGTATTCAATCATATCCGGTGCCGCTCGTGAGACGTATGGGCACGTCCCCGAGGGCGACCGCGCATTAGGGCGAGATATAGTGCTATTCGTGATGCGACGGGACGATATCATGCAAGGCGCGTGCGGCGGACGCGCATTAAGGTCCCCTCTCGCCCGGGCCCTTCGCGCGGCGCAGGGGGGCGAGTGGGTTGTATCCGGTTCTACATAGTGGCGGAGGGTGCTATGCGAGACGGCGCGGGCGCGGGCGGGCATTGTACACAGATCATCATGAGGATGCGGGGAGTCTTCCAACGAGCGGTGCGGTGTGGGGGTACGATAGATATACGTGGGGAGGTGAACAACGGACAGTTGACTAGCTAGCGAGGGAACCAAACGGAAGAGACCGACAATAATAGATAAGTGGGCCATCCGGCGAGACGGGGTGGGTGCAGCGTGGGAGCGAGAGCGTGACGAAGGGCAGGTCGTGTGGAGGGAAGTGGAGGCAGAGTCGTTAACGGAGGGGAAGGGGAAGGGAGCGGGGGACCTCGCTCAGGAATCATATCATCCCCGAACGCAGCTGGCCCTGCTGCTTCGGCCGTGGTCGAGACGCAGGGTTAGCCGGCAGGCCGTACCCACCTCCGGAAACCCCACGCACGGACACTCCTCTTGACGGTGCTCGGAGAGGTTCGCCTGGTGGTGGAGGGAGGGGCTGGTTCGGCGGTGGAAGAGGGGGTGTCGGCGCGGGGCGAGGCTGGGTGTATGCGTTGGGCCCGGGCGGCAGTCCGCGGGGAATGGGGGCGATGGGTGTGCGTTCGGATGCGCCATCATGCACGGTGACGTTGTTGAGCGCCTCGTTGATATCAGTGGTGGACACACTCGCGAAGGACCTCCACGAGCCGCGACGCTGCAGGCCAGGGCCGGAGGGTTGCTGCTGTCCTGGAATTGGTGGCAAGGCAAGGTTGGGCGGCCCACCGGGAACAGGAGGGGGCAGTCCGCGGGGCGGCGTTGGACGGGGAGGCAGAGGAAGGGGCCGCAGTGTACGGGACCCACGCGTGCCGAACTCCTGATCATCATCGTCATCTGTGAAATGACAAGGCGTGAGCACAAATCATACTATGTGAGTGTTGTCGATGAACCTCCATTCGCGATGGCAACGTCCGCATTCTGATTGCTACCATCCTTTCTGTGCAACAGTCTGTCCGCAAAGTTGGACGCGCGCGAAATGCTGTTCTTGAACATCTTTGAACTCCTGACGGATGCGGTCTCTGTCGCGTCGTAAGGCGGCGTGGGCGGCAAGGCCGAGTCTTCCGAGGACGAGCCAGCACTATCGCGAAGATTGCCTGAGCTCTTGGCTCGCGAAAGAAGGTTCGTCAGGTAACCGGTGCTGCCCTGCTTGTTGCTTGGAGGACTTTTTGGCGCAGGAGCTGGTGCAGAAGATGCACTCCGCTGGCTGCTTGTCGCCATTGCACTCTTCGGCCGCGCGGGTAGAGGTATCCGCACGGCATTAGGATCCGCGTTCAGGAACATTGGCTGCAGGTGCGGCCGTGACGATGAGGAGCTCTCCGCCGATGGGCGCGCAGATCCTGACTGGTCCACGGACGGTCTTGAGGGGGTGCGGTCTCTTGAGGGAGCGTGGTCCATAGACGGACGCGAGGCTTTGCTGTTAATTGTCCGGTCCGACGGTGGGCGACTAGGCAAAGGTCGGCTCTCGTAGGTTGAAGATCGCGGTTCATGTTGAGACTGATGGGGATTGAATTGCGACGATGTCCGCGAAGACGAGGAGCGGTCCTGCGAGAGGCGGGAGAAGCTGAATGGGTCTTCCGGCGACTCAGGCAGGTCTTGGGTGGGCCTGGGTCGATCGGGGGTACCATGGCGTTCGGGAGTTCCTCGTCGATCAGGCGTCATAGCACGAGCCGCGGTCGGCGGCGGAGTTGCCTTATGCCTTTCTGCCGGCTTCGGAAGCGCTTTCCTGGGTGTACGGCCGGATTCAAGCTGCTTCTCAAGCATGGCAGCGTCGACGAAGAGAGCAGCCAGGTCGCTCATGTTCTTCGCATTCATAGGCGTGGGGGATGGGATGTCGGTGTACTGCATGATAGCACTAGCGGGACGACTCTTCATCGTAGGCTCAACGACTTTCTCGTGCACAACTGCGTGGAAACCTTTGCGACCTTCGATGGGTGTGAGCACCGGCTCTTCGTATGGTACATTGACGATCGGGGATATGTTTGTCTTGCGACCCCGAGAGGAAGGTTTCCTTGACACTGGACCATTCGACGAAGGGGAGGTACCGTCGGAATAGGCAGAGTTGGGGGAGTAGTTGGAAAGGGGAGACGAAGCATCGGAGTTGTTCAAATGCACCGCGGGAGCAGGAGGAGGGGGAGGCAGGGCTTGCGATGGTGCGGGAGCAGGAGGGGGAGGTAGGGCATGCGCAGGGGCAGGTGCAGGTGCAGGAAGTGGTCGTGAGCCAATGGAAGGGAGAGGACGGCCTTGGCCAAGAGAGGGTACGTTTGATGGAGCGTTAATCCTTGCATTATCATCCTGTGTAGGTTTAGGAGTAGATTGCTTCGGGATGACAACCGAAAGAGGAGGGGAGACGACTCGTGGAGGAGAACTGCCCTTCTTCAGGGCGATGGCGCTAGGGGGGATGCCTTTGCCAGCATCACTGGGCGTTTGAATGGGTGCGGAGGAAGGAGGGGAAGTAGTGTCTGAATCCATGCCGAACGTGCCACGGCGAGGGTGCCGTGAAATTGGAGAATCCGGGGCCTCCGGAATGGCAGGGAGGGCGCGGGCAAAGGGAATTGCCGGGGTTGAAATCATGTAGGCGGAAAGGATATCGCTGGCGGGCGACACAGGCTCGGGGCTGACGGGAGAGCTAGGATCCAGATTTTGACTAGACGACTGAGTGACGACAGCAGTCTGCTTTGAAGCGACAACAGGCTTCGCATCAGCAAAATTGGCCGCTTGTTCGGTCTGTTGCGCAAGATAGCTCCGTACGGCCATTGAGGAAAGCGAGGCCGTGAGCGAGAACCGCTGCTTGACCGGGGTAGCAACATCGAGCAGGTCTTCTTGGAGAAGCAGTTGATCCAGCATATCGGCGATCGTGTTCTGGTGCTCCTGCGAGACGTTCATTGACGCCAGCTGCTCCTTGACCGCAGACGGAACGAAAACAGCACCTTCATCTCCCGACTGTGTGGCACGATCAAGCACTTCAATGACAGCCAAGACGGCAGGATCCAATCCTGGGGACGCCTGCAGTTGGTCGGCTGAGATAGAATCGTCGTCGTCGGTGAATGCCGTGGAAGAAGCTGCTTTATCGGACGTACGGGTAGGAAGGTCGAAGGTGGGCGACACTACGATGGCAGGCGACGCAATCTCAGGCGCAGCAGGGCTAGGTTCCGGCTCTGGAGTAGGTTCGCGCGGGGGAGGTGTTGGCTCGCGAGGGGGTTCGGGTGTTGGTTCTGGGACAGGTTCGCTGACCTCTTGTGCCTGAGCCGCTGCGACCTCTGCTAACCATGCCTCCTCCCTTGCTGCCTCCGCCGCCCGCTCCGCATTGACCTCCGCCAGCATAGCGTCAAGACTGATTTGCTGCGCATCAGCTTGCGTGGAAGAGTAACCCGCCGAGTCCGGATCGCCGTCGGACAGAATGTCGCCCGCAGAGTCGCCGGTGTCCGAGGCCACGAACGGAGAGTCCGGAGGACTTTGAATGGAGGCATAGCGATCAAGCTCCATGCGAGACATGCTGCGATCCCTGGGCTTGGGTTTGTCGGGTTTGCCTCCAGCGGCAGGGACGGGTATATGCGGTCGAGAGAGGCCGGGGACGCGGTTACCGTACAACTCCCCTGCCCGGGACGGGGCTGCATCCGGCTCGCGAGGGGGCGCAAAACCAAATCTGCCTTTGGGCTTCGGTACCGCGCCCTGCTTCTCAAACGACGCTATCCTATCGCGGAAGGCATTCGGGCCAGTCACGGCATTGGCTTTAGGGAGGGTTTGAGAGCCAGACTTCTCCGCTCCGGCCTGGACTTTGGAAGATTGCTGCTGCTGGAGGGCTGCGATGCGGGCTTTGAGATCGACAGGGGGAACGGGGGCTCTGGTGGAAGTCCTGGATGACCGGGATCGGGGCGACGCTGAGCCTGGCGCGCGGGGAAAACAAAGTGTGGGACAACTCACATTGAAAGAAGGGCGAAATAAAACGCAAGAACGACGACAACGACGAAGACCACGAGCGACCCGCGACTGCAATGGCCTACAGGTCGAGCTGAGAGAACGGCAGGGAGGTGATGGTGGAAGAAGTGATGAAGGCTAAGCACGGCGGTAGGCGAGCGTCCCCCTTGGCCCGTGGCAACTTGGAGGCATCACTCGCTCCGTCAGGGCCCGGGCGCCTCGCTTGCTCCGCCCTCCTCCGTCTACCTGTCTGTCCGACATCCGACAATCACTCGCACTGCCTTCCATCCCATCGCGCCGTCGCATTTTCCCCGTTCGAGGCCTCTTGCCGCAGCCCCGACGCCAGTACAGCGAGTGCCTCTCACCCTCGCAGACCATCCTCAGCAGCCATGTCAACCGTCGCCGGCGACCTTTTCGGTCCTCGCAATCCAACTCCATTTCAGTCTTGTGACCGCGACACAATCAATCATCCCCATTTTCGTTCTCAGCAGATGCCATCCCCTTCGATAGCCAGTACGACCGCCGGTTAGCTGCTTCCGCCCGTGTGCCGCCCTTGCCCTCGGCATCCAGATTTGAGATATTGTACACCTCTTCTTCATCCGAAACGCCATCCGCATCTCCCGCCCGCCGATACGAGACAAGCAGCTCGGGCGAGCGCGCCTCGTCGTCGTCATCCGTGGTGTATACCGCAGGCTGAGCGTCGTTCGTCCGTGTTCCTGTCCGTCGACGCTTCTTCGGCGGTCTCCGGCTTTTTATCTCGTATCGGCTCTCTTCTTCCTCCCCCTCGTCCGACAACGACGACGAGTCGGAGTCTGATGAGACATCCATGTCCGCCTCGCCCCATGCCGACTCGACGCTCTGTGCCTCTGCTGTGCGCGAGTTCGTTTTCGCGGATGGTTTAATTGCATCCGTCAGCGTCACCCGCACCTTTGGTGTCACGCCCAGTATCCGGTGTAACACCTGGCGGTCGTATACCTCCTGGACCACCTTTCGATGGTTGATCGTCTGCAGTGATGGTCAATGCTGATTTTGATCATCCCTTCCGGCATCCGCTCACCTCTTGTGTCACGCCTATGACACTTCCTAAGATGCTCGTCTCTTCGGAGTCCGCCGAGCTCGCTGGCCGCAAGTGAAACATCCGTCCCTCTCTCCGTGCGCTAACGATGCTCGCCTTTGTGAACGCCGCTGCGGTCATGATGTTGTGCGCCCCAGCGAAGGTCGTCCGTACCCGCGCGAAGTTGTACGACCCGCGTGAGATGTCGTTCGCTGTGATAGACAACATGTCAGTTACGCCCGCGATCTGTGATGAACGACAAGCCACAGACTGGGGTCGCCGGGATCCTCGATGGATAAGAGCCTGGGCTCTGACACATTGAACCAGCCTCGCTCCCGCTTGTTATAGTACGATCCGCCGTCGCGCAGGGAGATCCCGACTTCTTGGTAGTTGAAGTAGGAGCCGTAGAGCTCGAAGTACTCCATGACGAGCACTCCGAGGTTCCGTGACGGATCAATCTCCCCTCTTCGGATCTTAGGATGCATCTGCAAGAAGCTGATGGCTAAACAGACGATCGAATAGCTGCCTAGGCCGCCCGTGAACACCTCGTTCATGCTGCGCTGGCTGAGGAAATTCTTGATGACTAGGACGAGGCTGCGGAGAGCGGGAAGTTCTTGCAGAAATTGCTTGATCATTTTGCCCGTGGTGACACCGTTCCCCTGGTTGACACTGATATCGACCGCGAATTGCCCATGCCTTGTGACAAATTTGACGATAGGTACGCGAGCTTTCGCAATGATAGTTACTCGGTCTGTGATGCCGTTCTTCTTCATGATGTTTGCTAGAGAATGCAGCAACGCGTTCTTGTCGTAACGGGCCATCGAATCTGCATAGATGACCAAGTCTATGTCTCTACAGCCCACGACGAATGAGATCGACGCAGCGAGTGTGAAACATAAGGTGACATACCCTAACGGCAAATAGAGTTTCGTCTCGTAGCTGCCAAAAGGGAGGACTTGCGCGTCTGGAAAATGTTGCTTGACCGCCCTGGCGATGATTGCGACCGTGAGCGAACGGAGCTCGTCCTCCTGCGGCGTTGGTGACATGTAATCCACAAACGCCCGCACTTCCTCGTGAAGCCTACCACAGCACGGTCAGTAGCGAAACGCGAGCGCGCAGTCCAAACGCGACATACATCTCTGCGACGTTCACGCACTTCTCCCAGTTTACAAGCCGCGCCCAGGGAGATCGTCGTGACGCGGCAGCGACGCGCTCCTTCTTGTTTGCGTACCCATCGTCGTTGCTGACTTCGACAGCTTTGCGCTTTCTGCTCGCGCCCGCGCCGTCCTCGCGCCCTCTGTCCCGCGACCGCGACCGCTCCTTCCCCCTCCCCTTCCCCTTCGCTTTGCCTCGGTCCCACTCGCGCTCTGGAGGCGAGCTTTCACGCTCAGAAAGGTGACCTTCTGTTGGATCGTCGGGGAACACGAAGGGGACGAAGTCGTCCTCGCCGAACGCGGTTGTGGCGGAGCGATTGCGATCGTGTTTCGCATGCGGTGGGCCATCTGCGGTCTTGTCAGACGTTCTGGAGGATGATGATGGCTTGGGGAGTGCGTCCGCGTTTGAGCGCGAGGGGCCCGCTTCGGCGTTGGTGTCTTTCTCTGCGTCTTTCTGCTTCTCTTTTCGTCGTGCGCGTCTATTCGAGCCAGAGATGCCGTCTTCTGGTGCAGCAGAACTGCGCTGAGACCGCGGCTTGTTGAACATGGTTCGCAGAGAGGGATATGTGGATATTTGGCGTCCCGGATATCAGAGAAGCAGAGGCAAGAAGGGCCGGGGGGGTCGAGGATGGAAGTGGTGGAGGAGGAGGGGTGGCAAGCTGAAAAGCTGAAGCCGACTCGCGTGGCGCCCATGGCATACCCGTTCCTTTCCCGGTCCGTCACCCCGCTTCCAAGCTGGTTCCTCTACTCCCGGGGGCACCTGTGCCCCTACTCCACCCTAATATTTCTCTAATATCTCGCAGGAGAGCTCGTGACTATCAGACACTCCATGTCAGGATGGACCGCCTCAGCACTGCGCTCTTTGGCTCTTCTCCGTACATATGGTACGCGACAAGTACCCAAGAAAGGTGACCGGGGTAAGCTCTGTTGTCTTATGTCCTGTAGCGGAAGCTTACCTTAGTACTCGCGCAGTCGTGGTGGCCATGTCTGGAGGCGTAGACTCGTCTGTGACTGCTAAGCTTCTCGCAGACCAAGTATGTTCTTCGAGACGCTGCTTCGATGGTACTGACCTTCGAGCTCAGGACTTTGACCTATCAGCGGTCTTCATGCGCAACTGGGATACTCGAGACGAGTCGGGCACGGATGATGGCTGTGAATGGAAGAAAGACTGGGAGGACGTGCGAGACGTTTGCCGCTTGCTTGGGATCCGGTGCGAGATGGTGCGTGCCCGCGTTCATGGGGACCTTAAAGCTTCATGTATGCACTCTCTTCGTTAGGTCGACCTCTCGCGCGAATACTGGACGCGCGTTTTCGAGCCGTCATTGGCACTTTGGGAGAAGGGATTCAGTCCAAATCCAGACGTGTGGTGCAACCAAGAGGTGAAGTTCGGCGCGCTCATGGATCACATCAAGCCCAAAGATGCGTGGATAGCTACAGGTGAGTGTCATAACCTCACTCCCGAATGTGCCAGCACCAAATTCGTGTACGCAGGCCACTACGCGGACAAGAGGTGGGCCCTCCCGTCTCCAAACATGGCCAATTTCCTTGCATACAGCAAGATGGAACCTCGTCCGCAACTCCGTCGTCCCGTTGATGCGAGTAGGGATCAAACCTATTTCCTGACGGCCATCCCCGAGCGAAGTCTTGCGCGTACTCTCTTTCCCCTTGCCCAGTACAAGAAGGGGGAGGTACGCGAGATGGCACGGAAATGGGAGTTACCCACCGCCACCAGAGATGAAAGCAGGGGGATCTGCTTTGTCGGCAAGAAACGTAGATTCGACAGCTTCTTGTGTGAGCCATGTGTATCGTTATTGAAAAGCTCGCACATACTGATTATCGTGCGTGGCAGCTCAATATCTGGTCCCGAAACCAGGGCCTTTCATTCATCTTGAGACTGGTAAAGTTCTCGGGCAGCACCAGGGCTTGTTCACGCACACCATCGGTCAACGTGCTCGCCTAGCCAGCCAAGAACACGCGATGTTCGTAGCCAAGAAGGATATACAGAAGAACGCACTGTATATTGTTCCACGATCGTGAGTACTTGTCTGCAATATGTATGCTGACCACGGTGACCCACGTATCGCAGCGATCATCCGTCACTAAAGTTCCAGACTGCAATAGTCGACAACTGGAAATGGATATGGGAGGACTGTCCACCTCATGGTCTGGACGCGGAAGGCTTTCGTGGGACGATCCAATATCAGAGGTCTTCAGCGAGTGCTGCCACAATTCATCGGTCAGTTCGTTCTCTTGGTACACATGGCAATCTCTTACACTCTCAATAGTATCGATGACTCCAGGATGCGTGTAACATTCCAGGAACCACAGCCGGTCACCGGCGCAGGCCAAGTCTTCGCCATGTATTCCAAGGACTGGTGTCTTGGCGCCGGCTCACTTCTTGAAACCAGCTAGCCCAATGAACATCTTGTGCAGCGCCCCAAGAGCAGCGTCGCGCACTGTGCATGCTGCCCTTCTGACCGGAGTGCGGTAGCCTCGGGAGATTTGAGGAGGGGGTTCGAGGGCACACTGGGTCCCACAACTCAATCGTCGATCAATCTTGTTCACTCAATCTCATCGGGCAGTGTGCGACCGCTATCGACGTTGCATTGAGGTCGTTGTAGACACGCTTTCATGTAGTCGTTACGTACAATCCACTCCTCGTCCTCAGTGCGCGTGGGCGCCCATTCAGAGCCACGCAGACTGCAGTGCACGCACCGCGCTGGGGAGTCCCGCCTGTCCAAATAGGCAGGTCGAGTCCCCCAGCAAGTGGCCCGACCCCGCCTTGTCTCTCCCGCCCACCTCGCCTTGTCTCCGTCTGTGCCACAACCATACCCTTGAGCTGCCTGCTGGTACCGCCCGTGTTCTCCGAGTCTTTCTTGCTCGACGTGACGCCGCATGTTTTGGAGGTACCGGCGCCACACCCTCTGTTAGCCCGCTGAATCGAGCCCGTCAGCAGATTCGGCTTCCACAATGCCTCTGCGATTGACGAGCTTCTAGCTAAGGACGAGGTCTCGCTGGAGGCGATCCTCGACGAGGACGACCTCTTGCAGGAGTGCAAGGCGCAGAATGCAAAGCTTATCAATTACTTTTCCCGTGTCGACGTCCTCCACCGCCTCCTGGGTTACGTGACGGGGCAGATCGAGGGCGACGAGAAGGGCGGCTTCAAGTGAGTTCTGCGTTTGCGCGTCGGCGTGGTGCGAGCGATGGCTGAGGAGTGTGCTCCTCCGTGGAGGTACCCGTATGTTGCGACCGAGGTCTTGTGCAGCGAAATATGGTCCATCGTCGAGACGTGCATCGCCAACCAGGAGCAGCTGCTCGTCCCTTTCTGGGAGACAGTTCTCGACAAGTCCCCGGAGGAGATGCGGAGCCAGGTCATGATGGCGGCACATTTCGCAAAGGTTAACGTTGCGTTCCTGAGCAAGAAGCCTGCAGAGGTAGCTACCACCGCTCCTCGTCCCCGTCCCCGTCCTGTCCTGAGCGGAGGTGCCTATAGATGCTGGCATTCATCCAAGCCCAATCAGAGATTGTCGAGCGGATTCTTCACCATATAGAGTCCCCCCCTTTCGCAGATCTTCTCGTGAGGATCATCCAACTAGACGAGCATCCGGCCGGGGCGGGCGTCCTTGAAGTACGTCGTTTCATGCTTGCTCGGTGCGCTCCTATGCATATCTCTTACCTTTAGACACACAGTGGCTATCGAGAGAGAACCTCATGTCTCGCCTCATCAGCCTCTTGTCCCCGGCGCATAGTCCCGACATGCATACAGTCGTCGCTGAGCTCATCAAGGGTATCATTTCCATGGCTGCGCATTCTCCCGCTGCAGGAATGTCGGATGGCTTGTCCCATCCTCCCGCGTCAAATGTCTTCGCCCGGGAACTTGCACACCGAAACAGCGTCTCCAAGCTCGTCAGCTTCATCCTGTACGAATTCAAGAGCGACCCCGCCACCTCAGAAGGCTCGGCAGTTACCCAAGAGTCGGCAGCGTCGTCGGTCGTGCAATCAATATGTATCATCATCGAGCTCATTCGACAGAATAACTCCGACTATTTCGAGCCCTACCTTTTCCACACCCTCCGCACACGCCTCATTCAGGTCCAGCAACAGATCCAAATGAACCCGGATGGCGCGCGTGAAAACCTGGAGACAGCCATGAAGGAAATGGTGAACCGCATGGGCGTTGTTCACCTGGGGCCTGTGTTAGACCTCATGTGTGAGCATCTCAGTAAGCTCCAGAAGTTCCTGAAGGAACCCCGATCCGTGGTATGATTGGTCTTGTCCTTTCTTGCGGTGGATGCTCACCGTGCATATAGCAAGGCCCCGTCTTGACGACGTTGGGTTCGATCCCACCTCTCACCTTCGAGAGGTATCGAATATGCGAACTCTACGCCGAACTACTCCACTGCTCAAACATGTCTCTTCTCAATCGCCCCTCCGAGTACGATCACCTGTACGACTCTGAAGGTCGCCTACAAGGTGGCTTGTCGGGCCTGGAAGAGCTAGCTCAAGTCATCGCCATCGGCAACGGTAGTGGAGACAACGACGGTATGGATGACGAGGAAGACGACGAGTCAACACATGAGTTCCCGGTTTCGCACGCCCCATCCTCGAATTTGACAGACTCTGATGAGGACATGAGCGCGGATGAACCCGGGAGCTCAGATGACGACGCTATGGAGGAGATCGCTATGTACGATCCTCCAGGGACTGGTTCACAGCACAAGGGTTCGGAGTCGCCCAGAGATTCTCCCGCGTCAGCTCTTTCGCCTATGGCAATGTCTCCTTCACCCAGTCCACCTCCATCTACTTCGCCTGGTGATATCAACTCCTTCCCTCAACGTCGGAACCTATGGAGTTCGGACTCGGATACGCCTCAACAACGGCCGCGATCGAGCAGTTCCCGAAGAAGTGTCAGGCGGTCGTTGAGGGAGGTACAGGGTGAAAAGCCAGTGCTCGGAGAGAGATTGAAGCAGAGTTTCTTAAAGGCTAACATGGCGTCAACGTTGTTGGTGAGTCGGCTCTTGTATAATATGGGGTCATCTCTGACGCGTCACTACAGGACCTGTTCTTTGAGTTCCCTTGGAACAACTTCCTTCACAGCGTTGTGTACGACCTCATACACCAGGTTCTAACAGGACGTGTCGATGGCGGTGCCAATCGAGAGCTCACTGTTTCGCTCTTCCGGGACGCGCGTTTGATGCACCGCATCATCGAAGGGTCAAAACGAAACGATGTGGAGAGGTAAGTCAAGCGTCTGTTTGGGAAACAAGCCTAACGAGATGGCCGTAGCGAAAAGCCAAAAGGGGTCAGACTGGGATACATGGGTCACCTTACTCTCATTTCAGAAGACGTAATTGGCGCCCTTGAACATCTCCCTCCAGACCTCCGACTCCAGATTGCGCAACATGCTCCCCAGCCCGAATGGGACGAATATGTCACCGGCCGGTACAAAGAGACGAAGAAAAAGGATACCAGTCTGCTCGGTGGAGGGAAGCCCGTGGTGGCCCCGTCAATACGGAATGGCGCGGCGTCGTGGAAAGTCGACGAGGCTGATGTTGCAACATCCGCACCTGGCCGGTCCGGAGCAGAGCAGAAGCAGTCGACAGAAGAGCCCCAGGGCGAATTCAAGCGGGGCGCCTCGCGACGTGAAGGAAGCGCGGACTTCAGCTCAATGCCTTTAGACGACGATTTCAGCTCAACGCCGCAGCAGGTAAGCGTTTCCTCTTGCACTGGTTCTTTTCGCGTTCTTACCTCACGGTCGTGGCGCTTAGTTTGCTAACTACCTCGTTCACGAAATGCAGTCTGAGCACCTGGGGTCTGCCGACGATGGGTCCGATGATGACGAAGATGGAGGCTGGCTGGCGCAGTCTCGCTTCGAGTTACGACCTCCGCCAGTCACCGCGCGCCAGCACGACGGCGATCGCAAACCGCTGAGTGCAAGTGGTAGTTTCGAGGTATAAGTGTCTTCCGCGATATCTGTTACACGCATCGGCTGAGATCCCATGGCAGGATTCGTTTGCTCCAGGCCCATCCGCTCAGCCGCCCTTCCAAGATCCATTCGATGACGTCAGTAAATGCTGTCTGAATGCTCAACGTGTCTAACTGCCGGCCTCCCACTAGGATGCCTTTGGACCCTTTTCTGATACTGCTGCCACGCCAAGCAACGACCCATTCTCATTCGCGACCACAACCTCTGACGACTTCATGAACGAGAGTGCCTTCGAATCCTTTGGTGATTTTGGGGACTTCCAAAGCGCCAGCACGAGCTCCTTTGAAGACGAAGGCACTCTCACGCCCACTGGCGCGGATAGCTGGAGTTTCGCGAGCGTATCGAGCGCCGGGTCAATGGAGGAAGTTGAACGGAGAACGGAGGACCCGATCTCAGAGGACGAGCACGAACGGACTGCACGACACGACAACTAGACCACCTGTACCATTTGTACTCTGCCGCTGTGTTATCGCCTCGTGTTCCGTGTAGTAGAACTTGTTCCTTCGTCCACCTGTCAGACCTCCGTCGAGCCATGTCGAACGTTGCACCTCCAAGTCCACTGCCCCGAAGTAGCGTACCACGATTTGTTATAGAGCAAATTCAGACACAGAGCACTCTACTCAGGCTTGTAAAGATAGCCTCCCTCCCGCTGCACGGCGTTGAAGTCGAGCGTGGCCAGCAACTTGCCCGTGCTGTCCGTGAGGGTGCACGCGACCTTGTCGCCCGGAACAACAGGACCGACGCCGGACGGCGTGCCCGTGAGGATGAGATCTCCTTCCTGCAGAAACAGACAAGCGGATGAGCGTGGCTCGCCAGCCCGGAGCGGGGGCCGCACCTCGAGCGTCATGATCGTAGAGATGTGCTGGATAAGGCGCGGGACTGGGAAGAGCATGTCCTTGGTGTTCCCGTCCTGCTGGACTGTCCCGTTCACCTGCGCACATGCCACGACGACATGCGTCTCGCGTCAGCGGGCCCGGCCAAGACTCCGAAACATCGCACGGGAGAGCGCGACGTCGCGGCGCGGGGCGCACCTTGAGAGTCAGGCCGAGGTTCGCGGCGTCCGCCACGGCGTCCTTGGGCACGTACGCGCTGCACGTCAACGGTCAGCGCGTCCCGACGTCTGCAGGGTCGTACGACAGACGAGAAAGCGGGCCAAGCGGGCGCGCCGGCATACCTGATGGGCGTAAAGGTGTCGAAGCCCTTGGCAATCGTCCAGGGCAGACGCTTGGCCTTGATTTCCTCCTGCACGTTTCGTGCCGTCATGTCCACCGCGAGCGCTGTGGGTGCATCATGAGCGAACTGGGCTCGGTGGCGACGGCGGCGGCAGGAGAGCGTGAGACGAACCGTAGCCGGCGATGTAGCTCTCTGCGTCGGACTCGGAGATGTTCCGGCCGCGCTTGCTGACGACGACGCCGAGCTCGACTGCGATAGGATACAAATGCAAAATGCCATGAGCCGGTTAAATCGCACAAGACCGCGCCAGAAGCGAGGCACGGACCTTCGTAGTGCGCGACGACGCCGTTGGGGATCTCGACGTTCCCGCCGGAGGCGAGGTAGCTCGTCGTAGGCTTGAGGAAGATGATCGGTTCCTTCGGGATGGCGTTGTTGAGCTCCTTGGCGTGCTCGCCGTAGTTGCGGCCGATGGCCACAATCTGGCGCGGGGACGGCGCGGAGTCAGCGTGGAGGTCCTCGGCGCAAGCTAGAATCACAGACGGCGAACCTTCTTGCCTTGCTGGATGAACGACGCGGCAGCCATGCGGAAGCTTGTCTGGCTGAAGGATCTGTGAGGAGCAACAGGAGCGCGAAGGGTGGTCCTGAGAGTGCTACGTGCTGTCGCCGTAAACATGTTTTGGCCTCCCACTCGCACAAACCTGAAGGTAGTGGCCGGATAAAGGTGGCGACGTGGACGATTTACACGCAACGAGCGTGACGGGCGCTTATCACCAGATGCATGTTGGGGGTTTTCTGTACCTCGACTACTGCTCCTCAGCCTACAACAAACATGGAAAAAGCTCTAATAGCTCAGATGATCAATAGAATTGTTGTCGAAAACAAAGAGAAAAGCATCGAACATGCAAAAGCTGGACAAATTGGGAATTGAACCCAACACCTTCCGCATCCAGTATTTCGATGCTGCTAAGCGGATGTGATAACCAACTACACCATTTGCCCATGCACTGGTACTAAGCATGCAAGTAGATACCTCGTTTTTGTAAGAGTCCCTACTTTAGCCCTTCCTATGCCGTCATGTTTCGACTCGACACAATTGTATCGATGGAGCACCATTGGTCTGGCAGCGTGCTACTCGAAGTGTTGGTCTGCAACTTAGCCCGCGATGCCAGCAGCGTCAGCATTCTGAGATGCTTCTGAGCACCCTCCAGGCCATCTATTTTGAGGACGCTCCCTTTTTCTTGTTGTGACCCGATTTTGACCAATTTGTAGTACTGCTTGTACCTGACGCCTACCAGACGATGACGACTATGGATATGCCTCTGAGGAAGGTTTGAAGCAGTTGGCTGCGTGAAAGAAACGGCCAGCCGATGTCATCCTAAAATTCAAGGAGATACACGAGTTGCTTGGCCGCCTACATTGAAGAGGGAAATGGACAGAGGTACTCGCCTTGGCGCCGCGCTTTCTTGAATTCCGTCTTCGCTGGTTTACCTTCAGCACATGCAAAGACATTTTCAGCGGCGTTCGCCCCAGCAACGCATAGCACTAGAGACCGCCGCGACGCGTTCTATGTGGCGTTCGTCGCGCCGTAAGTCGGACAAGGGTTTGGCAACAGACTCGGCGGCTCGTCTGGTGCGGTGGCGTACCGAATGGGGCACACGTCGCGGCGTCGGAGCGCTCGGAGGGGCGGCCTGGGCCGGGAGCGCCCGCGCGGCATGCACGGCAGCGAGTCCTCTGCCTGGTGAGAGATCTCTTGGCTTGCCAAGTTGTCCACCGCTGAGGCCCTTGGCGCGCATGGGAATCCCCTCCAGCTCTTATAGTTGCCCTCCGCCAAGGGCCTTCTCGATGCTTGACCTCGCCTTATAACCTGCTTCCGTCCGGGCTCGCCCTCTCCTCGTTCCATCCGTATCATACCTCCACCGCTCCTCTGCTCACTCACGCTGCTTCCTCTCCTCGCGTCCAAGTGGTGTCTCTGCCGACCAGCAAAATGAGCGCACACATCCTGCTACTATGCCTTTTCTCAATTACCGCTTCTGCCGCACCGCTACATATACGAGCGGGCCCTCAGGAGTAAGGTCGCCCTCGTTAACCACACCCCCTGCTCTAACGTGCCCCCCCGCAGAGGTGCCTCAAATTCAGGGGAGGAGGAACAGGGCCCCGACGGACATCTCGATGGGCGCTGGATTATCGCGGTAGCGGTCGTGTCGGGTGCGTCGCACTGGATCTTGTTGCCTGGCTTGCTGTTCACATTCCCTCAGCTCTCATGATTGCTGGTGTTGCCGCCATCGTTTGCTTCATCAAGATGCGACAAAGACGCCGCCGCGCTGAGCTCGTACACTCTCGTCCCGAGGTCGCCCCCTCGACCCGCAGTCACCCGCCCCTCGACCCCGAGCACAAGTGGAGAGGTCCGTATGCTTCTAGAGCATCGTACACGCGGTCCCCTTCACCGGTAAGTGTCGGGTGCATGCAAATACAACCCTGCGTGTTATGTTTTAACGCCAGCTTCTGAATGACGCTCAGCCCACACAAGCCCATCTCCGCGATGCCAAGTGACTTGTTCGGCGATGTGTCCGCTCCAATGACCACACGCCGACGCGCGCGCACAAGGGTGAGTGCCCTCCAACTCTCGGGGTGCCAGTACGGTACTAATGTTGTCCGCAGTTCCGCCTGCTGTCTGTCGCTCTGCTACCGCGCTTGCGCCCGTATCTGCCAGCCCCCGAGTCCTCAATCTCACAGAACTGCCGCCCTAGAGCCGGCATCTCACGAAAGGGCGTTTGCGCGGGTCTCCTTCGTGTCGAAGAACCTTGCCGCGTCACATCGAAGCGCGAGCCATCCGCGCTTCTCGACGAAACCGCTCGGCCTCCGCCACTGCAGGCGAATGTCGGCGCCCCCACCCGCCGCGGGAGCTCACCATGCTCGTGTTGTTGTACTACCATCTCATTTAATGACCTGTATCATAGACTCATCTTATCACACGAGGACATCCTCGTGCTCTCCGACATGCCCGCGCCCAGGCCGATCTGCGCTCTGGTTCGTTGCCACAGCCAAGCGCACTCCCAATCCACAGGACGGGATTTGTGAGGCAGGAGGGGCCTCGGACGATCGGCTCCGTTGCATCGTTGGCGTGGGAGTTCTGACGTCGATCGAAGCGCTGCTTGAGCGTGGCTGGGCGCGCTCAGCCGGTGCTCAGCGTACTTAGCACTGGGAATACTCTTTGGCCGACCCACTCCGCGCGGTACACGTCCTATGCCGGCAGTTGCAACCTCGCAGGCACGCATAGAAGAACATCGTAATGAAGGGGACGCTCGGGCCGGGAGACTCGGGGGTTCCGCGGAATTTCGGAGTGGGACTGCTACCGACTCGCATGGCTCGTACGTATGAGCGCAGTTACTAGACGGGCACCCAAAGTATATATATATATGTCATGAAGTCTTCTTCCGGAGCTGCCGTGCTTGGGTACTCGTAAAGTACATAAAGGGCTTCCCTATTATGTGCACGAATATACACCCTCCGTAGAGTGTCTTGTCTTGCCCCTCCGTGCACTCTGTTCCCTTTATGGTTACGCACATAAGGAGCGAGTCAGAACCGGGATAAGCGCCGCCGGCACATCGGCATCTAGATATAGTCGCCAGAACACAAAAGCCCGAGGGCCCATGCATCATGGGGGCTTCAATTCAATTCGGGTGTCGTGCGTCGGAGGGAAGGATCGCTTATGGGTCGTTCCCAGAGTGCTCGTTGCTTTTCTTGTTCACCACACAACATACATAGTACCTCTGCAAAGAGCAGGATCCCCAAAAGAGCCCCGAAAGCCGGTCATCGAGGAAAGCTGCGGACCAGATCACGGAAGAAGTTCGGCCCGGCGTTCATCGCTCGAACGGGAAACCTGATGTCGCCCTAACCCTAGGCTAAGGGCAGTGAGGAGCGGGTCAGGTGACGGGTGGAGGGAATGACTCGGGGGTCGTTTATAGTGAGGTGCATTTTGCGAAGAGCCCGCCGTGCCCCGGATTTTTCTTGGACTGCTCCCCCACTGCTCAGCCTTGCTCTCGCTGCCGCCGCCCTAGTCGCCGCCGCTGCCAGCATGTCTCTGCCCGCTTCCAGGATCCGCGTGTCGTGCGCCTCGAAGGCGGCCACGCCTGCGCAGCTCGTGCGCGCACGCTCCACCGTCGCTGGCTCCAGTGCCTCCATGCTCGACGCCAAGTCGCGGGTGCAAGCCCATGCACGGAACATAAGCAGGTCAAGCCCCCGCGAGGCCACTGCTACCGGCTCCGTGTACGTCCTTGTCTCTTTTCTACGCTCCCTCGTCCATCGGCGTTAAGCAAGCATGCGCATGTAGCCGTCCGCAGCCTGCGCCAGGCTTCCAGCAGCTGCCCACAAAAAACAACACTCCTTACCCCCCACCGTCCCTTCCCTCACCCTCCGAAAGTTACCTCGACCATTCCTTCGTTGGTATGTCCGGTGGCCAGATCTTCCACGAGATGATGGTCCGTCACGGCATCAAGCACATCTTCGGATACCCCGGCGGAGCCATCCTCCCCGTCTTCGACGCCATCTACAACTCGCCCCAGTTCGACTTCGTGCTCCCAAGACACGAGCAGGGCGCAGGACACATGGCGGAGGGCTACGCACGCGTGACCGGCAAGCCGGGCGTCGTTCTCGTCACCTCCGGACCCGGCGCGACCAACGTCGTGACCCCGATGCAAGACGCGCTCAGTGATGGCATTCCTCTCGTCGTGTTCTGTGGTCAGGTGGCGACCTCAGCCATCGGCTCCGACGCGTTCCAAGAGGCGGACATGGTCGGCATCTCAAGACCATGCACGAAGTGGAATGTCTTGGTGAAGGACCTTGCCGAGCTCCCTCGCCGCATCAACGAGGCGTTCAAGATCGCGACCTCTGGACGACCGGGTCCTGTCCTCGTCGATCTGCCCAAGGACATCACTGCCGCCGTCCTGAAGACCCCTCTTCCTTACAAAAGTACCACTCCGGGCAGGCCGCTCGGGCTTCCTCAAAACCCGCTGCAGCCAGCTAATCAAGCCATCGACCATGCCCTCATCCATGCCTCCGCGAACCTCGTTAACCAGGCGAAGCGGCCGATCATCTACGCCGGCAACGGCGTTCTCTCCTCCCCCCTCGGTCCGAAGCTGCTTAAGCAGATTGCGGACCAAGGCAACATTCCGGTTACGACGACGCTGCAGGGCCTTGGCGCGTTTGACGAGATGGACGAAAAGAGTCTGCATATGCTCGGGATGCACGGCTCCGCGTACGCAAACATTGCAATGCAGGAGGCGGACGTGATCATCGCGCTCGGCGCGCGGTTCGACGATCGGGTAACGGGCAAGGTGGACATGTTCGCCCCGGCGGCGCGCGCGGCCGCCCTTCAGGGCCGCGGCGGGATCATCCACTTCGAAATCCAGCCGAAGAACATCAACAAGGTCGTGAACGCGTCAATCCCCGTGCTCGGCGACGTCGTCGCGAACATGGCCGCGCTCGCGCCGCTGATCAAGGGCTCGGAGCGCAAGGCGTGGTTTGACGACATCCGTGGTTGGAAGGCCAATTATCCGTTCACGTACGAGAAGAGCAAGCCAGGCGCGCCGATGAAGCCGCAGGAGGTGATCGAGGAGCTCGACGCGCAGACGGCGCACCGCAAGGAGGACATCATCATCGCCACGGGCGTCGGCCAGCATCAGATGTGGGCCGCGCAGCACTTCCGGTGGAGGCATCCGCGCACCTGCGTTTCGTCCGGCGGTCTTGGCGTACGTTGGATGTTTTCTCCAGTATATGTTTCGTGTTCTGACCCGAGTACGCGTTGCAGACCATGGGTTTCGGTGTTCCTGCGGCCATCGGTGCGAAGGTCGGTGCGCCCGACAAGACGGTCATCGACATCGACGGCGACGCTTCGTTCAGCATGACCGCGATGGAGCTCCAGACGGCGTCGACGCACGGAATCGGTGTGAAGTTCCTTGTGGTGAACAACGAGTTCCAGGGCATGGTGCTCCAGTGGCAAGGTCTGTCTCCAACGACGCCGTCGAAATTGATTATGCGCTGACCATGAGCGCTGGACAGATCTATTCTATGACGCGCGGTATGCTCACACGCGTATGAAGAACCCCGACTTCATCGCGCTCGCCAAGGCAATGGGCGTCCACGGCATCCGCTGTGAGCTTGCTGAGGATCTCCCGGCGAAGATGAAGGAGTTCCTGGAGTATGATAACTCGAAGCCCGTTCTGATGGAATGCGTGGTTGAGCGGAATGAGCATGTGTTCCCTATGGTATGTCACTCGCATGTTCTGTGCTGTTCCCGGTACTGATCCTACTGCAGGTTCCCGCTGGCAAGGCCCTGCACGAGCAGATCCTCCACTCCACGTTGCGTGAAGCGTATGCTGCCTCTAAAAAGCAATGAGCTCTGTGCACCTCATTTGCTGTCGACCTTTAAACTCAACCTTCCCACGTTTGGGGGATACCAGTCCGTACTGACCATTATCTACGCTTCACGCACTAGTTACCATACGCCAACCTGACGTCGTTTCCGTCGGGGCACATGTATTTGTTGGTTTCCACCATCTACCTTGGGAAGAAGCAAAAGTCCCCTTGGGGTCCATCCTGTATCTACTAATACCACAATTTGGAAAAAGGTCGGAGGGGCCAGCGGTGTTTGTTGTCTCATGACCTGCGGGAACGCGAGGACGTCTTTGCGGTCCCAGTACTGTCCGGCCCGAAGGCGAGCTGCAGCTGGGAAGTGTTATTCTGGTGCGGGAAGCTGGGTATCGTTCCTCGGCCGGAGCTTGAAAACGCGGGGCCTCCGCCGAGAACACACGTCGCACTAATCTACGATCGTCATCTTGCCCTGGGTGACGATGGAGGCACACGCGCACTGCCCTCTCTCTCTCTCTCTTCGAACACAACCTCCTTTCCTCCGCATTAGCGTACTTCCACCGTCACTGACGGTAGGGTTGCACATCTAACCCGTCTAGATACTTACTCGGCGCCCTATCCCGTCGAGTCACAGTGACTTGAACAACCATCAGGTACGCCAGCTTCCTGTCGGCGGTGAATGCAGAGCCTGCCAGTGTAAAAGATGCTGGTCGTAGCTATTCGACTCGAGCTTCTCAGACAGCATAACAACGATATGACAGGGCCCGTTTCCCTCTCACATATGGGCAACTATACCCACGTCTTCTGTTCTCCTTCGCGGTCATCATGTAGTCTTCATCACCGGCTGACCACCTTTGCTGCGCACTACTTCCCGTATCAGGATGACTACCATCCGCCCTGATGTCACCCCTGACTCGCCCGTGGACGAGCAACCCGCGATCGGGCTCATCGGCGTCGGCGCCATGGGCAGTATGTATGCGCGCCGCCTTTCCGAAGCAGGCTGGAAAAAGTGAGTGGTTTGCATATCGCGTCACTTCGCAGAGAGGCTGATTGGGTACTGGTAGAATCTACATCTGCGACTTGCCGGCAAAGTACGAAGCGCTGCAAGCGAAGTTCGCAGGTATGTGAGACTGTCCCTGGTCAGTCTAATGGACTCATACGTGCCGTGTGCAGACGTCCCGGGGGTGCATGTCCTGAAAGACGGGCACTTGGTGTCCCGTGTTTCGGACTTCATCATGTACAGCGTTGAAGCTGAATTCATTGACCGTGTCGTGGCTGAATACGGACCGTGTCAGTGTGTTATACGCACGCATGTTGCTTGCTTGGCTCACTTTACTCCACAGCAACGAAAGTGGGCGCGATCGTGTCTGGCCAGATTTCGGTAAAGGCGCCTGAAAAGGAGGCGTTCGAGAAATACCTTCCTCAAGATGTGCACATCGTCTCTTGCCACTCTCTCCATGGCCCCACTGTCTCCACCGTTGGACAGCCATTGGTGTGTGTGATAGCTTCTTAGGAAGAGAGGCAACTCATGTTCGACGTAGATCCTCATAAAACACCGAGCCTCTGATGATCATCTCAAACTGGTGGAGGGCATCTTCGCCTGCTTGAAGTCGCGCTACGTCTATCTTTCGTACGAAGACCACGACGTCGTCACAGCAAACACCCAGGCTGTAACGCACGCCGCATTCCTCAGGTACGTTGCTTCGTCTGACCTCCCTTCGCCTGTCTCACTCCTTTTGTCCTATCAGTATGGGTACAGCCTGGCACTCCTCCTCGTCTTACCCCTGGGAGCACGGGCTCTACGTCGGCGGGATCGAGACCGTGAAGGTGAACATCATGCTCCGCATCTACAGCAACCAATGGCACGTCTACGCCGGCCTCGCCATCCTCAACCCCTCCGCCCGGACGCAGATCGACCAGTACGCGCGCTCGACGACGGACATCTTCAAGCTGATGGTCGCGGCGACGCCGCGGCACTCCGCGCCCGCATCTACGACGCCCGCGCCAAAGTCTTCCCCGGCACCGACGACGACGGGGACGAGCCCGCGACGCCCTCCACGCGCGCGCCCATCCTCCTCTCCGAGGCGCTCCTCGACCGCTTCTCCCTGGGCGGGAGCCGCGCACGGGCCCCGACGGCCGCGCGAGCCCCGCGGGCGGCGCGCCCCCGAACTCGCACCTCTCCCTGCTCGCGATGGTCGACTGCTGGGCCGCGCTCGGCACGCGCCCGCTCGAGCACCTCGAGCTCGCGGCGACGCCGCTCTTCCGGCTCTGGATCGGCGTCGCGGCGCACCTGTTCCGGAGCCGCGCGCGGCTCGACGCGGCGCTCGCGGCGGCGCTGCACAACACGACGCACCGCGCGGACGACCTCGAGTTCGTCGTCGCCGCGCGCGGGTGGAGCCAGTGCATCAGCTTCGGGAGCTTCGCGCTCTACCGGCAGCGGTTCGGGCACACCGCGGCCTTCTTCGAGAGCCGGTTCGAGGAGGCGACCAAGGTCGGGAGCGCGATGATACAGGCGATCATGGAGCAGGACCTGTTGAGCACCTCTGCTGCTGCGGGCACGAATTGAGGGCTCGGCCGGGGAGACGAGGGGGAGAACGAGACCGTGACGACTGGGCGTTCAAGCACGAATGGTGGATTGGTAGCTTCAGGGACGAGCTGCCGGGCGGCGGAGCGAGTGGGTGCAGCTAGCCCGCATCGGGCAATGGCGGGTCGACGAAATCGGCTAGACTTAAACTTTGCGCGAGTCTAACGGACTGATGTTGATCTCGACGCGGACACCGAGCTGATCGAGACTCGAGAGGGCAAGGCGACGGAAGGCGACGTGATGATATGTTATATTAGAGTCGACCTGAGGTCGGCCGTACAAGATAGTAATACTTGAGACGAGGTGCCGCGCTACGTACGTCCGATGTGAGGTTCGAGGGGCAGCGAGTACGAGATATAGCGTCAGTGCAGTCCCAAGGATAGGTCGATGCTAGAGCGTTGGCAGGTGGTAAGTAAACAGCGGTCCGGCCGGGAAGAGTCATGTACAAGTGAGCAGCATATACGTTAGCGGGAGCAATACGAGATCGTATGTGTACTCAATCAGCGGGGGCAATACGAGCGGATAGGGTAAGACAACGAGGAGCTAGAGCAGAGGAGAAAACAAATGCGCAATATACAGCAGGGAGAGTGAGTAGCGAGAACGAAGAGAGTGTGTATGCGGTGGTGGCTAATTCAGGATGCAATCAGGACGGCATGTACGGAGACGGCGGAAAATACGAGTATGTTGATACAAGAGGTCTGAGGGCTCGACCATGCGAGAGGTGGATGGAGACTGCGATTACGAGCTGGCATGAGATAGGTTGTGCGGGGTAGGAGGATGATTGCGATAAACGAGCAGATGAATGAATGATGGCCAATAATGACCATGAGCGATGCTGTGTGCCTGCGATAGATGATTTTGGAACCTGCGGGGGTTGTACGCGACCTGGACCGAGCCGAGGTCCGATGTGGGTCGGAAGGCAACCCGGGGAATCTAAGAAGCCGAGAAACCGGTGCGATGGATGACTGCATGTGGTGAGACACGGCGGGAGTCCCACCTCCAGGAGGCACGATGCCAAAAGGTGCGAATCCCGTGGCGCTCGGGTACGTTTAGCCCTGCACCTCTGACAAGACCCCGACAGGAGGCGTGATGATGGGCACCCGGGCGGACAGTGATGGTGCGACGGCGACGCGCGTGACGCCCGCAGCCCGCTCCAGCCGCCGCTCCTCCTTGGCTGTCTGCAGGCACTCGAGCGTCCGCCGGAAGCTGCGCGCGTTCCACGTTGGATGCCACGGGCAGTCGAACGGACCGAGCTCGAGGCTCGGGAAAATGCTATCGATGGCGCGGGCGACATGGATCGCGTTCACGCCGTTGGCCTCGACATCGCCGGTGAGCCACATGTGCTTGAGCATGTGGTTCGAGGTGAACGGTGACGAGTCGGTGCCAACGGGGGCCGGTGAACTGGCGGTGCGGAGGTCGATAGAAGAGAGGATGAGAGTGTGGAGGTCGGGGCAACGCTCGGCGAATGCACGGAGGGACCAGATGGGGAGGGACCTCGACAACGCGTTGTATAGGAGAGTGAGCCGTTGGAGTCGTGGCCATGCGTGCGCCATCGCCTGGACGTCCCGTTCACTGAGCGACGTCGCTACGCCGCAGCCGACGAGGTTGATGACTTCGAGCCGGGGGAGGGTGAGCAGAGGGCCGACGCTTTCCAGCGTTTGTGCACAGCCCGTCCATGGTCCAGAGATACTGATGGAGCGCAGTGATGACGAAAACTGAGTGGTGAGGGTGGAGTAGACGTCGCGGAATTCTTGCCAGTTCTCGGGGCGGGAGACGAACGCGCTGAACGCGGCGAGGTCGGGGGAGGAAACGTGGGAGAGGAAACGTGTGATGAGAGAAAGACTGCCGTGCACACGGAGGGTGCGCAGCGTGCTGTATCCGCATTCGAATGTGTCTGGTTCGAATGCATCCGAATCCCCAGTAAGGTTGATGCAGAATTCCTTGAGGTCCATGAGGGCGCACGACTGCAGAAAGGGAACGTGGGTCGGCTGGAGTACATGGGAGGAGCAGTTGATTACGCGGAGAGACTGGAGGTTACGAAGGCTGCCTAAACCGAGGATGGAGGAGAAGGGGATACAGCCGGACAGGGTGAGGGCGTTCAACTGGGGAGCGACTTGGTTTATGATGTTTACGAAGACACTGTGGTGGTCAATCATTCGGAGCGCCATTGCGTCGGTGCCGGAGGAGAGGATGCCACCGAGGGTGAGCTCTCTGAGTGTTGGGGGAACGAGGGAGAGCATATCTACGTAGTCGAGCAGAACCCGTTGGTGCCAGTGGAAGTTGAGGAGCCTGTGAAAGAGCACAGCGCCTTTTAACAGGTAGTTGAACCGGCCCAAAACCGCGGGAGGGATTCGATCCAAGTCGGCGCGATGGGACAATTTCTTTACGAAGGAAGCGTAGTAGCGCACTCGGGAAAACTGTGAGTCTTCAATCTCATCGACGAGGTCCTGTGTTAAGAGAAGCTGGGTCAGCCTATGGCAACTCTTGACTGCCACGAGCGTTGAGGTTAAAGCAGCTGCCCGACTTGTGACCTGGACATAAGCAGTCACACCGACGGGGAAGCCAAGGAGGGGGGCGGAGCGGTACGCCACCGAGTGGCAAACAGAGGGGCAAGAAGTGTGGGCGCGACTGGGCGCTGGAAGCAGCGGAGGAGACATATGGTTAGAAGGAAGGAACGCACGTATATGAACGAGCCGTCTTCGTGGACAATGGGCCGGAAGGCGGGAATAACGCCGAAGACGACGGAAAGTGAGTCGACTTGGCGCCACAGGACGCGGAGGGCGGGGTCGCAGAGGGCCTTGCTCGACCTCGCGCAGCGGGCAAGGGCGGTGAGCCCCGGGCGGTCCTCACGGGTTGCGGGGAACGACGAGGGGGCGAGGTAGTCGAGGATGTGGAGGAGGACGTCGTCGTTCCACAGCCGAGGAGCCATGGCGAGCGGGGAGAGGGGGGAGGGGGAAGGTGGAGGTTAGGGAGAGAAAGGCGTGAGGCGGAGGGTGCCTCAGAGGACGAGAGACATGGCACGAAACGAGGGCCGAGGGCGAGACGATCAAAAGGTTCCTGCAAGGGCTAATACGCGTCTGGCCGCCGGCGTCGGCGCTCCACTCCCCTGGGCCGCTTTCGACGCCATGCGACCGCCACGCGTTCGAATCCCAGCGGCCGCGAGCTCATCAATGCATATATCTGTGCACTGGCATTGCCCCCTCGACCTCGGCGAGCATATTGCCCACCGAAATCACATAAATGTACATTAGCCCGGAGGGGCCCGCTCGACAAAGTCGGCGTGCTTGCGCGGAGGGGAGTCAGTTTGGCGGCCTGTGCTGTTGTGGCATGGCGTGCCATGAGGACTGCGTCCGAGAGCCCAACCGAAGCCTACGTAACCCTCACCTCAACCCCCACGTCCGTCCCCGCGGCCACTCGCTCACGCGTTCTCCACGCTGGCCCATTTTTTCGTCTCCGGCTGAGCTCGCCTACGGACGTCCACCTGCCATGGCCGCCTCGTTCGCGGCCTATGCATCCCAGTTTCTCAACAGGCAGCAGACCGGAGCATCAAGTCTGTCCTCCTCTCAGCCCCTCTTCTACTCATTTTCGACCGACAATGGCTCTCACGCAGGCAATCTCCGCGATGCCGATCTCGACGACCTCGACGACCCCCATCTACACACCAGCAACGTGAGCCGAGCCACAGTCCGCAGGGACCGCGATACGCACCGCGACGACGAGGACGACCCATATCTCCGCCTCGACGAGGACGACCCACGTCTCTCTCGCCACCAGGCTGCCTCTATCCCTCTCCTAGGGGTCTCGGATGCAGGTGCGAGCAAAGGCTGGCTCGCCCATGCCTCTCCTCTTCGTTCACCATCCCCGTCCCCCTCCAACTCTTCTTCCGACTCTGCCGGCCCTCCCCCCGACATCCTCCACGCCCGCGCCCCCTCTCCCCACCACACCCGTCCACCACAAGCAACGTCTCATCAACCTCTTCCGCCTCCTCGCACCTCCCTAGCACTCTCCCTCACAGAGTCCCTTCTCCCTCGGGACGGCCGCACGCGCCCTGTAGATGTCTTCTCCCTTCCCGACCCGCGATATGTTCCCCGCAACCGCAGGAAATTCAATGACTCTACATGGACCGCTGTGTGGCTGGCAGGCGTCGGCATCTGTCTCTTCTCCTCTATTCTCAGCCTCTTCCTCATCCGTGTCCCCGCCAACTCTTCAAGGCTCCCCTACACCACCCTACTACACACTGTCCCACTTCTCACGATCCTGACCTTCGTGAGCGCTGTTGTATGCTATGTGCATATATTCCTCCTCCGAGTCTTTGTCAAACCTGTCATGATCGCAACCTCTGTCTTCATTCCCGCGACATTGCTCATATCCGCGGTATGGGCCTTCGTGGGTAGCTTTATGTGGGACAACAACGTGACGCCCACTTGGGGAGAGACATGGGGGTAAGCCGTCACATCCTTCCGCCGATAATACCGCTCACATCTGACGGTCCGTCTACAGACTTCGACTATTCTCCCTTGTCCCGCTCGTCCTTGCGCTTCTCACCGGACGGCGACTCCTCAACCTCCCCCGCGACATCCACACTGCGTCTTCGTTGCTCAATCTCACAACTCGCCTGCTCATGGAGAACCCATTCCTACTCGCATTGTCTCCCACAGTCCTCTTGGCTATGCTCTTGCTGTCAATTCCTTTCATAACTCTCGCTTTCCGGCTCCTCTTGGTGGGCTTCACTACTTCAGACGGCCCACGGTCGGCGTGGCATGTCAGAGAGTGGGCGCATTGGGCCATAGCAGGCACGATCGGAGTCTGTTTGTGGACATGGGGAGTTGGGATTGGGCTGCTCCGCGTTACCTGTGCGGGGGTCATTGGTGCATGGTACTTCTCCGAGTGAGTACCTGTGATTTCACCGCGTTTGTTATGTCTGACTTGCCTTTCAGCCCTTCTCTACCTCCTACGCCTCCAGCGTCCACGCATACCATCCATGCTGCGTTAATGCGCTCCTCTCAACCATCCATCGGTACGATCGTGCTTTCCGCATTGATTGTTACCAGCATTCGCATCATGGGACTTCTTATCTTGGCTCTTCGTGCCCTTCCCGCGTATCTCCCCCCATACATGCGGATCGTCACGGTTGGCGCTGGGATGGCAGTCAGCTACTTGGAATCAGCAAATAGCTCATTGAGCACGTATGCTCTCATCTACACCGGTCTCACAGGCGATGCATTCTTCCCAAGCGCACGCAGGTCGCACGCGCTGACGGGCGCGGTGGAGAGCGCGTCGTTGGCTAACTACCGACGGCGGTTTAAGACGGAGCGTGAGTACTGAATAGCTCTCACCATGTTGACAACATGCTGATTTGCTTCCTATAGCTCCTTTAACGCTGCTCACAGTTGCTCCGCTGACGTTGACGTTCCCTTTTGCGCTTATCACATACTTGTTTGTTGCGCATACGCTTGGGGCTCCGGATTCTGCGTTGTCCGCGTCACTACTTGCTGGCGGTGTCACCGCTCTCGTCGGTGTCTTCTGTATAGGTCTCGTGAAAGACACGTACGTGCTCATTCTTTTTGTTGAATTCACGGTGCTCAAATTTATGTCCAGTGCGGATGCCCTCTACATATGTTACTGTATCGACAAGGAGGCAGGCGAGCGTCGCAGGGAAGAAGTGTTCGCATCTGTAAGTGGTCTTTAACATCCTTATAGCGTCTCGATCACCTGTGACACTTAGCACGTTAGTTCGAGTACGAGAATCGCCACCGCGCAGCTCAGACATCACAATCTCGTGCCCCACCTGCGCCACAATACCCTCATCCTCATCCACGTGAAAGCAGGCGACAACCACTCCCCACATCGCCCCCACCAGAGGACGAGGACGAAGAGGACGCACCATTCTTTCCGCATCAGCGCACCCCTCAGCGGGCCCCTGCGCCTCAGAGGCGAGAGCCGACCCCAGATCCTTTCGAGGCCGACCCGTCACCGTCGGAGCTGGAGGTAGGGCCTCAGGGCTTTCTGCTTCAGCACGACCCGTACGCCAGCTCCGGGTCGCGCATGCCGCTCAGCCAGCGCCATCTGGAGGACAGCGAAGAGGAAGGAGGGGATAGTCAGATGTTCCCGGGGAGTGACCTGTTCTGAGGTGGTCGCGCACACGGGGATCTCTCGTTGTGGATGCTTCCTCGCGTACGATGCGGTGCCACGCCTATCATGTCGCTCCGTCTTGCTGTGCTCATGATGCTCGACAACGCACTTTTGGGTGCTCCTTTACTTATAATCATCTCTTGCGGGGACTTTGTTTGGTATGACCGCAATCGTGTCTGGTTTCGCGTTGGCTAGAAGGAAGGCCGTCTCACGGACCACTTCGATCGAAGTCTGCCGTTGTCATTCCCCATGCCTGCAATCTTATCCGTTGTACATGCCTCCATACTTCATGACCACGGTCTCTACCCTTATGTTGCTCAGATATCATGTATCTACCTCGTCTGCACATTGTCGCTGCACATATCTTCTTGTTTTGCCATACATACGTCGTATGCAACTAGAACGGACCGCTCTTGTGCATGCCGGATTCCGCGTGGAACCGTCGCCCGACGGCGTACGCCGCACTCCTACAACATCGCCTTCGCTTCGTCCGCGCCGCGCCCGATCCTGAGCACGATCTTGCCAAACTGCTCGCCGCGCTCGAGGAGGTCGAAGCCTTCGCGGGCAGCCTCGAGCCCGTCGAGCACGTGCGAGACGGCGGGGACGAGCCGGTGCGCGGCGAGGAAGGCGGTCGCGGCGCGCATGTCCGCGCGGGAGCCCATCGTCGAGCCGAGCATCCGCTGGTTCCGCATCACCTCGCGCATCGTCATCGTCACCGCCGGGTGCGCGTGCCTGGGGGCGATTGGGTGAGCGGGGAGGGATGGAGAAGCTGGAGGGATGAGGCCCGGGAAGCTATAGGACGCACATGCCGTAGACGACGACGCGACCGCCTTGCTTGAGCAGGGGCGAGGTCTTGGTCATGATGTCGCCGCCGGCGGAGTCGATCACGGTGCTGAGCAGGCCGCCGCCGTGCTGGTCGAGCAGCTTCCGGAGGTGTGTGGGCCAGCCGTCTGCGTTGCACGCGGCGACGGTCAGCGTCGCGCGCGGATGAGGCGGAAGAGGCGGATGGGGACGCACTGTCTTTGTAGCTCACCCCGCCCTTCGCGCCGAGCTCGACCGCTTGACGGATCTTCTCCGGGCTCCCGCTCGTCACGTAGACGTTTGCGCCGCGGGCGACGCAGAGCTGCATGGCGAGCAGCGCGACGCCGCCGCCGACTCCCGTTATGAGCACGTTGTCCCCGGACACCACGCCGCCGTTGATCATCGTTGCCCTGGGCCCTCCGGATGTCAGTGGGCATAATTCGGTGCTATCTGTTTCATTCGACGCAACAGTCTCCGATGCAGCACGCCTTCTGGCGTAGACAGCAAGTGGAGACCATGATAGCTCCACGCGCGTGCGGGCCTCACACTCAAGCCCAGTGATGTCCACATGTTCGGAGAGAGCTGCGCCAACTTGCACACGGTCGGGAGAAGAGACGCACCTCCACGCAGTGAGGCCTCCAAGCGGCCACGCGGCAGCGTGCACGTCGTCGAGGTGCGCCGGGGTCTCGAGGACCTCTTCGCGCTCGACGACGACGTACTCGGCGAACGTGCCGAATGCCGTGAACGCGGACGCCCCAACCGCGGTCACGCTGCCCCCCATGGCGTGAGTGAACGGCTCGAAAAGCGAGAACGATCCACTCGCGTTGTCTCCGGGGCGTCGGGGTCGGATATCCAGCCCCGCGTGGGGTTGAAGAAGACGCGCTTGTTGAGCAGGGGATCGGACACGTCCGCTGCCGCGACGACAATACCTGGCGCATGCCATAGAATCCCCCGTGAGCTCGGAGAACCGCCGTCGAAGTCGCGCGCAGCATACCGGCACCGTCCGTCCCGAACGGGTTTCCAAATCCAATGCCAGGATACAGCCCCTTGCGGATCCACGACTGGGGAACGGACCCAAAGTAGCCTGTTCAAACTTCACAGCTTTTCGACGAGCGCTGCACAAGGACTCACGTCTCTGTGGTTGAACGCTACAGCGTTGACCTTGACCAGTAGCTCTCCAGGCTTCAGCGCGGGGATGGGCCGTGTCTCGATCACCGCGTCGTGGAACACGGGCTTTGTGGGGTTCGCAGACTTGCGCACTACGAGAGCTTTCGCGGAGGTGGGCAGCCGTGGCGGAGGGGGCATTGCTTGCGACAGAGTGGAGCGAATGTCATGTTGGTCAACGCAGTCTGCTGGGATGTGGGGAAAGACCGGCAAGCACCGACTTTCTCGGAGCCATGCACCGCACGTGGCCCCGTCATCCTGGGCGCTTCCAGAAGGTCAACTTTCACCACAACCACCATCGGACAGGGCGAGCACCCCCGAGACTTCGGACCTTGCCTGCGCGGAGTGAAGAGGTTTTTTTTGAGATTCTTCAGCGCTTTTCTACGGCGCAGCTTCCGAGAAATTCCAGTCTTCTTCACAAAAAGAGTCCGTGAAAGCTCCGATCGAACTTCGTTGCGACTGTGATACACCTAGGTGCGGACTAATGCTCACTTTATGCATACCTTTAACGCAGAACATCTTTAGGTCTTCTGTATGTGTCACGATGTCTAGGCAACTACGGACTAGGAAGTCTCGTCCGAACTACGCCGAGCTCGCAGGTCTTGGAGAAGACGACGACGACGCCGGTCCTTCGAATCATGTTGACAGCGAGCTCAGCGGTAGTGACTTCGACGATAACGCAGCTGCGCAAGATCACCACGATGAAGATGAAGAAATGGTCTTCGACCCGGAGGAAGATGGGTTGGATGACGAAGCCGGCCCTTCAAAACGGCGCCGCCAGGCGTCGACACGCGAGGCACCGGTCCTCGATGAAGAATATATCAGCGCTGCTCCACGACGCAAGAAGGCGGGGACGAAAGCGGCATCAAAGAAGGCAGCCCCGTCGATTGCGAACCTCGCATCCGCCTCCTCTCGTCAAGTCCATGCTCCGCTGCCCAACAAGGATCACCGACATCGCTCTACAGGACTGTATCGCAGAGAAGGCGGAGCCGAACGGCTTGCCTCTCCGCCGTCGGTGTTTGGACCGGAAAATCTTGCGGAAACTAGCGCATGGGGCGCCTCTAACCTGATCGCGGAGCGCGTCAACAAGTCTTGGGGGTATAACACAGGCCCCGGTCCTCTCTGGGAGCTAATCGAGGACAGGTGTTGGTTCAAGGAGTCGCACGGCGGCGCGCGAATCACGGAAGCAGATCTACGCCCACGCGTATATCCGGACGTCTCTCTGGGCGAGTTCCAAGTTCTCTCGCAGCAGTAAGTTCCATGTAGTCAACATGTGCGAGAGTTTAACCAGGTCACTCTTTCTCAAGGGATGCATTGCCATTTCTCCCAAATAAAGGCAGAAATCCTGTGCCACCAATTGTATGTTCATTTGGACCACTCAATAAGCAGGCGCGACAAGAGCTACAAGTGTTCGATGCAATCAAGATGTGTACGTCTAGTGGATGCTTTGCGAGCTCGCATACTAAGGTTGATCTCCAGCGCACTTCTTCTCGGAGAGCAAATCGCATGTATTCAACGCCGGAGGTCCTGTGTGGGGTCTTGACTGGTGCCCGACACACCCAGAAGATCGAAAACGTGAGGCATCCTTCCAAGCCACACCATTATAGACCTGACCAATAGGGCAGATCATGGTCAAAAACAGTTCATTGCTGTCGCACCCTTTCCCTCTGTTGACTACTCCCCCACCGTTGGCTCGCGCATACAGCGACCAAGTCCCGGGTGCATCCAGATATGGTCTCTAGGCCCCTCTACAGACACCGATTCAATGGACGTAGACAGTGCCGGACAGAGCTCTACTGACGATCGTGGCGAGATGTGCTGTGAAATGGTGTTGTGCGTGGACGGTGGGCCAGCTTTTGAAGTCAAGTGGTGTCCTCTTCCTTCTGGAGATCCGAACACGGTGGGTGTGGGACATCTACCTGGCGAAGACCTGGCTCACTTTTTCCTCAGGGTCCCGAAGGCGCGCCGAGAAAGTTGGGCATACTTGCCGGAACCTTCGGGGACGGCTCTCTCTCGTTTTACACCGTTCCAGACCCGACCGCGCTCAAGTTGGCGGTCGATCATCCCGCCAATACTCCGATTTTCGGTGAGTTTACACATTGGTGTAATAATTTTCGATATTGACGGCGATCAACAGTCAAGCTCACCCAACCCATTCTTCGGATTGAGCTTGAGGAGACTGCTCTGTGGTGTATGGACTGGGCTGACAGTGAACTCGTCGCTGCGGGTTGTGCCAACGGTTTGTGTGCCCCTTCTTACAGACTCACTTCATTAACAACCCCACGCCATCTTCTCACAGGCTCCATTGCTGTCTACAATATCGCTGCGGCACTGAGGATGGGTCCTGGGTTTACTGGGTGTGAGCATTGGCCATCATGCCCGCAGTAAAGCAAACATTGACGTCCAACTGGCTGATTGAAGCGCTAATCCCCACTCATTATTTCACCGCGCACCAGTCTGCAATTCGTAGCCTCGCCTGGGTTCGCACCCCTGAATACAACGCCAGCAAAGAAGTGACAGGAGGTAGCCCGACTGTCATCGCGAGCGGAGGATACGATGGTGTGGAGAGTGTCACCGACATACGGAACATGCTTGGGGTCGTACTCAACCGGACGCGCGGTAAGCATCACTTCGACGCTTCTATACCTGCGATTGATGGACGACCGCCTTACAGATGTGGTCACCGCGATGTGTTATTCGACGTACTCGGGAAGCACGATAACTATAGACCACGAGAACATGGTCAAAGCCTACTCGCTCTCGCCCGTGACGCTCGGGCGAGGACACACTGTCTTGGAACCGGGTGGGCCTGCATGGGTACGTCCTAATAAGCCTGTGGAGTCTTGCGTCACGCTCATGCTTGCGGCCGTGATAGAGCTTGGCGGCTTCCGAGCATCATCCACAGCTTGCTATCGGCGCGACCGACGGCTCACTGCTCACTACCAACACGCTGAGGTCGACTCGAAGAGGTGGTCTTGTGGTAAGTCTACGTACATCTTCCCGCTGTGTCGCCCTGATCCCCGGCCGATAGCCATTTTTGGAACACAAGATCTACCAACTGGACTACAGCCGCACGCTGGGCGAGTACCGGATGCTCGAGAACTTCCTGCCACAAGTCCGTTTCTCTCTGTCCCGATTACCGACCGCCGAGTGCTGATGGCACGTGCGTCCGCAGGAAACTCAAAATCGGCAAGCTCGCCACGCTGCCGGAGCGACGCCCGGGGCAGACACCACCTCGGCCTGGCCGCCCGAGGTCGGTGTTCATCGTGTGGTGTGGAACGACGGAAACGGGCTTGGGCGGGCGTCGCTGGTCGCGTCTGGGACTGCGTCAGGGCTCTGTCGGATCGACTGGCTGGAGGGACGGTGGGCGCGGGACCCACCTCCATACGGCGGGGTGGAGGGGGTGCGGAGCGAGGTTGTGGGGAGCGTTGGGTTGGAAGAAGATGACGACGAGTCGGACTAACCCATGGTAGCAGTGTTAATTGGACGGCGGTCGCTTGGTAGTGGCCTGGCCGAGTGAGACCGTGCGTGAATGGGCGTCTATGGCGTGCCGGATCGAGGAGAAGGGGACTGAACACCGACGTCGTCCTCGCTTCGCCCACAACACCGCTCCCGGCTCATTGACAGCGCTGCGCTGCGGTCACCGCCAGGCCTGCCATGGCGATCCCCCGCCTCCGCCCGTCCTCGTCCCGCCCCCACCACGCCCAGTCCGCCGTCCTCCTTCCTCTCCTCCCTCCCCTAACTGAGCCCGGCTTCACAGGCCTCGCCCAGCCCCACTCATTCCCACTCCTCTCTCTCCACCCGGGCCCGCACTGGTCCCGCGGAGAGCCCGTTCGCCCACCCTCGCTCCCGGTCCACCCACGATCACGGACGCCCACGAATGCACGGACACAGTCCGTACGACACGCTCGTCGCACGAATGCGGAGTTGGCAACGCACCGCGCAGCTCAAGCTTCGCCTCTCGCTGGACACCATCGGGGTGGATTCCAGGTCACGGAATTGGGGATGGCTTGTGTGGATAATCCTCGTCTCCGTCTTGTCAAATACCTTCGTCCTCATCTACACCCTCGTAACATGGCCAAAACCCCTCGTGTTTGACAACTGGACGTCATTGTAAGTACTCGCACTCTGCTCTTGCGCCTTTGTTTCGCAAGTGCATCGTCCAGGGCCCCGAACCGCAGCACATGTGCTGACCCCGTGCGTCCAGACACAACCACACACTCGTGAACGCCGCCGCCCTCGCGTTAGACGACCCAATACACGCCTCGGGCAACGTCATAGCCACCGGTTTCTACACCGACGAGTTCGCCACCGCCGTCGCCGCCCTCGGCGACTCGCTCTCCCGCCTCGACACCACCGCCCGGCTGCTGATGCTCTACATCCCCGCCCAGGTCTCCCCGCGCGGCCTCTGCATCGCGCGCACCACCGGCTTCACCCCACACCCCGTCGCGCGCATCCCGCCCCCGAACGACGGCAAGGGCGTCTTCCCCCACTTCCTCGACCAGTACACCAAGCTCCGCCTCTGGGAGCTCGACGCCCTCCGCGCCGACGCCGTCGTCTACCTCGACGCCGACACCCTCGCGCTCCGCAACTTCGACGAGCTCTTCGCGCTCCCGTACGACCTCGCCGCCGTCCCGGACGTGTACCCGGACCGCAAGGGGTTCAGCATCCACTTCAACGCCGGCGTGCTCCTCCTCCGCCCGGACTCGGCGCGCTTCAGGGAGTTCGTGGGCATGCTCGCGAGCGCGCCGTACGCGAAGCACGAGGCCGAGCAGGCGTTCCTGAACGTTACTACGCCAAGGACGTCCTCCGGCTCCCGTACGCGTACAACGGGAACCTGGCGATCAAGAAGCGCAGCAGGGCGCTCTGGGAGGGCATCCGCGACGAGCTCCGGGTCGTGCACTACACGATGGTCAAGCCGTTCACGCGGGACAACAAGAACTACGCGCTTGTGCCGATGCGCGAGCTCGAGGCGAACGCGAGGCGGCGCGGGGCGGAGTTTGGGGGGTGTTTAGGGAGGAGATGGAGCTGTGGGCGAAGGCGTGGGCGGGGACGTATACACGCTATGGGGACAGGCTGGAGGCGTGCATGTTGCTGTCGGACATACCGGGGACCATGGGCGTGAGGACCCGGGTGGGTGGTGGTGTGTGCTCCTCTGCTTTGCGCTGCGCTCTCGAACGGCCCTCGTTGCACGTCGTACGCTATGCTATCCACTTGTAGGTCGATGACTCTTTGCATTATTATTCAAAAAAAGCTTTCACTCTCTCTGTTGCTGGTGAAGACTTCCATCTGTGCAGACGCCAAACCATGCACGGAACTCACACGATGGCCTTCCCTTTTCAACTACGGGTTCTTAAGCATCCAAGATCTGTATTATGTCGTGTCGCAGCGGGCGTGCGAGACGAGCACGAGATAGCGACCACACGGTAGGACATATGCAGGCGGCGGCGATCGCGGAGTACGATCCCGCCCACCAGTTCGCCCCCTGCGTCCTCCTTCCTCCGTCCATTCCTTCCTGTCGTTCCGCCCGTGATATCGGACGCACACGAAGAGACAAGGCATGGTCCATGGGGCCAAACGTAAAGCTACATACGGCCGCGACGGTGTCCGATATTTGTCCAGAGCCAGTGTCAGGATCATGGACCTGAGTTGTAACGGCACGTACATCTACACCATTCATATTATGGCGAACGGCGTGGGTGGGTTGATGATGTCTCGAGCGCTGGCTTCCTATACAACACATGAGTCAAGGTCGCCAGCCTAGTTCTGGCGCGTGCCTTTGCCAGTGCAGGCTCTGGGGTGGAGCCGGTGTGGGGAGAGGTTCGTCCATAACGAGTGAGCCAATTTTCATGTTGTGAGGGAGACACGGAGAGAAGATGTGGACGTGGAACGGGGGTCGAGTACTCCTTTTATTCTTCATGGGATCTATAGACTTGTATGCATTCTCTGTATTCTGTAGTACCTGTGTGGGCATATTGACGTTGCTGGCTGCGACGTTGAACCCACTCTGAGCTCGTGAAGGCGAAGACGCACACCAACAAACGCCAGAACAAGGGCGTGTGCGCGAACTTCGAATTCCGCTGTTGGCGCAAGGGGGATCAACGCGAGATTGGGCAGACATGGCCGTCGTTCACAGAGGTACTGAGAGGCATGCAAATAAACCATGAGCGGAAATCCGACAGTGCAGGATGAATTCTGGCAATGTCTTGACGGGGAATCCGAGCGGGCTCTCGCTACCAAGCCCATTTAGGTCGCCCACGCGGCCCTGCCCAAGCCTTCCGTATGCTCCAACCGCCGACGCCCCCTTCCATGCGCTCCTTCCACTCCAGCAGTATCTGCTCCGCGTCCAGTTCCGTATTCCATCTTTGAGGGGGCGGGACGAGGTACACCGGCACACTTGCGCCCACGATCTTCTGCTCGAGCTGCTCGAGGAAGCTTCGGCGTTGCGCGAACCCGAACCCGCACATCAGACCTATGGGCGGGTCGGGTTGGAGGATGATCTTCTTCATCTTCCACGACCGCGGGGGTGCCCTGGTCTCGGGGGCTGCCGTACCGAAGGATCAGTGACGTTGGGGAGAACGAGATTGCAAGCGCCTCACCGGACTCCGGGCTTGGTTGATCGGCATCGAAGACGCCCTCCACGCTCTCAGCGCGGAAGTGGGAGAGACGAAGATGGGTGAGGTTTGGAGCTAGCGCGATGAAGGATGGTAGGCGGAGGACTTGGTCGGTCACGCCGCGATGGGAGAGGCGCTGGAGAGAAGGGAAGTGTGTGGTATCGAAGAATGAAGAATAGGTGCCGACCACGGAGAGCTCCCGCAACCTCGGGAACAATGTCGGCAGAGGGACGCGTGTGCTGAGGAAGGGGGTTTGAAATGAAATCGTAAGAGTGTCGAGGGTAGGCGCAACCTCGTTGAGGAGGGATGTGATGAGAGCGCAGTACTGCTCTTCGTCTGCTTGAGTAAAATCCGTCCGCTTCGGATCGTGTGTGGACATGACACCCTGTTGTCGCTGAACGGGCTCATGGGGACCGTTGATGCACTTGACGTACAGGCCGCGAACGAGTGGAGGAGAGTCGAGGCTACGAGCGCGTTCCGCGTCTAGATGGGAGAAGAACGTCCTCAGTTGCGCGGGATGTCCATTGAGTGCGACAGTATGAAACCGAACAGGCGTAGAGGCAGCGTGGATATATGTAGAAACCAAAGCGAGAGAGCGTGACGTTGGACCACCATCAGTGGCAGCGAGAGAGAAGATGTACAGGAGGAGCTCGGGTGGGAGTATTTCCATCGCGGCTTGCAACGCAAGCGTCCCGGGTGCGGGTATTATATGCACCCTGTGGAGGGCTGTGCCCACGTCAACTCAAGAAGATGCCGGGAGGACACGTGACAAAAGCTCACCACTTGATCGTGGCGGGGGTATATGGGGGTATATGGTCGCTGAGAGTTCGTGATACATGAGATGATGTAGATATACGAAGACAATCAATCTTGAAGGTCGACAATTATGGGAAGTTGGAGGGCTGGGAGTGATGCATTAACCGACACCCTGCATGGAGTGTCTTCAGACTGTCCAATCAACGTGGCTCCGCGTGCTTCGTGAATGTGACCGAAAACATGTAGCCTGCAGCTTTTGAGATCGTCGCGGGTGAGGCGTTCGGCGAGCACAGGGCATCCAGCATTCTTGTTGCGTTTAGTGAGGTCGCAGATACCAAGAGGAGGGGTATGAGTCATGAGAATATGTGTTCCTGCAGGAATTTGGTCACAGACGACCTGGGCTCCTGAGTCGGCGTACTGGAACGCCCCGAGCGAGTAGAACGGCGCAGCCTGCACTGGTGTGATGAGGAGGAGGAATGCTAGCAACGGGGAAAGATGACTTACCGGTGAGCCGTATATGGTGTACGTGCGCCCGCTTCGAGCAGTATATGTGGCAGACTGATACTCTAAGTAGGTAATTCCAGCTTTGCGCGTAGCTCTGCTGCGAATGCGGGTCTGCGCGGTTGTGATGTCCTAATACCCTCCCAACGATTCAGCTTCACATTTTATAGCATTCAGTATCCGCAAGTCACCTTGTCGTCGAGACGCCGAGGTTTGATTGGACGCAGAGAGCCGTTTTCCTTGTATTGGGCATCAAGGCAGAGCTAATCGGGGCTCAGCATATGTGAGAGAATACTACGAAGAACCTTGCCCACATCATGGTTACCCGCTATGACGCTACACGTGTATTCAGCGTGTGTATGACACAATGAGGACGCGGTGGACATACAACTTCGCCCGGTGGGGCAGAGATTTGAGCCATTGCAACGTAATATCCAGGTCCTTCCAAGTACCGTGTTTGGTCAGATCACCAGCATGAAGCAATACATCGCCGTCGGGGACACGACAGAGGTCAGAGTGGTTGTCGGAGATACAGACGAAGCGTGTCCAGCCATTGCCAGGATGCGTCGGCGGGTCGTCCAAGTCGTAGGTGTCGTGAACCACGGCCGCTTTCTGTGCCTCCTCGAGAGCCGGTGCTGAAGTCGAGCGAGGTGACGGACGAAAGTGCGAAGAGCTACCGCGCACGAAGTCCAAGAGCATGGTGGTGAAGGAAGTATCCGGGGCGAGCAGGAGAGGGAAGCGTGTGAGCCATGATGTGGTTGGTAGCGGAGACTTATGGGACAGCGGAAGCGCTTGTGGACGAGTCGGAGGACAGGCCACGGCGGTGTCGGACACTGCCATCCGGGAGATTAGATGAGATAGTAGGACGACTCAATCGACTCGACTCACTCTTCGCGTTTTTGCGGCGTGTGAGGTCCGCCTCGTCTCTTCTTTGCTCTATCACCATGGCTGGCGTGCTCACTCTATCCCCAGTCGCCTCCCCTTTCCCTTGGGGCGCTGCCGCTGCCGCGACTTACACGGGCAAAGCGACCCTCGACTTCGACATCGCCGCCCCCCAAGTTACGCTCGAGCTCGATGGCTCCAAGATCGTCGCCGAAGATGAGATCGTACAAGCTCTCGCAAAAGCAGGAGGCTTGGCAGAGGACAGTGCAAAGGTGCGCAGCATGTCCTGTGAGCCCCATAGTAGTCTCACGAGCAACGCAGTCCTCTGCCTACTTCGCGCTGGCCAAGTCACTGCCCACCGTCACTGCCTTCCCTGAGATTACGGCCGCGCTAGATTCCCTGGACGATTATCTCGCCTTCCGCACCTTCCTTGTTGGGCACGATGTCACTGCCGCCGATCTTATGGTCTGGGGCGCTCTCAAGGGTAAGCACAATGACTGAATATCTGGGGCTCTCGTGCGACCGATCGCGAAACGTTGCAGGGAGCGTGAAGATCGTGGGTCTCCTCAAGAACAACAAGCACCCACATCTTCTGCGGTGGTACTCTCACATTGAATCTCTTGAGTCAACACAGGCTGTCATCGTGGGCTTGGCTGGTACGTCGACTGTCCTTTTGCGATGAAGAAACCTGACCGACCATTCCCCTGACATGCAGAGGCGAAGTCTGCGAAGGCGCGCTCCAACAAAACTGCGGCATCCTTCGCGCTTGGTCTGCAGAACGCAAAGGAGGGCGAGGTTGTCACTCGCTTCCCTCCCGAGCCTAGCGGCTACCTGCATATCGGCCACGCCAAGGCTGCAATGCTCAACCAGTACTTCGCCAGGATGTACAAGGGCAAGATGATCATCCGGTTTGATGACACCAACCCTTCGAAAGAGCGGGTGGGTCCTCATGTCAACCGATTGTGCGCGTATATTAACGTACTCTTAGACCGAGTTCGAGGAAACCATCCTCGAGGACCTGGCCCTGCTTGAGGTCCACGGCGATAGGGTCACACATACGTCGGACTACTTTGACAAGCTGTACGAGGATGCTGTTCAGATGATCAAGCTCGGGAAGGCGTACGCCGACGATACCGAGCAGGAGCAGATGCGCAAGGAGCGTATGGACGGTATCGCATCAAAGCACCGCGATGACAGCATCGAGGACAACCTTAAGCACTTTGCTGAGATGAAGATCGGGAGCGACGAGGGCAAGAGGTGGTGTGTCCGCGCGAAAATGAGCGTCGACAACCCAAACAAAGCTCTGCGCGATCCCGTCATCTATCGCGTGAACGTGCTCCCTCACCACCGCACAGGGTGAGACATATTCTGAGGATCCATGAGCCCATGCTGATGTTTACTGTCAGGGACAAGTGGAAAATTTATCCCACTTATGACTTCGCTTGCCCCATCGTAGACTCACACGAGGGCGTCACACACGCCCTCCGTACGAACGAGTACCGCGACCGCAACCCACAGTACCAGTGGATGATTGAGGCTCTCAACCTCCGCCCGGTCCACATCTGGGACTTCAGTCGCCTCAACTTCATCTACACACTCCTCTCCAAACGCAAACTCCACTGGTTCGTGGATAGCGGCTTCGTGCGCGGCTGGGACGATCCTCGCTTCCCTACCGTACGCGGCGTTCGTCGCCGTGGTCTCACGGTGGAGGCCCTGCGTCAGTTCATGTTGGCGCAAGGTCCCTCTCAGGCTATCGTCTCGCTGGAATGGGATACTATCTGGACACTCAACAAGAAGGTTATCGACCCCATTGCTCCTCGCTTTTGGGCACTCTCTAGCAAGAACCTGTGAGTCTTCTGATCAGAGAGTACATGTTATGTAACCAACCGATCTCGCAGTGTGCCCGTTACGATCAAGGGCGGCCCCGTCGCGCCTGAGACCAAGAGCGTCCCCAAGCACAAGAAGAACCCCGAGGTGGGCGAGAAGACGACAGTCTACTCCTCGCAGATCTTTATCGAGCAAGAGGACGTGGTCTCCTTCGACGACAACGAGGAGATCACGCTCATGGACTGGGGCAACGCCATCGTGCGCACGAAGTCCAAGGACGGCTCTGGTGCGATCACCGCGCTCGAGATGGACCTCCATCTCGACGGCGACTTCCGGAAGACGAAGAAGAAGGTGACGTGGCTCGCACAGCCCGCCGGCGCCCTCGTGCCCACAACGCTGCTCGACTACGACTACCTCATCACGAAGAAGAAGCTGGAGGAGAACGACGACGTGAAGGACTTTGTCACGCCCGTGTCCGAGTTCCGCGAGGACGCGCTCGCGGACGCGAACATCAAGGAGCTCAAGAAGGGCGACATCATCCAGTTCGAGCGCAAGGGGTACTACATCTTCGACGGCGTCGCCGAGAGCGGCAGGTACGAGTTCATCAACATCCCCGACGGCCGCGCGGCGAGCATCGCGAGCAAGGCGGCGGCGCCCGTTGTGAAGGCCGAGCCGAAGGGGACTGAAAAGCGAGCCCGGGGAGCGACACGCCCGTGGAGACCACGATGTACAAGATCGACAAGGTCTACGGAGACGCCACCCTCAAGACTCCAGTGGAGACCAAGATGTACAAGGTGGACAGTGTGTACGACTCGTAGAATCCAATGTGTTGTGTGATGTATTGATACTGTAGCATTTAGAAGTCAACTAGAAGTACTTAGTCCTGTAGTCTTACCGGAAAATGCGGGAGTAAACAATTAGCACGGTATACTAACACAGGAGTCGTAAGAGTCTTGGTGCACAACGTGAGTAAGTCCAGCGTGGCGGAAGTGGGATGCAGCACTTCAATACAAAAGAGCTCTCACACGCGTAATGGTGGGAGCACTGATGTCTAGCATTTCAACACGACGTTCCATATTACAACAATTAAACGTGACAAGACCCAGTGAGCGCTGACTAGATTTACAGTTTGAATTTGACCTACACATCGTGGTTAAGAACAGACGTGAGAGGTATTACGATAACGATGACCCACGTACTTGTGACAATGCAACGTCAATCGCGGGTTGCAACGTATATTGCAGTCTTTGCACTAAATCCAGATACTTGCTAAGTCTTCTTCGACTGATATCAGGCCCGAGCCGCGCACTCGCGTGCAGCAACACGCGAAAATCGAGATCCTTGATGCTCGCCGCAGGGGCTCGGTGCCCGGAACGGAGCTTCGAGTGGACTGGCTCCATACAAACGAAAACACTGACAAAGACCGCCAAGAACTCGCTGAATTTGGGGCTATCCATCAGCTTGAACGTGTCGCTACGAAAAGCGTCTTGCTTCTTCTCCAGCACGCCGTCGACCGCCAGAGAGGCGTCATGGTGGTATTGCAGTAGATGATGATACACCAGCGCAGCAACGTCCTCCATTTGCTTCACGTACAGGCCGAGGATCTTAGCTCTCAGAGTAGATCTTGCCGTGTCGTGGATGTAGTCGGAGTCAAGTTCGTGGGCCGCGGCGGCAAAGAAAGCCGCCACGGGGGACGAGGCCGCCTTCTCCTTCCATCGACGGTGTAGCGCTGCTGCGACGCCGTCCATGCCCAAACTTTGAGAGGCTTCCAGAGCGCGAGCGATGCGGTCAAGAGTTAAAGGCAGCCCCACTTCAGTCAGGTAGCATACACGAAGCAAGTCGACGACGGTCTGCGAAGGGAAGTGGATTTCGACGGTGCCTCCGTCCTCGACCTGCACAATGTGAGGATTCTTTGGCATGTGGACGACGAGCATGAGCTTGTGCGTTTTCACCCGGACATTATCCGAGCATTTGAGGGTGATGTCGACTGGCAAGTCGGGGGTGATGAAGCTGGGGGTGATGTCCAGGGAGGAGGGAGTGGAAGAGGGGCTCTTAACGGTGGCAGGGGGTGGGACGGTGGATGGGACGGGTAGAATCGTGAAGACGCAGGAGGAGGAAGGGGAACGGAGATATTCGCGTAGGCGATAGTAGGTCCCAGCACCAATCCGATCGAGGACACCCAACCCTTCGGCCTGAAGATGAGTTCTGATGCTTGCCGTCATGGTCTCTGTACTAGCCTGAGGGGCCTTCATGGTTGCTGCAGCCTGTTGAGCAATACCTGCGAGACCTGCCCGGCACGCGATGGCCCACACTCGCAGAGGATGGTCGGCGATTGCAGACTGAAGGCGGTCCGACAGGAAGGAGAGAGGCCACTCCATGTCGTATTTGATTGCTGCCATTAGCACCGGCTCGACGTCTTGCAGGGACTCCATGTGGGGCTTGTTCAAGGGGTAGCAGAGAAGGAGTAAACAGCGCAAGGTCTCCTCTGTCTCAGATACATCGACGACAGGAGGGTGATCGCTCTGAGGGGCGGTAGAAGGTTGAGGGATGGAAAACATGTCGGCAAAGACAGGGGATGCTTGGGTGAGGATGGCGCGATGGACGTGGAAGTAGACATGCCCCGAAGAACGAAGGATCAGGTCAACAGACGGCTGGTCGAATGGCGACGCCGCGACCGTTATACCGTCGAGTGATTCCATCGGGAGGTAGTGGGAAGACTGCAAGAGGCAAAGACATGAGTTGGCGATATCAGGGGTTACTGACCTGTGGTACCCGTGAGAAGAGCGTCCGCCGACGTGCACGGGATGACCTCCTTCCCCTGCGCTCCTACCCCCTCTCCCCACTGGGCCCACCCCGCCCGCGACTGATGCCATAAATCCATCGCTGCAGACCAAGCAATGGCCTTTTTCAACCCTCCTCGCGCATGCGGGTCTCTGGCTACAGAGACGTCGACGTTTGAACGACCACCCAACACGCACAAGCTATGAGCACTCCCGGAGACGACCAACATCTAGTGCAGCGGAGTAGCTGCAACAGAGACCAGTTGGGGAACGACAAGGGGTCCAAGGTCAAGTCTTCTGACGTCTACGGCGAGGATTATGAGAATGCCGCCAGTGAGTATCGTTCATTTCCTTTTTGCGTGTGCGTGGTGTTCAACCACCCGTTCGTGTTCAGTTAAATACCGCACCATGGTCTGGTGGAAGGTGGCGGCACTCATGCTCGCGGCGACGGTATCCTTGGGGGTATGTTATTGCATTACACCCGAGGATGGGATGTCTGACCTCATCCCAGCTTCTTTCCATCCCCTCCGTGTTCGCAACCGTGGGCATGGTCGCAGGATGCTTCCTCGTCGTCGTAAGACGCCCACTCAACTCACCCGTTGGGGACTTATGCTGATACTTCATTTCATCACAGGGCTTGGGAGCGATCGCAACTGCGACGGGATATATCTTTGGCTCCTTCAAGCTGCGATATCCCCATGTCCACAACATGGCCGATGCAGGCGAGATCCTCGCCGGCCCCGTAGGGCGCGAAGTGCTGGGAGCGGCGCAGGTCCTCTTCCTCGTTTTCTACTGCGGGAGCCATGTCCTCACAGGACTCATCGCTTTCGACACAAGTGAGCTCATTCTCATTGACGGGCGGCTCTGCTGACTGGTGCTGTCCTCGCAGTCACCGACGGCGCGTCCTGTTCCATCCTTTGGGCGGCCGTGACGGCGATCATCTGTCTTCTGTTGACCATTCCCCGGACACTGAATGGCATATCCTATCTGAGTGTGGTGTCGTTCATCTCGATCCTGGGTGCGCCTCGTGAAACTCTGACCCTTATGAACATGGGCTGATATCAACTTGGAACCTATAGGTTCGGTTCTTATCACCATGATTGGGGTCGGAGTCGCGGCCACACGGGGACTGTCACCATCACCGTGCATCTGCCCTTTGCCCAGGCGTTCTTGGCTGTGACTAACATCGTAAGCACCATTTTTTCCAAATACTTGCGCATATATTGACTATATAATCCAGATGTTTGCGTATGGTGGCCAGATTGCGTTCTTCACCTTCATAGCAGAAATGAGGAAGCCCGAAGTATGTGGGCTCCCTCTGCTGCACTGTCGAACCTTCTACAGTCGTCTGATCAATATGATTTCACAGGACTTCCCCAAGGCGCTATACATGCTGCAAATCGCGGACACGACTATCTACTTGATCGTCGGAGTTGCCATCTACTCCTTCACTGGCGAAAACACTGTTTCGCCAGCGCTGGGTAACACCGGAGTTACTCTTCGTAAGGTTGCGTATGGCGTAGCGCTGCCTACGATCGTGATCGCAGGTGTAATAGGCGGTCATGTCTGCGCAAAGCTAGTGTTCGTCCGCATGTGAGTGGCGGCCACCGAGGACGTCATGTCATTCCAGATGCTCATTCCATATTGTGCGCAGATTCCGCCGTAAAGGTTATACTTCGCGGCACATGACGTCGCACTCCTGGACCGGCTGGCTGACCTGGATTGGCATCTGTGCCGCGATCTGGACGGCTGCGTTCATCATCGCAGAGCTGTGAGCAGGATCAGTTTTGCTTGCACAGGTTCACCGATTGATCGGCATCTCAGGATTCCGTTCTTCAACGACCTGCTTGGAGTTATCAGCTCGATCTTTGGCAGGTGCAGATGCCTCCTTTTGAGGATCCCCAGCGAACTGACTTGTGGATCACATGTAGCTGGTTTACGTACGGCATCTCGGGTATTTTCTGGTTCCACTTGAACCCCCCGGGACTCGATGGACGACCACGAAACAGAAGCTGAAGTCTGTGTTCTGGTTTGGCATAATTCTGGTAGGATACTGTCCCTCATTCCCTGTAGATGCGCACGTGCTGAGCCATGCACAGATGGCAGCGTTCATCATGGTTGCGGGGTTGTACGCAAGCATCCTCGGCATCATCCAGGGTGAGTAAGGGGTCATGTACTCGGTCTTCAGAAACGACACGTCGCCAGGATACCGCAACGGACAGTTCTCCGGACCCTTCTCGTGCGCGAGCCAAGCCCTCATTTAGGATGACATGAAGTGCCAGTTTCGTCGCTGTCGTTGCTGGCGAGGTGTATATTATTTGTATAATACGAATCTTATTGTTTCTGTGTAACGCTAGCGGACGAAGCGCGGCCTTCTTGGAAGATTGGGCGAGAAGACGTAGTGGCGAGATGGGAATGCGGGGAGATGGGCACAGTACTTCAGTGATCGAGACGGATCGAGGTCGAACAAGGGCCAGTCCGGCGGACATTCCAAACAGGGTTGGCTGCGGTTCGCGATGCGGACTGATTCGGGTTGTGCGAGAGTTCCAAATGCTGAGAATAAGTGGCAGTATATAGACGACCGCCGTCTGCCACCATCACCACCAAGTTCCTCTCCCTTAGCACCTTATGGCGCGCACTACGCAATCTGCCCGGAAGTCGGGCACCCCGCGTCCTCCACGCAGGTTTGTCGCCCGAAACATGCAGGCCCGCCCCCAATACCACGTAATCTCCACGACGCCCGCGTCCGGTCGGGCCCATCGACGCTCGCGCCCGGCGCGCCGACGACCACGACGATGCGCGCCCTCGTCGTGACCAAGAAGGGCGTCTCCGTGCAGGACTTCCCCGTGCCCGCCAAGCTCGCCGACACCGACGTCCTCGTCAAGGTCTCCGCCGTCGCGCTCAACCCCACCGACTGGAAGAGTGCGTACGCCTCGCGCCCTTGCCGCACCCGCTCCCAGCCGGTGCGCTGACCCGTCCGCCTCCGCTCCAGTGCTCTCGAGCGGGCGCGCCCGCCGGGCACCGTCGTAGGCTGCGACTTCGCTGGCACCGTCGTCTGCGCCGGCCCCGCCGTGCCCGCCTCGCGCGCGCTCGGCATGCGCGTCGCCGGCTTCACGATGGGCGGGACACACGCAGACGGCGGCGCGTTCGCCGAGTATGTCAAGGCGCCGCGGACCTCGTCTGGCCCGTGCCCCCCGAAGAGGCGTGCGCGATCTCGGACGCGGAGGCGGCCGCGATGGGCTGCGCGTTCTGGACGGCTGCGCTGGGCCTGTACGCGCGCGCGCACCTCGCGCTCGCGTACCCGCCCGCGCAGGCCGAGGGCGAGCAGTGGGTGTACGTGCACGGGGGCAGCTGTGAGTCGCGCTTTCAACGAGGGTGGACCGTGCGCTGACGCCGTGGGGTGGGGCCTGCAGCGGGCGTCGGCCTCTCCGCGTCCAGCTCGCCGCGCTCTCGGGGTACAGGGTCGTCGCGACCGCGTCCCCGCACAACCACGAGCTCGTGCGCGGCTTCGGCGCCGACGCCGTGTTCGACCACCGCGACCCGGACGTCATCGCACTGGTCAAGGCCGCGGCGGGTGACGCGATCGCGCTCGCGTACGACACGATCGGCGACGCGCGCGCGCAGGCGACGTGCGTCGCGGTCGTGCGCCCCACTGGCGGCAAGGTGTTGCACATCCTCCCTGTCGACTGCGAGGCTGCGGACCGCGCCGAGGTCGAGCATGATTGTGCGTCCATACTTTCGTTCTGAGGGGGTCCGGTGCTGATGGGGTGCTGTGGGTGCGCAGACTTGCTGCTGTACACGGCGTTGGGGCGCGATTGGACGTGGGGGGACAAGGCTTGGTCCGCTGTGCCGGAAGACCGCGAGGAGATGGCCAGGTTCTTGGAAGTGCTCCCGGAGTTGGTGGGTGAGGGTGGGATCAGACCGCTGCCCGTGAAGATGTGGGAGGGCGGCTTGGACGCGATCCCAGATGGGCTGGACTACCTCAAGGAAGGAAAGGCAAGCGGGGAGAAGGTCGTGTTTCGGATTTGAGGCAAGCAGTCAATGCGATCTATGAGCGTTGCGTGTGTAAGTCTAGGTGGTCACGATATAAATGACGGATTGCATACCTGGCAGCAGGGGCAGCCACGCCCGCCAGAGTTGAACGGCGCAGTGGGGCATGATAATGTCGATCTTCATGAGCTCCGGAGGAGCTTACTTATGTATTATGACTGACTCGAAACCCATTATGTTCGGCTAAACGCAGTCCGGCGTCCGCTCAGTCGAAAGGGTGCATGGCGGGCAAGGAAATAGTAGGGGACAGATATCTATTGAGATTAGATTTTTTCGTACTAATGGTTTACAATTAGATCAGACACCTCTCTGCGTGCGACCGCGTACATCATCATCGTGAGTACAGCCATCACAGCACCTCGGTGTATAACGATTTTCTGAATTTAGCGGCGCATCATCTGGAAGCCGTCGACAGGCCCTGAGCACGCGAACGTGTGAGGCGCAGTCGGGCGACAGTGAGATGACACGGAAAGGGAGGCTCGGCCGCGGCGGAGCGGAGAACGAGCCGAACGGGTCGTGAGCGTTGAGGATGTGTCTTCGTGAGGTCTGGAACCGTGTAAGGCTCGCGCGACATCTGCGAAGGTGGCATTAGTCGAGAAGCGACTAGGCGCAGCGATGAGATCGACTCACCACGACGGACATCCGTCAGCTGGGAGCCGAAGCCGAAGATCTGGAGATTAGGGAGTAAAGGGCCTAGAGAGGCGATGCAGCGAGATGGGAATCGAGGTATATCGGACTTGAGGGTATAACCGGGGGCAGGGTATCGATGCAGATGTGGTGATGATGTCGAGTAGAGAAGTCTTGCGAGAATATGATGTTGCAGCTGATGTCGTATGCCATGTCGTCGAATCCAAGATATATCGAAAGAGATCGCAGAGAAAATGATGCAGGAGACCGAGAACCCAAGATGAGATCGAGATGGAAGGAGATCGAGATGGAGCCGCGCTGTCGTCTAGTGATTGTTTTGCAAAAGAATGTGTACCAAGGAATGGCGTGGTGCGGAAGCAACCGCGAGTCTTGAAATCTTGCACCGAGAAGAGATGGAGTTGAGAGAAAGATGAGATGCCCAGATGTAGTCGTCGAAGAACCCGAGTGCGAGAGAAGTCCGAGGAATGTCAAAATGCATGAGACGGCTTGATGAAACGCGACTACTTGCGGGATGGCGACAAGAGTCATCGCAGAGGTCGTGACAGATGGAGCGACAGGTCGATGTGGCGACGAGACAGCCTTGTGTTGAGCGAGCGAGTGTGTCCCAGGCGGCGGGTGTTCTCGAAGCCAAAGGAGCGCTCTAGAGGACCTCGACGACAACGTCATCAAAGACCTCGGAAGCGTCGTGCCAGACCTCGTCCTCGTCCTCGACCTCCTCGACGATCCCGACCATGACCTCCACGGTCTCGTACCAGATGTCGTCGTCGACCTCCGCCTTCGTCCCTTCCTCTTCCGCCTCCTGGACCTGAGGCGGCGAAGAGGACGAGGATGCGCCGGCCGAGGACCCGATCGCTGGACGGTGCGAAGACGTCGCAGAAGAGGACGCGAGAGACGAGATCACCTGAGTGAAGCTCATGGAGGCCTCCCACGAACATGAAGAGGCGACGCCGCTGGTGGCCTTGGCAGACAGCTTGGGTCCGAAGACGTCGGCCTCAGCACCGGCGAGGGATGCCACGTCGCTCTCCGGCGCGTCGCAGAGCGTGAGCGAGGCCATGAGCTGATGGAGAGGAGTGCAAGCACCGCGCGGGGGAGTCGAAGTGGCCAGGACGTCCCAGTTGTCGCCGCTCCAGCCTCCACAGGCGTAGAGGTCGGCACTGGTGAGGCTGCTGTTGCTGCTGCCACTGCTGTTGTCGACGGTGGTGTCGACGTCAGCCACGGTGAGGTCGCTGAGGACGGATGTGGACCGAGGGATGGCGGCTGCGGGCTTGAACGAGTACGCGGTGGAGGCGGAGGGCTCGTTGGCGACAGGGTCTCCGGTAGCAGCGACAGTCGGTGTCTCCTCGGCGGCGGCGGGCTGGGGTTCTCCAGCGGCGGCCGCCACATGGGGTTCATTGGCGGCAGCGGCCTCTGGCTCCTGGGTAGCGGCGACGACCTGTGGCTCTTCGAGGACAGTGTTGGCCTTGGTCTCCTCAACAGTATCGGAATTGGGCTTGTCGACAATGACGACGACGACGACGACCTTGGGCTTCTGGACAACGGGGGTGGTGGCCTTGGGTCCCTCCACAACGACGTTGGCCTTGGGCTCCTCGGCGGCCGCGGCGGTTTTGGGCTCGTCGGGAACGATGACGGGCTTCGCAGCGTTGATGGCGGCAGGGGGAGGGAGCGTGAAGGCCATGGGCTGAGGCACGGCTTGGACATGAGGGCAAGCCTTATGGACAGGCACGGACTGGGATAGCACAGCGTAAGAGCGACGCCAGGGAGCAACAAGCGCAAGAGAAGACGCACCGCGGCCGCTGACTTGGGAGGCTCGACGCCTGCTGCCGGGTTCTCCTCGTACGCCATGGGGACATCGTCTGCCTCGTTGAGCGTGAGGGATGACAGCATGTCCCGTGCGTCCTCGAGCTGCAGCTACAGGACAATGTCAGTGGCTGGATTCGCGACGAGACAAGAGGGACGCACGTCGGTCGCGGTCGACATCGTCACGTCCTCGTCGACAACCGCCATGCGGTCCACGGTCTCCTCCTCGGTCGCATCGCATAGGATGGCCTGCGCGCGGTCCGGCTTCTGAGCCCCGAGCGTGCGAGCCTTGCGCTGCCGGTCGCGATGAAGTCGACGCTTCTTGCACGCTTTGATGTCCGCGACCACGTCCTTCGCCTTGACGTACGCGAGCGAAGGACCATAGTGCGGGAAGGACTTGCGGTGGGGACGGACCGGCGGGCGAACGCTGCGCAGGACGAACGCTTGAGGAACCGCGGGAGCGACGCCAAAGAACGCGACGGGGCAGGTGAAGGTGAACTCGAACACGCCATCTTGGCTGTCGTTGAGGATCCAGTCGCGGGTGTAGCGGAGGAACCACTCGCGGAGCTGGAGGGACGCGTCAGTAACGGGCGGGGCCAGCGGAGCAGAACGAACCTGAGCTGCAGGGCCTTGGTACCGGACGCGCTTCTTGTTCACGAGGCCTGGGGTGGGTTCCCCTCTGCGTCTCTTTGCCATGCGCTCCTCGCTGCCGTCGACTGAGGACCTGAGTGGGCGTCCCTCGTTCATGATGGCGAGCTTGCGGACGAGCGGGTTAGGTGGGGCGAGGGCGGAAGGGAGTGGGTGAAGGGGGAGATAGGCAAGCATGATGGCTGAAGGCTGGTGGTAGTAGCGTGAGGTAACGCAGGAGGCGCAGGGTAGCGCAGATGGTGGAAGTTCAAGGGAGAGGAGCGATGGGGCTTGTAGTCGCGTCCGAGGGCTTTACATAGGCTCTGGACGGGGCTGACAGGACGATCGCTCTCTGGCCAGCCTCTCTCTGGCCAGCCTCTTGCTCGCTTCTCGCCGATTCGCCGACTCGCCGATGGCCAGCCGCCAGAGTGCCATGGCAAAGCAACGGATGTCATCTTCGCTCTGTAGGAATCAATGTCAGAGCGGAAGAGACCAGTAGCAGGAGTGGTACAATACCCTTGCAACAAAATATCCGAAGCCCAGCGCATGGAGAGCGCATAGGAGGACTTGTTCGGCTCGCTATGTTTTCGGAGCAGTTCGCTCGTCACGACGACTTCACGGAGGTAATCCGAGGGAGCGCGCAGTCACCGATTTGGCGCATGGAGCTTGTGCTGACCAGTGGCTGTCATCGGTGTTTCGTCCTACTCAGGATGTCAGCTCGTAAACCCCTCACGATTTGCGTGCAAGCATCAAGGCCAGAGCGAGGAAGCGGATGCTAAGTCCCACTCCATCGTCCTGTGCGCTGCACAACTGCACGTCGCTATACACCACGGTTAGGCAACTATATGCGCGCCGCTCGGACGTGCATCGCGCGGTCCACAAAGGCTCGTGCGGTGCGCGCGCGCGCGCCTCGCCCCCACATTGGCTGCCAGTCTCGAGGAGCGCGAGCAGCAGTAGTCATACCAGTTCGCGCGAGATACGCCGGGTCGGGTCGGACTGATATAGGGCAGGGACTCACCATAATCATGACTTCCATGCCTATGTCCCGTCATGCCATCTGTTTTTCTGCGAAATCACGGGTGGCGGTCCAGCAGCGAATGGTACACGTGGGTACGCGCGCTATGCGGATTTCGTGGTGAGGAGCCGTCCATAGCAGTATGATTTTATGCGGAGGTAGAGGACCCAGCTGCACATCTGGATTGGGTACCGCGCACAGACTCCATTCTGTTGTTGCACGGTTGGGAAGGATGTCATGTGCCTCCAAGTCCGACTATCTCTCAGAAGCATAGGAAGGAAGTGAACGGTTGGAAGTGTCAGTGGATGGGAATACAGACACGACGGGAAAGGCCAGATGGGAACCGCCGGAGTAGGACGTTCACCAGGCTGAGGCCATGTTCCATGTCACGGTCACGGTCTTTGTCTGGTGTTGCGCACACCAGACAAAGACCAGGAAACATGGTCACACCATGGTCTCAACTGGCCTCCGTCAGTCTCGCGCGCCTAACGCACTCGTGAGAAATCCACCTTTTTGTGGTTCTCACTCGCTCTTGATTCAGTGCTCCCTCCCTCCACGCTCTATTATATAATCACCTTACACCGAGGCCAGGCTGAGACCATGGTGTGACCATGATTCCTGGTCTTTGTCTGGTGTTGCGCACACCGGACAAAGGCTGTGACCGTGACATGGAACATGGCTTCAGCCTGGCGAATGCCCTGTTTCGGCGTTCACCATCTGGTCCCTCCCGTCGTGAGAGAGGGCTACGCGCCGTGCGCGACGCTCATGTTAACGCGGGACCATTGCGCGGGGGGATTTCGCACCTATTTGAAGACCCCACCCAGGCCGCATTGCAATTGCCCCTCGTCCTAATATTTGCGGTGTGCGTTGCGCGCGTAAAGCCTTGTTCCAATCCACTGTCCACGAGCGCGACACCAATGGAACGTGCCATTCCTTGTTGAAAGCGTGCACACCACGATGATAAAAGGGCACGGAAGAGGTGTTGGGATTCGATGAGAGCGCGGAGGAGACTGAAGGAAGAGAATAGATGGGAGCGGTATGGGAGAGAGTCTGAAGGAGGCGCGCCTGGTCGGCGCAGCGCATTTGGTGTCCGCGACTCCGCGGCGGCGCGCTTGCTCTCGCCACTCTGGCTTGACTCCGCTTCTCAGCTTCTGCCCTTGCACCCACACTGCCGTCTACAGCTTTGTTTGGGGCTGGGATGCATCATGCAACAGACGCGGCTCTTCAAGGCGAGGACTTCGTCCATTCCATGTGTTCGATGCTTTGTCTCTTTCACCATCCTTTCCTTCAGCTACAGCATGCTGGGAAATACGCTCCCTCTGCGGCAGCATCTCATGTGTCCGTGCTCTGCAGGACAATGGCTATACTCGCGTCACGTCGCTGAATGATGTTCTAGCGCAAATTCGCTTGTGAAACCATCACTGTGTTGTAAGCCTCCTTCCCGCCATCCATGCGTCTTCGTACGCTTTCATTTGTTGCTTCTCCGCCCCTGCTGAATGGTGCTGTCTGTCTTCGAAGACACGCCAAAGCTACGTGTATTTTTTACAGCGAAGCACCTCTAGTCTCAGGTGAGTAACCACTATCTCACACCTGTGCACACAAGTCACATCACTCACACCACACAATCACCATCGAAGGCCTTATCAGACGCGCCGCCTTTTGTTTCTAGACTCCCAGGCGTACTTCGCTGGGCTCGCTTGGTCCGCCAGAGCTGCTCTTCACTCGACGCGTACGCCGCGGCCGCCCATGCTGGCACACACGCCGATCGTCGTCATCGCGGTCGCAGTCCACGACCCCCGCCTTCTCGGGCCCTTCACGTTCCCAGCAGTGGCACCTCTGAGGTGCCCCTCCTCTCCCCGACCCCGCCCGGCCCGCAGGGAACCACCCGAGATCGAAGGCACCCCCACCCGGCGCGGCTTTCATTCGCCACAACCGCAATCCTATCTCGCCCGCCCGCTATCAACGTAACCTTCGCCGGACCCACGCCCGCCCCGTCACACGCGCCGCTCCCACCGTTGCTTTCTCGCTCCGCGCGCGCGCGCGGCCGTCGTCGCGACCCGCGGCCACGCCTGCACCGCGCGCGCCCCACGCGGGGCAGTCGACCACCTCCGCACCCAGCGCCCCGCTCCAACCCAGCGCCAGCCCCCGTCTTCCGTCGGCCGTTCGTCGCCCCCGAGGATCGCCGCGACTCGAACACGCCCGTGCGGGGAGGCCGCCCCCGCCACGCCGCGGTCAACCACCACGCCGCCTGGGCCCGCCGCGCGGCGCTCCGCCGACCCGTCCTCGGATTTCCACGCCGCGTCCACAACCGAGTCAGCCATACGTGCGTCCGGGTCCCAATCCAATCCAATGCCATCGCACCGCCCCGATCGCGCACTGCGCGCTGCAGCGCCCATACACATACATGCACACACAGCTAATAGTCTTGCCAAAGTGGTTTCCTCTCACCCATCGATCGCCCCCCATGCCACCCGCACCTCGGTCCGGACGGCGCCCCTTCGAGATGCCCAACGTACACGGGCGCGTCCCAGATATCTGCACGCCCAGCGTCCAGAAGAGAATTCGGCCGTCTGTCCACGCGCGCGGCCTGCGGCGACGCTGTGGGAGACTGGGAGTGCTTATAGCTTGAGCGTCGGAAACGCAGTCGCGCGCCGCGGCCGCGCGGCAGGCGTGCTCGGCAGCTCGGCGGGTCGTCCGCCGCGCTTGTGTGTCCACGGGACTGCGCGCGACGGGTCTACCACACACAGTATGTGCACTTAGGAGGGAGAGAAGGCCACGGCGAGGCGCGAGGCAGGCATGCCCTAGGATCATGTGGCTGGCCTTCTGCGCCGCGACACATAGTAATAGTCGTATGCCGTAGTGCGGCGGATGTCTGGATGTGTGCGCAGGAGGCGTCGTGGCGGAGTCTCAATCATATGAGCGTGCTGCGTGCGGGGCGTACCTAGATACGAGCCGCAGTCGATTCGCCGACGTGCATCGGGCTGCGGCGCACCAGCACTTGCTGAGGCGATTCTCGGCAGCGGGGCGCCGACAGTCATGAAAGACCTCGACGATTCCAAGGCACCGAACCCAGTCCACTCCCAGCAAAGTCCGAGCCGGGAGGCAGACACCCGGCTTGCCTTGCGCGCTGACGTCGTCCTGTACGCACGGATGGAGCGCTCGTGACGGGCTGCGCCCCACGCACGCCCCGCGAGCCATGGCCGCGGCGAAGGCGGACATGGGAATCCGCACGTTCGAACGTTCGCAGCTTCTGGCCAGCCCGCGTCTCGAACCCGCGCGCGCCCGGGCGTCTGTGAAGCTGCCGCGGTTGAGCTTTCCGAATTCACGAGCACGCAGAAAGGTCTGCTGAGTGAAGGCGGCACGCCTTGGCGAAGACGAACGACGGACCAACTGACCACTCGGCGACCGCACTCCCTGCGAGCCCCCCCCCTATCTGCGTTCCCATCCCCGCCTCGAGCCGCCTCGGACGAGGCGACCAAGTGACGCGTCCTGGGGAGGAAATTAGGCCGGCGCCAACGCCGCCGCGCGCCGTGCCCCCAGAGTCGTCCGGATTCGGACGCCTCGCGCCCCGGCCCGTCCCGCCGCAGGTCGGTGTTCGTCCGCGTCTGCAGACCCGCCCTCGAGGCCGACGACCGCCCGGGGCGGCGACGGAGGTGCTATTTGTGGGTGCACGAAATGCGATAGCCTACCGAGCTCCGAGGGGCGAGGGGCGAGGAGGGGGAGAGTGAGAGGGCGCGGCGCTAGTGCGCATACGCGCGGTCGTGCTCGAGGTGCTCGGCGCGGGAGCCTTGGCAGCCCGGTCGGATGAGGTGGGAGAGGAGGGGAGGGGAGGTAGAACGGGTGGGAGTAGTACGCGCGGCCTGGTGGCGTCGCGGGGGCGAGGTGTGAGCATGCTCGTTCGAGCGTCGTTCGGGCCCGGCCACTGAAGCCTGAGGCCTGAGGGCTGAAGCTCAAGGTTACCGGTGTACGTGCTGGGTTCGCAGCGACCGGGTACGTGCGAGAGTTTTCGGCAAACCAATACAGGTCGCCGCGGAGAAGGACGTACGGTTTTCGGCAGCCACGACGACTCGGCCGGCCGACGCTGCAGGTCGAGCGGAGAGTGAAGCTGCGGGGGAAATTAATGGTGGTCGGCGGCGGTTTCTCTTCTGGAACGTACGGTTGTCGGAACGGTCGGTGCAGACCTGGAATGATCCTGCAGCTGGGTTGGGCATGAGTTGCGTAGGTATAGGTATGTGTTGCCCAGAAGGGATCGCGCAGGTCTCCGCGCACCGCACCGGGCGCCGGTATAGCGAATCGGCGGACGAGGACTCGCGCTCCATCCCGGATAGGCCGCAGATACGTATGGTATGTCGTCAGAGCCGTTCGCAGAGCCACTGAGTCTGCGTGCGGGGGTGGCGTCCCGCCCAGACCCCGCCATCCCGCCACCCCCGCAAGCATATCGTATCCAGGAGCCTGCTTTCGATCGCAGAGGCGGCGACACACGGGCCTGGACACGGCGCGCGTCGCGGACTGGACGTGCTCTTGCGATGACGTCACGCGTCATGAACGCGATGACGACACGCGTTCCCGCCTAGCGCCCACTGCACTCCGCCGGACAGGCTCGACGCGGGAACGCCTGGGTTGCTTTGAGTCGCCGGGGTTGCCAGGTGCGTCAGTGCGACGTCAGCGTCGAGCGTCGCGCGTCGACGTAGACTTCGGCAAGACTTCGGCTCCTGTGATTGCCTTCGTCGGACGCGTAACACTGCCCACTTTCGTGAGACGCGGCGGGGCGTGAATTTGAGCAACACCATATATAACTTGCGCCGCCCTTTCGAGGTCTATGTTTCCCTGTCAGAGTCCCTGTTCTCTTCACGCGCTCAACCCAGGATGCAGAGGCATCACAACACCCGACAACAAACAGCGCGCCGCTCGTAAAACACGGTTCCTAGCCGAAATTGCACCGTGATGTCGGATCACCCTGACCCTCCCGCGCCGACGTGGACAAGCCAACGCGTACGCGATATGTCCGTCGCCCCGTCGTCTGGGGGAACCCGAGTGATCCCTTGGACGGCTTTGAGCCCCATATGTCTCCGCGCGAGCACCAGCATCGTTCGGCAGGCACCGTACCGCCGCGTACGCGCGCGAATCACCCGTCCGTCGCCCCCAAACACAACCCAAACGCGTCCCGTTCCCCACCCTGAGAGCGAGCTCGGAGCTGGGGCGCGCTGGCCGCGTCCGCGGCATCCTGCGGCTAGTGTTGCGATGGCTCGGCTTGGCTCGGCTTGGCTCGGCTCAGGACGGCTGCGAGAAAGCCAAAACTCGAGCCACGGCTGCGATTTCGGCTGTTATTACCAAAGCCGAGGCCAAGCCGCCCAAGCCATCCATGAGCCGCCTTTTTCAATTGGCGCTGGCCGCACAACAAATATTCATGCTTTGTAGTGGAACAGAGCAACAGGAGGATGATAGGACTGCATTTTATATGTGCCCACGATGCACAGAATGTTTTAAGATTGTCAGGAGGACGATTGGACAAAGTCGACCAAACACCCATATTGCAGGCAAAACTCGAGTCGAGTCTCAGATCTCAGATCTCAGATCTGACGTCGAGTCCGATCAAGCGGGGTGCTTGATAACTACAAGTTACTTACACAAGCTACGACTTATAACACCACAACTATTAACAATTTAATGGTTAGCTCAATGTCACCTGACTGTTCAACTCCCCTCCGCCTCCGACCTCGACCTCGACCTTGATGCCGTCCTTCACGGTTCACCGGCCGCATCCACATTGTACGAGGACTTCCATCCGGAAGTCCTCAGTATGGAAATTCGGGTATGGAGGCCGCGGCGATGTACCGCGGCCCTTGTTATGGTGAGTCCCCTCCTGCACTCCCTCCTGCTTCACCCATCCACGCTGCCCCCGCCCTCGACCCTCTCATTCGCGTCGCCTTCCTTCGCGCGCGTCGTTCGCCTGTGCGTATCCCACCTCCTGCGCGTTGCTCACCTGCGTGTCGCCCACCTACGCCTGCGTGTCGCCCACCTGCGCCTGCACGTCGCCCACCTGCGCGCTGCCCGCATCCTCCCTCCTTCGCCTCCGCGTCGTCCGCCTCTGCACACCTCTGCGTTACCCTCCATCTGTATCGCCTACCTTCGCGTCGCCCGCCTTCGCCTCACCCACCATCTTGTCCGCCTCATTCCGGCCCTCAGTCTGGGTCCTCTCGCGAGCCCTCCCTGTTGCCGTCCTCCGCATCCGCATCCCCGGCCTCTGGGTCCCCCGCGTTTACGTTGCCCACATGCCCTCCTCCTCCTCTGGGTCCTCCATCTCGTGTCGCCCACCTCTGCCTCCGCGTCGCCCTCCTCCGCCACGTTGCGGCCCTCGGCATCACACTCCGCCTCCTCCACCTCGTCGCGGCCCTCCGGAGTATGTGCCGCCCTCTACCTCGCCCTCCTCTGCTCTGGCGCACGTCCTGCTCTGCGCGCACATCCAACTCGCGCGGGCTCGGCACGGCGTCCTCTCCTCACCCTCTGCCTCCACCCCGCTCTCCTTCGTCTTGCCCTCCTCCGCTCTTGCGCGCGTCCCGCTCATTTGCGCGAGCACATGCTACCCGCGCGGGCGGAGCACCGCGTCCCACTGCCCCGCTGCCCCATCCCGGCCCTCTGCCTCGCCCCCTCTATGTCGCCCTCCTCCGATCTTGTGCGCGCTGGTAGAGCTGTGGTCAGCTGCCTTGCCTCCTATTTTGTCTCGGCCCTCCGCTTCCACCTGCCCCGCTGTTGCCACTATGTAGTAGTGTACTAATAAATATATTTTCGTTGCCAATCCTACGCTTGCGTCATGCAGGAACATATAAGAGAGTTCGCATAAATCCCCTTCTCTGGGCGCCCAGCGAGCGAGCTGGAAATATTCTGGAAGAGCCGGTCCTCCGTCTTGGGAGGAGGCGCCCAAGACCGGCTCTTCCAGCGGCTCAGCCATCAGTCCATTCTGGCTGCTGGCGTCAAGCTCTCCCCTCGTGGGAGGCTCGTTCTGAGCCGATTTTCCCAGCCCGGCTGACAGCCAAATGACCCGGCTGGCGCAGCCAGCCGAGCCGAGCCGAGCTATCGCAACACTACCTGCGGCTGCGGCGCATCCGTCCATCCCGCTTTCCCACGAGGTCGAAGTTCGAGCGGAGCTTGAAGACCGCAACCCACGGAACGGGCCGCGAACTGCCCACCCGCCACGGGGGGCGCTCCAGCGGGTCGCTGTCCGAGTCCGTGCCAGTCGGGAAGCCGCTGCGCCGGGAGCGTGAGAGCGATTGGGTCAGCGATGGCCCGCGTCGTCCGAGCGGCACCCGAGCTCTGACTACGCGTCCGCGCGGGTGCACGTCTCGTGCCCGGTCGAGCTGCGCTGCGCTGCGGGGAGAGGCCGCGCAAGCGTTGCCCTCGTACGGACGGTCGGTCGATCGGGGGCGCGATAGCCCTGCGCACATTTCGGCCGGGACATCGCGCACGTACGCGTACTGCATGTGCGCGATCGCCGACGGGGATTCTCATTCGACCGGGACTCGGGCCATGGGCCACGCTCGCAAGTACTATGACTCGGCTGACCGTTCGCTCCATACCGCATATCGCCCACGTATGACTCGGCTGGGGGTGCGCGCACCCACACCGGCCCACACCGCGCTTGCGCGGATGAGTAAGGCACAGCACAGCGTTTGCGAGCCGGGCACCTCTGCGAGCCCGCGAGCCTCGGATCTGGCGGCGATGGCGTCGATGAGCGAGGCCTTGATGAGCGCACGGAGCGTGTTGTAATGCGCACTCGTACGTGCTTGCGTGCCTTGTGCTCATGCGTCTTGTGCACCAATCGACGCGGCCGCACAAGCCCCCGAGCCCCCGAGGCCCCTCCGTCCCTCGTCGGAGCTTCGCGGCCTGCATGACACGACGGGAAAGGCCAGATGGGAACCGTCGGAGTCAGACCTGCAACAGGCTGAGGCCATGTTCCATGTCACTGTCACGGTCTCTGGCGAACACCAGACAAAGACCAGGAATCATGGTCACACCATGGTCTCAGCCTGGTCTCCGCCAGTATGCTTTATCAACACACGCCTACTCCGCACGTGGGAAATTCCACCCCTTTGCGGTACTCATTCGCTCCCGATTTAGTGCCCCCTCCCTCCGCACTGTATTATATAATCACTGCGCAGGGAGACCAGGCTGAGACCATGGTGTGACCATGATTCCTGGTCTTTGTCTGGTGTTCGCCAGAGACCGTGACAGTGACATGGAACATGGTCTCAGCCTGGTGAACGTCCTATTTCGGCGGTTCCCATCTGGCCTTTCCCGTCGTGTGACCATCTGCGCGCGCGCCCGAGACCGCCCGGGCTGCTCGAGATCTAATCTCGCAACCTCAACCCTCCGCGACTTTCTCAGGTTCATCTCCCCTGGGCATGTCCGCGACCGCGCCCGCCCTTTCGCCTCCTCGAGGTTCACCTGGGCGCCATCGCCCCCGCACGACTGGCGAGCGCTCCGACCCGGTCACTTCCGGAATCCGGCCCTTACAACACTCAAGTCTAATGCATAATGTCCGAACATTCAAGCTCCAGCTCGCGCCTCGAGCCCCAGAGCCCCACGCGTACCATGCGATCCACCCGTCGGCCTTTCTCGCAGTCCGCGCGAGCGCCCAGGCGCCCCGCGAACGACCCGCGAGCCCGGCACGTCCCAGATCGTCGACCGCGTTCGAGTGCGTGCGCCGTGACTCGTGAGCGGTTTTCGCTCTGCCGATGGGGGCCGTGGCTTCGAGGGCTCGCGGCGACGTTCGCGGACGTTCGCGCGTCGGGGCGCGGGCCGGCCCGCGCGCGCAGCTTGTAGGTTGCAGCTGGTTTCTCCGTCTAGTAAGTTGCCGCGGCCGCTCGCGCGCGCGGGGGCCCAGATATCAGCACGTGCGCACCGAGCCCTGGAGATGCAGCGCACGTCGACGTCGTGCCCGCGAACTGCCCTGCGCACTGAGCGGGAATGCCTGAGGCCTGAGGCCTGAGGTCCGAGGAGACGAAGGCCGCCGAGCGCAGTGCCTGGACCGCGCAGCAGGGGTCAACTCGCACGCCAGGGGCCGAGGGGGTCGGATGCGCGCCGAGGCCCGCCCTTGAGGCCTGAGGGAGAGCAAGCATTCGGAGGCTTGCGAGGGGGGAAGGGAAGGGGGGCGTACGTGGACGGTGCCGCGGCGATCGCCGCGGCGCGCGGCGCGAGCGGGGGTGGCGCGCGAAGTGGTAGTACATATCATACATATGAGCAGGTCTGTGCGGACCGGTCGTGCTCCGTTTGGGCTCGATCGTCGCGGAGCGCAGGAACGATCCCCCCGGGTCGGTCGCCCGAGTGGCGAGCGATGGTGGTGGGGGAGAGGGGGGCCAGCTTGGAGGCGCGGGCGCCGGGGATGAGGCTGAGAGCTGAAACACATCGGGCGCGAAAAGGCACAAGAAAGTGGTCACACTTTAATGCACACGGGAGGGGTTGCTATTTCAACTTTCGTTCGATTCGTTGTCGTCGTGACAAATGCTGCTGCTGCTGCTGCTGCTGCTACTGCTAGGCTACCTACATGTGGCCTCTCGATGCGTGATAGTGGTGCGTGATGGAAAACGTGCAAAGATCCTATGCGGTACAACGTGAAATGCGACGTGAGCGAACCCGGGATGGACGCGCGACTGGGCGGTCCGGTGCGAAAATATATCGTGTGGGTTTGAGAAAGCAAGAAGATGATGAGAGAGATGTGAAAAAGTGCGTGCGAGGGAAAGCGTGAGCGGACGATCGATAAACATGTGTGCGTGAGGTGGAGATGAGATAGATGAGCATGGAGAGGAAGCAGCGTTTTGTCCGAAGCGTTGTCCATCGTATGAGAGCACTGGAAATGCAAGGGTGGAACGCGTGGGAAGGGGACGTGGGAGCGCGCACAGGGTCGCGCGAATGCGCAAGCCAGCGTGCGCTCCGGTGGGATATCCTGAAGAGAGATGGACGAGAATTGAGTGCATAAGGATAGCGGATCCGTAGGCCGGGGACCGAGAGTCGTGTGTGGAAGTGTGTTCCACGCGTCGGTAGGCGTTCCAGCGCGCCCCGGGCTGGGGGTATCGGACGAACACAAGCCGGGCGGGAACTCAGATCTTAGAGACCGCGCACATCGACTGTGTTCCGTGTCCACGCGCACGCGAACCGTGTCGACCAGGGCTGCCGCATAATGGACCTGTGCGCCACATGAAGAGCGAGAGATGAATGGACCCGGAGGAACTCTATGTGGTGTGCCGCTTGAGCAGGCGCCGCTTGGCGTGGAACACGCCGAACCGCACGCGCACCGAGACCGCTTGCCATTGCCTGCGGAGGGCGAGCGAGCATGTCGGTCTGGGGATGGAGACGGTCAGGCTCTGGGGATGACGTGGAAGCGAAGAGGATACTCACGTTGTCGCATGCTCATCGTCCTCTGTCACCTCGTCGACGGTGTGCAGAGAAGGCGCGGACTCCGCAGCCTTCTCCGTCTGCATCTCTACACCAGATGTCTTCTTCGGCTTCGACCTTTGCCGAACCAAGACAGCGCATCGCTTCGGCTCCTCTACTAGCTCCGCCGCGTTGTCACCGAAGGGCGACTCGTGCAGCTGAAGCGCGTTCTCATCCTCGAGGGAACCGGACGGACTCGAGGTCGGCGCGGCGTCGGGGAAGTAGTAGTAGGTGGAGGTGTAGGAGGAGCGGACGGCGCTTGACGCGTGCTTGCGCGGGGATGATTGTGGCGAGGCGAAGTGCGAAAAGTGTGACTGACTCTCGGCCTCGTCATCGTCCTCTGCGTCCGACTCGTCCACCTCCTGTGTCCAGTCGCGTTCCCAACTCGGCCGTGGCGGGGAGAGGGTCATCGCGTAGCGCTCGCGACTTGGCGAACGCGTCGCGCTGCCCGAACTCCGTCTCCGCTTGCTGACGTTGTTGTTGCGCGAGGGGGGACGGATGATTGGGAAGTCGCGGTAGTCGGGGTCGTGGAAGTCGCCGTTGTGGTCGACGTACGCGCGTGTTTGTGTCTGCGACTCGGGAGTGGACGGGCTAGCTGATGACGAGGAAGAGCTGCTCGCGTACGCGGGGTCGAGGAGACGCGAAACATCGGAGGCGCGCGTTGAAGGCGAGTAGTCATGATATGAGTGGTGGGTTGGGAGGAGGGTGGAGAGGCCGGGGAGCGGGGACTGTGACCGCCGCCGTGGCTTGTGCGACTTGTGGGGGGAGGGAGGGAGGGAAGTGGATGCGGGGAGGGGAAAGTCGTACATGGCTGGGGAGGGATGTGGGGAAGGGATGTTCAAGTTCAGGATGGCTTTATATGGGCAGACGAACTTGGGTGGTCGTCGGAGTGGGCAGTGGGAGGCGGAGGCTATATACGCGGGAGGGAGGAGGTGCTTTGTCCGAGTGGCCTTGTCTGATGGCTGGGACCACTGCTCAGACCAAGGGAGGGATGGGTGGCGGGGCGAGTGTGACGGGGACACGGGACGGGGAAAGAGGATGGAGGCGAGGCCGGCCGACCCTTTATAGCGATGGCGCCTGCATGCAGCACGACCGACGCCAGATCTCACAATGAGATCACCGTCCGCCCGCCCTCTCCATTCACACTCCGACATATCTCGCCATTTCCCACGCCCCCATTTCCCGTTGGCTGCGCGCCTGCCTGTCCTGGCACACTCTCCGGCCACGCCATGCCCTCGTTCCCCTCTCTTCGCCCTCCTCTCCGCCCTGCCGCTGCCATCCCACCCTCTCTGCCACCCCCACCCTCCTGACCTCCCATCCGAACCCTCCTCCTTCCTCCCGCCGCCGACTATCTTCGGTCCGATGGTACGCCGACGAATGTGCCGCACGTGACCGCGACGCGTATGCGCATGCCCCTTCCTGCAACCATCATCGACTGTCCCCCATCCGAATATTTCTCCGGCTTCACTCTGGGATGGTGTCCGCCTGGGTGGCCTCCCAGTCGCCATGGATCGCGCGATGATTACTCGCCCTTGGCCTGACTCAGCCACTGGACGATTCGTATTCTCCCAGCGCCTGACCGTCCGATCGCAGATATGACAACTCCTGCTATGGTTCTCTCTATACTGGTCTGCAGTGCTTACGGAGATGCAGTCACCCCTCGGTGTTCCGCCCTCTCTCCATCCCCTGCCCATGACTCACCGCGTGTGCTCTGCCCCTCCACTTCCAACTCTCCCGCCTTCTCTTCGACCCCTGCCCGGCGCCAGCGGACGCACTGCAGAAGCTGCACTACCGCCCGACCCCGCTTCCCCGATCTCCTCGGCCGGACGCCTTTCCACCGGGGCCCAGCTCCTTCGCCTTCTTGTCCCCCACAGTCCGGTGCTCGACGCTCCCTCCTGCTTGGTCAGCCACCGGTGCTCAAAGCGCACCCGCGACGCGCCTCCACCTCCGTCCATTCAACCCATCCGCATGATTCGGATTCCCGGCTTGGCCTAGAATATCAGCCTTCCATCATTCGGATATCGCGCACACCGTCGAGATATCGACCCTGCATAATGCTCGCAAACATCGTATACCGCGCCCCTTGTTTTGCGTCTGTTGCGGTCTGTTCCCGGGAGCGAATGTTGTATCCATGTTCAACGCGTAAATGCGAACAGACGCCTTCATAGAGAACTTTCATCACCCCAGGGCAGCACCGGTCCCTGGAGGACATCAGGTACGCCGTTCTGCAATCCAGACCGTCCGTGCCTCTCTTGATTGCAACCCGACAGCCGTCCAAACTCCGTCACCAGTCACATCAATGAGATTCAAACGAGAGGGGCAAGATCATGGATGGCTGCTCACTCGCTGTATCACGCGTAGCGCACCATTATGACTGTCGTCCGACGTGGAATGAACGCTCGTTTCATTCGAGTTCTTCCGTCTTCTCGCGGTCTTGTCCTCGCCTCAGCCCCTCTCGCCCCCCCTCGCACGACCGGCCCCCGGCCCCACCTCGAACACAAGGGCGCACCCACATAAGAAGCCACCTAGTGTGTGCTGCGTGTATGCGAAATACGCACGCATGCAGCGCGTCGACCATTCGCTCCTTCGAGCTTCGCTCATCCCCCGCCTCGAGACGCCCCGCGCCGTCCTTCGCTCGTAATCCCGGCGCTTCTAGTGCCTGGCGGCGGATGCCGGGGGGCTAGCGCCAGACCGGCCGGCCTTCCTCCGCGCCTCGCCGTGCGGGTGGCGTGCGCGTGCTGACTCGCCCGTGCGGGGCGGACAGAGAGAGGTGGCGCAGGTGAGACTGGGCTGCGTCATCCGTGAGTGAGCACCTCTGCCGTTCGCCGCTCACGAACAGGTTCCATCGAGGCCACGGCTCGGGGCGGTGTCCGAACTGAGGATGGCCGGACACCCGCATATCCGTATCTGTTGCCTACGAGGTGCGCCGCGCGCGCTGTATCTGGTTCGCTCGGATCGCACCGCATGCCGGGGGAGAGGAGATATGTGTACTGCTGGGATGCACCGCCTCGGCCCGTGCCACACGCGCACGCGAGCTCAGTGCGCCCACGAAACGGACGGCGCGAGTTGGTCGCCGAACGGTTTCCGGCGTTCAAGGGATGGGAGCGATGCCGCACATGGTAAGATGAGTGTTTTCTCCATGCTGCTGCGGGGAGGGTGTAACACGATCGGCCGTCAGGACGTCCACCTCCTGTCAAGTCCGGGGAGGCCCTGACACAGTGACACATTCACTCACAGACACACGCCCAGGCCGGTGCTGCATCCTCCACACAATCATATTCGTCATCAGCCGGCAGACGATTTTGAATCCACTCCGACCCACATTCCGCGCGACCTCCGAGTTCCGACTCTCAAGCTCCCGGGCGCCAGAAGCACTCAACGCACTCCGAGTCGACGCCGAAAACCCGAGGCCCGACTGCCACGGTGCGCGCGACGCCCGGTCTCCACCGCGCCCCAACGCCGAAGCGCGAACGCGCCCGATGGTACCGGTCCCGGCCCGACGGCGGGGAGCATGGGAGCCCGAGCCCGGGCGCAGTCGGGGCGCACGGGGCGCGGGAGCCGCCCCTCACGCCCGCTCCTTCGCGCCCTACCCCGCACTCGCCGACGGCGCGCGGGCGTGGGCGTCGGTGCGCTCGGGGCCCGGGGCCCGCACCCGCGTGCGGCCCCGGCGTGAGCCCTGTGCGCAACCCCTTGTGCGCAACTCCCTGGAGCGGGGAACGGCAGGAGGAAAACCCTGGGGCCGCGCTTCCCCGCACTTTCGCTCGCGCTTGGACTCGAGTACTCAGTCTCAGGGCTTCATTGCAAGGTTCACGCCACGCGCAGGGTTTTTTTCCGACGCACTCACGCACTCCGGCAGCGAAGCTGTCGCGGTTTTCAGGTGGTATGTACATACCGCTGTCATTTGATTCATGGACGTCCGGCCACGCGAGCACATGCCTCGAGCCCGAGCTCGAGCGTCGCCCCGACCTCGTTCCGAGCCCTCTGGGTCGCAAAAAGCACGGACGGCCACCGTGCGATCACCTGCGAACCGTTCCGCCTGCGCGGACGAGCGTCGGGGCCGCGCTACGCCGCCGCGCTCGCGCACCTCGCCCGGCGAATGCTCGGAAAGCACGCGGCCGGCTTTTTTCGCTCGTCGTGCGGCGCGTGAGCACGCCGCGCCTCCGTCCACAATTCGGGCTACCAACAGGTGCTCCTCGCTGGTTCGACGGAGCGCAGGTTCGCACTGCACTTCATCACCGTCTGCGCTCCACGTGGCTGCGTGCGGTTTGTGGGTCCTGCTACGGCGACGGTGGACATCCGGACCGCGTGGGTGTCCCGCCGTCCGGATGACTGCTGGGCATCCGGTGCGCGCACACAGACCGTTCCGTTCTATTCGCGGTGTGCAAGCATAATTATAATAGGGACGGCACGTCCGTCGCGCGTCTTTCATCGTCAGCTGCCCACGGCGTCGTGCGATTCTGCCTGCAGCGTCGCTGGACGTGCCTCCCCCTGTGCGGCGTGCAGTATCTTATCAGCTGCGCGCTCTTTCGACGCTTCGCGTTCCCATCCGACCCCGGCGAATTCGACCGCGGGCGCTTTTAACGGGGCGTGCGGCGCTCGGCTCGAGCGGCGTGCTCACCGGCTGCGGGGGCACTGGAAGCGGACGGGGAGATCGTCTCGTGTTCTGCGGTCGCCGCGCGACGGTCTGGAGAGCCTCGAGAGATACCATTGGCTACGCACGCCTAGATGCTCTCGAGCCTCGACGCTCCGCTGCACAGCTCTGCGCACGGTTCTAGAGCGCTTGAGATCGCGCGAAGCTGCTTGCGAGTATATACGACGGCGAGGTCTGGCTCGGGCTGGCCAGACGGCGCGGCGTCAGCTAGCTGCTAATAGAGCGCGCCCGCCGGGGAGCGCAGACCGCGTGCGGTCGCAAAGCGTCCAGCTGTGCAATGTGCGGCCGCGTCGCTACGCCGCTCGTAGTACGCGAGACTGCAGCTGGGCTGGCTGCACGCACCGGCGGCGCCTAGTATAGACCCCGCACCGAGCGCCTGCGGCATGCCCCCCCGCAGACGCGCGCGCGCGGGGGCCAGGGAGCTGGGGAGCGGGTCGCTCTACTCTATCTCTATCGCCGGGCGCGCGTCGCCTGCAGATCGGCACATGCGTCGGCGCGCGCCGCGAGCGAACCGAAGGCGCGACGCGCAACGCGAGCGAAGAAGGCGCGACGCGCGGGCGTCTCGAAGTGGGGGGCGCCTGCGGAAGACCCGATGGATCCATGCATCCCATGGACGCGACCGACGAGGGCGGGCCTAGGGTTAGGAGGGGGAAAAGAAGGGCTGTCGAGCGAATGCGGGACGCACGTTCGGGCGGCGCGCGAACGGGGAAGGGTTCGTGGTACGCTCCGACACGCGGTCGGAGGGTGCGCCGCGTGGGCTGCTTCTCGTCCGACGTCTGCGCATGCGCGCGTACCCGGACCGCGCTGGGAGACACCTCCTGCCGACGCGTGCGGGAAACGGGAAGGATCAACGCTGCCCCCCGCGCACGGCGGCGTGCTGCGTGGGCCTCGGGGGCGTTCACGTGCGAGAGGGAGGGCTGGATGGGGGAAGACGGGCGGGCGCGGGGTCGGTGGGTGGGTGCGGACGAGGATGGTTTAGGAGTTCTGCCGGGGTGCGTGCGGCCTGCTTTGGCGGCAGGTAGCGCGGCGCACGCATCGAGTGCCATCGATGGACGCGGCGGGGGATCGTCTGCAGCACGCCCGCCTTCCCTTGTGCCCCGGTGCGTTCGTGCGCTGCGGTCCAGTGGCAGAACGCACACGGAAGGCGGGCCACAGCGCGTTATCGGTGATCACTCATCTTATCGCGAGCATCCGAGGAGCGCGGCGGCGGACGATCTGCCCTCGTGAGCGCATCGAGATGAAAGACGGGCGAGTGCGGATCGGCATCCGGTCCTGCTTTGTTGTCGACGTCGCCCCCGGGGCTGTGCTCGCACGCGCGGGCCACGCAGAGTGGCACAACATCCAGCTGCTGCTCGACGAGCGCACGGGCGCAGTCGCAGAACGCATGTGTGCGGCGTGCACCGATGCAGACCCACAATGAGCGAAGTGCACGCTGGGATGAGACCTCTCGCGGCGCAGGTCCCGTTCTTTGTCTCACGTCTGTGCTCTCCGATTGTGCATGTCGGAGCCCCACGGCCACCTGACTCCGCGAGATGGGACTGCGTGGGAGCCTAGGACGAGAGGGAGAGCTTCCAAGGCTTCATCTCCGCGCCAAGGCATATGGCCGCTGTGCGCCGCTATGAGCGCAAGAAGGCGCAAAGCAAGCACCAGGCCGCGGACGAGCGGCGCTGGCGTTGAGTAGTTGTGACGGAGTGTGATGGAGGGATCGGATCGGACAAGCGGGGAAAGCCGATTAGCATCACTAATCGAGATCCGCGTCCCCGGCTATCTCGATGTTGGTTTAGGCAACACGGGCGCCATCGCCAGCGCACGTCGCCGTCGCCGTCGTCGTCGCCGCCCCCGCCTGCCCCTCCCTCTAGCCTGCTGTCCAAGGCCTTGCTCTCTCCTTTTACGTTCTCTATTCTGTGTCGCGTTGCCAAAGCAGAACCACATAATGCCCGCTATCACCATCGGCCGACCGGGCGTTGCTCCAGCCCCGCTGAATCATCCGCCAGTCAGCTCCTTCCCACCACACCCCGACTCACCTCGAACTACCCAACTTTCTCCGAGAGACACGAAACTCGGAGTTTGAAACGAAAAGGTGCCAGTCCCGGCGGATGCGGTCCCGCTCGCCTCCCCAGGCTATAGGGGCTCCCCGGCCCAACCGCGTCGAGCAGCAACAACCCGTGCGGCGCGCCTCGCACAACAGGTGCGGATGCGAACCGTCTGTGCTCCGCGCGGGGTCCTCGCGGAGCGAGTTCTGTGCAGGAGAGAAGGGTCGGCGCGCCGGGCACTGAATGGCGACAACGGGGACGAGTCACCGGTACGCCTGAGCGCTGAGCTCCCCCCTCGCGCGCCTTCGTCCCGTACCGCATGCGGGGGCCCCCACAGCGCCCTCAGTCGAGCCTCAGTGGAGTGCTGCAGGGGAGAGGCCTCCCGGGTTCCGAGCTCGGCGCCTGGGGCGGACGCAGCCGAGCCGCAGTACGTAAAGAAATCAGAATAAAATACGGGGGGGACCCGCCCCGCCTCCTGCACGGTGCACCCACCCGCCTCGCGCATCAGTGCAGGCCGCGCCGCGCGCTGCAGAGCTGCTGTCTGTCGATAGGCTGTGAGCGCCGAGCGCTGCGGCTCTGCGTCGTTCTTGGCGCCTGCGAGTCCCGTAGGCGCGCGAGTCCCCTGCTCCGTGAGGCTTCAGCCGAAGGGAGGGAGAGCACGATCGCCCAGGGGCGCTGCGGGGACGGTATGCACCGTCCGAGTGCGAGGCCATGGATCCGCGGATGCTCGACCCGGGCTCCAACGTCGGATGTTGTTAGCCCAGGCACTTGCCCACCTCCTGTCCGCGACGCCCTGGGTGGGTTTGGTACCTTCCGGCGTGTTTGCATTCACGGACCTCGACGATCCCGAGCGTCATGGACCGATTCTGCGCGGGCGGTTACGCCGTCCGAGGCGTAACTTGCAGCGCGAGCACCGACTGCGCACCGCCATCGCCTCTCACGTTCATCTCCCCCGCCCCCGCCGATCGTGTTCGAACCTGACGCGCTCGAGAGCCCGCCTGGTCCGCGCAGCCCCCGGCCAGGGTCACCCCCGCCTCCCCGGGCGTCGATGCATGATGAGCGACCTCCGTGAGCCTCCGTGACGCCGATCCCGCCGCACATTAAACACTCGAGCAGCCCCAGTCGGCCTCGGACGCCACCACAGCGCGATTTCCGCTCGCACCGGAAGTTCGTTCCACCCAACTGCGTCGACCGTCGACCTTCCCTGCTCCCCGCCCCCGGCCCCTCCAGCCCGAGCCCGCTCGTTCGCCCGCCCGCGCCGCACACGCCAGAAGGGCGCCTCGGGGCAGCTGACCCGTCTGCGCTCGCTCGTACCAGCAGCTCGCGCCTCGCGCAGGGGGTGTGGAGAGCGCCACCGCTCGGTCGAGCGCGGCGGAGCGCTGCCGCATCCGGGGGGGAGGGACGAGCCGCGTCGAGCGACGTGCGGAAACGGCCGACACGGGAATTCAGTCGCACGACGACGACGAATTCAACGGCGCGCAAAGCCCGTCTCGGACGGGCGACATGCGGAGAACGCACCCGGCGTGGGCAGGCGTGCGTGCGGTGCTTACGGCGCAGATTCAATGTCACACGCGGCTGCACGATAAGTACTATGCATGCGGCAGGCCGCAGGGAGGGATGGCCTGATCGTTATTGTCGTCCACGGCACGGCGGCACGGCGGCAGGCCCGCCGCGCGCCGCGCGCGGGAAGCCGCGCCCTCCCAGCGACGCTCGGGAGAAGCCCGCCGTCGGCGCACGCGGCGGCGAAGTCGCGTCGTCGACGGCGGGCGCGCCCCGAGCAGGCGCCCTCGTCTCCTCGTGGCTGATGAGCGTGGCCAGGAGGCTTCCCGCGCCCGCCTCGCGGCGGGGCCGGCGGCGGGGGCGGCGGGCTCGAGGTGGCTTATCGCGCGCCGCGGTGGGAAGGGGTGTCGGCATCGGGGCGTGCGGCGTCGACCGACGGTGCGGTCGCCTGGGGGTTGGGACGAGCGCGCACGGGCCGTTGTGTGCTCGGGCTTGCTTTGTGGGGCCCGGGTCTGGAAAGTGCGAGGAAGGCGATAAGGCGGTGGTGAACGTGCGTTGTATGTGAAGGGGGCGCGAAAGAGCCTTTTGTCCGACTCGTACATACGGACTTGCGCGATCAATGTCATGGGGCCGCGTCCAGCCGCCGGGTGGGGGCGCCAGAAGCCGTGCACGAGCGCGCGACGACGGGCGAGCCGGCGCTAGCAGGCGAATGGGAGGACGAAAGGAAGGAACGCGCCCCTCGCGCGAGGCCAGAAAGGCGTCGAGGCGGTCGAGAAGGACGACACTGGATGGCAGCCGGATTTCGGGCGCCGCCTGCAGCATTTTCTTGATTTCTCGAGGGCTGCGTGCGCGCGCGCGGCACACAGCGAAGCTCGAGCAGATATCGCCTATCGCTCAGCGCTCAGCGTGCACGAAGCTTGACAAGATCCAGCGGGCCCGGCGCCTTCAGAAAATGAATGCAGCAGTGCGTGCGCTCCCCCAAGCGCCTACCGCTGAGCGCTGTGCCATTTCGTCTTCTTCCCCCGCTCCCTCGTCCTTCTCCCGTCGCGCGCAAGCACCCCCCTCGCGCTCGCGCGCGCTCAACCCGCCGCGTGTCGCGCGCGACCGTGCGCACCGCGCGGTGCGGCGCGCCTCGAGGAGGGGTTCGCGCCGCGTGGCCCCTCGCGCGGTGCCGCGTGCGGGCGAGCTATGAATGAATGAATGAACGGGCGCGGTGCCCGGCCGTCGCCGTCGTTCTGCGCGACGGTTCCATCTGCGCGCGCGCGGCGGGCAGGGCGGCGGGCGAGAGGGCGGGCTGACGGAAGCGTGACGGCGCGTGGCGTCAGGGTTGGCTGGAGGTTGGGATCTTGAGAGTCGTGCGGGGGAATCGCGAAGCGGCGGTGGCTGGCCAGGACAGTTTGCGTGGTAGTAGGTTCGCCGGCTCGAATGCGTGCGTTTGGGCGCCCCGTGCGGCGCTGGACGAGACCGCGACGGCGCCGAGGACTTAACGCAGCGCCCGCTGCAGACGGTAAGCGTGTGGGTGTTTTTGCGAGTCCTCGTTGTTGTCACCCGTGCGGCCGGGGAGAGTCGTGGGGCGCGGTGCGTCGACGGCGCCGCGTGTGGCGACGGCTCGTCCGGCTCGATGGTTGAACGTTGAACCTCTGTGCGGTTTGGGATGCCGACGTACGGGTGCGGGCGAGGGAGTGCGGTGAGGCAGACAGCGGTCCGCCACGCCCTTGCGCTGTGGTCCTCGAAAAGCCGCGGACAGTGCAGGCGCGCACGGAAGAGGTGCGCCTGAACCCTGAAGGTTTGAACGTTGGACCTAAGATGCCGCCATGAGCTCAAGTTGGGAGCTTCGTGGTGGACGAAATGCGAGTCTTACGACGTTCGGGCCCTCGTGCGCGTCGTGTGTTCACTGCCTCCTCAGTTCTCGACCTCGCAAGGCCGGGCTCGCCTTCGAATGGGGTGACCTGCGTGGAGTCGCGGGAAGGCTGCAGGCTCGTGTAGGCCACGGAGGAGGGCGTGTAGAGCTGCATGATCTCCGTCGACGCTGAAGAGGGCAGTCCAGGAGGCGGTGGCGTGTTGCATTGACAAACTAGAGAGAGCGCGAGGGAGGTGAGGATAGCTGGCGCGGTTCATGTAGGTGGAATGGCCTGGTACGAGGCTGAACACCTCTAGAACGAGGGCCCGGATGTATCAGGTTGCGTGTGTGTCTGTCCATTGGTAGACCATGCGTAAGCGACATGGCGCTGGCTGTCAACGCATGGCAGGGCAGCGGACGGAAGCCGCTCCAATCCGAACAAACCGATGTGTTAAATGTCCAGTGAAGACAGATCTTGACAGGGAAAACACCGGGACGGCTGGAAGATCCCGCCGAACGAGTTCTATCCACCAAATTGCGCGCCGTTGATCAGACAATGATTGAGTCAGGAGCCATGAGAGCTCACCGTTTGACTACAGCATCACGGCCGGGCTAGAGTACTCGCGTAAGGGGCTGTACGCGGCAGCTGAGGTAGTGAGGATACGGGTTGACAAAGGATAGGCTTTAGATGACCGTCGGGTGCATCTTGGGCGCGGAAGCATGATGAAGGTGAGAACGTCGTAGTGACTGATCACGGTTTGGGGGTCGAAATGCAGAGTCGGCGCCTGCGCTTTTGCTGTGCTCCTGTGTGGCAGAGTCAAGCATGGGTTTCAGTACACCACCAGCAAGATAATAGGCCTGAGGATCACGGAGATGGGTTGGGACGGAGTGTTAATGAGCTGATAGGACGACGGCGATGCTGCGGATGGCCGGCGGGTGTCCGGGCAATAATGACACTGGACTGAAACGCTGAGGAGGGGCTGAGGACGAGCCAGACAGAGGTGGAACCCAGATCAAACCCCGAGTCGCTCCAGAGCCGCGCCGCGCCGCGGTTCCTCCTGAGGACCATGGGCGCCTGGGGCTACGGCACGGCAACAGACGGCAACGCGGCTATCGCCGGGGGACGCGAGCGCTACTCAGTAACACAGTATGTGTTGGGCGGTGTCGTCTGTTACGTGCAGGACAGCTTCCAGAAGGTCACACCGATGTCGGAAAGCCGTAGAAACCAGATGAACGGCGGGGCACTGAGAGCCCAGTGGCAGGAACAGCTCGGGCCCCGATTCTACTCCCGAAAATCTTCATGCACACAGGGTTGAGGCCTGGATCGCCTGCAGGGCTCCTCAGGATATCTCCACCAATTTTATATAGCCATGTAATAGCAGTTCTACTCACAACGCGGACGACGCAGACTCTGTATTTTCCCGACGGGACTGGAGACTCGAGAGACCAAAGGCGCCCGGGACTTCGCGCCGCGAAAGTGACTGCTAACAGACGCCCGTGTCTTCTCCTCCAACCGCCACCATGTCTCTCTTCCCCTCTTCTGCAATGCCGTCTGATCCCCTCTTTTCTTCACGATCTGGATTTAGTGATCTTCCGAAAACGCTTGCCAGTGCACTAGATGCCCCACCGTGAAGCTGATCAGACCCGATGGTACGTGGTATGCGTTATGCAAACTCCATGCTGACCCGTTATCCCTGTGACCTCAGGACGACCTGCGCTCCCAATCTTGTGCTTATCAGACCCAGAATGCGCGGATCAACCACACCACACCGAGCACAGCAGCCGCAGACCAAACGTCTGGTAAGTCGACTCCACCACACATTCTCTCTGCTTCAATACACCCAACCAAACCGTCTCGCAGCTTGCTTTCGCGCCCCCGCGCCTGCAGTCATCCCCCTCCAGGACAGTGGCTCGACACGCACCCCAGACGATATGTGCTGACGCATCCACCCGTCTCTGCCCCGTCCGTGTCTTGACACGCATCGCCCGCACTGCTCGTCCCATCCGCAACATGCACATGCTACCACCTCATACGACCTCATGTTCGCCCGCAAACCCTAGCGCCAGAATGCAAGCCGTAGAAGATCAAACGCGACCAGTGACGGTGTGTCCATCCTCTCGTGTCCACTCCGTGCTCATTTGACCATTGAACCCAAGCACATCCAACATCTGCCGCGACAAGCCGTTCAAACGTTCAACTTCAAGTGGCGCGTCAACGAGCCCATGTAAGTTTGAACACGCGCTGCCTGTGGGGTGCGTCCTCTCAAGATCCGTATACAGCTTGAACGTGCCCGGGCTTGATGTGCAGCTGGTACGTCTACACTTCGGTTGGATTGATGTTGATCCTCATACAGTGTTGCAGGGTTCTCTTCATCATTCCATCGGAGACGACATAGTAAAGGTCACAAGTGTGGTAAGTTGCTTGGTATAATATAGAATCAAGACATGGTTCGATGTGTGTAATGATGGTATATAATGAAATACGAGCTGCATTTTGGAAACGCCAACCAGGGAGCGAGCGCCCGAAAAGCGACAGGAAGGTGAAACGGGGATCTGTCCAGCCGATGTGATCAGCACGTGAGGGCAGGCGGATGAGACGGGGGTTGAACGTTCCGGAGCGGCTCAGTTGCACCGCGGCCCCAGTCTCTCCGCCGGGTCGGTGCGATAAGATACCCTGGGGATCACCACAGCTGGAACTGCGGATGAGTCGCCCCTCGGAGAAGCCCAGTTGGGGCCAGCTTCCTGGTGGTGTAGTCTCCCCTCAGCTGGGCAGACCTTCCACCAGCGTTGTAGGAAGGACGAGAAGGGCGTCGGTGGAGGGCAGAAAGGTCGTCGACGATAGCCCCTGATAGCCCGAGGCTCGGGATATCTCCCAGCGCGCGATCATCAACAGCGCCCATGCGTCTCGTCCAATGCAGGTTGCTGCGGAAGGATGCGGACTTTGACTTTGCCTGCCGACCATCTCTGGCCAGCGCCGCCCACCGCCGCGCGTGCCCCGCCAGCCAGTCGCGACGCGAGCACCGTCGACGGACGACGCAACTCTCTCCGAGGCCGATCCCACACTAGCACTGCTCGGGCGACCTCCGCTTTTCTATATGTCTATGCTTATCCCCATCCGCCCGCCCGCTCACCCGCCACCACTTCGCCCCCCAAAGCCCCGCCGCCATCATGGATAAGCTCGCCGTTGAGCTCGTCACTCTCATTGCCTACTTTGCCTGCACCGACGGCGGCCAGACTGGCGCCGCCCTCTCGCTCGTTTCCAAACACATCCACCACGCTACCCGCCCCGCTCGCTTCTACTCCGTCTCTCTCATCCACTCCGCCGCCCAGGTCGAGCACTTCGTCCAGAGCTACAAAGCCGAGCTCGACCGCTCCACCGACGCCGTCCCCCGCGTCCGCCACCTCTGCCTCTCCTTCTTCGGCCAAAGCATCGACGCCTCCGCCTCCCCGCCCGCCGCGCCCGCCGCCCCGCCAGCGTTCAAGCCGCCCTCGACGCGCGAGGAGTTCCTCGCGCAGCAGCAGCAGCGCGCGCAGCGCATGCGCGCCACGCAGACGCGCATGGACGACCAGTACGTCCGCGTCGTGCCGGAGCTCATCCGCCTCGTCGCGCCCACGCTCGAGTCCTTCGCGTGCGCGCAGGCGCAGTGGCGCTCCTCCGCCATCATCGACGTCGTCTTCCCCTGCCTCGGGGAGATGACGCTCGTCGGCGGCGACCCCGCCTTCCTCCCGTTCAGCATGGTCTCCGCCGACCGCCCCCGGTACCCCGCGCTCCGCCGCCTGCACCACATCCCGTCCCTGCTCAACAAGCAGGTCGACTTCTTCCAGTGGGCCGTCCACGCCCCCAACCTCACCCACCTCCGCGTCTCCCGCATGGGCGCGCACCCCGAGATCACCGTCGACACCCTCGTCAAGGTCATGGGTGCGTCTCCCTCTCTCCCTCTCGCGCGCGCGGAGTTCCCGACGCTGACGTGCCCCCTCTCGCGCAGGCCCGAACGCGCCCGAGAACGTCTTCCCGCACATGCGCCAGATCGTCGTCCAGCCGCAGCCCTCGCCGCCCTCCGCCGCGTCCGGGCCGCCGGGCGCGGTCGAGCGCGCGTTCGACGCGCTCTGCGACCGCCTCCGCGTCGCCGTCCGCGGCGCGCGCGTGCCGACCGTGCTCTTCAAGCCGATGGTGGTCCCCGAGGGCACGCCGGCGACGAACCCGAGCAAGGGCTGCGTGCGCAAGCTGCAGAACGAGTGGATGACGAGGATCGAGGGCGGCGAGGGCTGCTGGAACTCGGTCATCGGCGAGAGCACGATCGACCGCTGCTGGCGCTCGCCGGTCATGGAGGTCGGGCTGGCCCAGTGAGGAGGAAAGGGAGCTGCTTTCGTTACGGCTCTCGGGGCGACACCCAAAAGGCACTCGCTATTTACTATGGACAGTTGCTCGGTGGTAATTATTGTCAGGGCGCGCATATGTATACTACTCACATTTGTCTCCTAACACACAATGCACGCGCAGTGCGCTCACAACAAGGATTGAGCTGGTTGCATGGACTGTGAGTGGGTGCTATGGAGCACGGTTGGATCAAGTGGCGTTTTTTGTTTTTTGTGCACAGATGCATCGTGAGTTGGTCCAGCCTGTGGACTTATGTCCTCCAGAACGAGATAGAAGCAAACGACTTTGCATCAGAGGCTCATTCAAGGGTCTCTGCTCGCACTCCAGCTTGCAGTGCATCGTGACAACATTTTGTGTGTAGCCTACGGCGACTCGGATGAGTAATGACAAAATCGACCTCTTCGCTGAGCGGAGCAATGGAATAAGGCTCAGCAGGGAACGAGAAGAGAAACGCTTGAAGCTGGACGTCGGCGAGAAGACAATATCGAAACATCGGTGCGTACCAGGGAGGGCATCGAATGATCGGTCTTAGACGAGGCTTCTTTTCCTAGTGACCCGCCAGGCGCACGATACTCGTCGTCTTGGCCCAGGTTGCAGATCCAGTAGACGTACCAGACTGCACAACGTATCCGACCGGTCCCCATCCACTGGCCGGTAGCCGGACCGCAAGATATGAGGTAGCTCACCAGACTCTCCCAGCATCGAACATCGTCGATTCGTCTTTGCGCTGCATCCAAGCTGGCAATGTTCAAGAGTCCGCCATTCGTGTTGCTCCCCAAGCTCCCCAAGCGGCGCGATCTACGTCTCATTCGTGCGCGTGGGGGGCACCAGAACGTTAGCGAAGGGGAGTTTCGTTCAGAGAAGTCGATAGGTCTCGTCCTGCCCGGATGGTCCGAGAGGGTCATGGTGGAGGAGCAGGAGAGTGCAGGCGTCTGCTCGCCTGCAGGCTCGTGCGCGCGCGCGAAGGTTCGGCAACGCGCTCTCTCTTCCTTGTACTTACCACCAACGTGGGCTCGTCTTTTGCTCGGCTGGACACCGCGCTCGTCTTCGCACTCTTGTCTTCAATGTTTTCCGAGGATGGGCGATCGTACTTCGCGAGCACATTCAAGACGAACGTTTTGCGATGAAGATTCATAGAGGCCACTGCCCTCCCCCCAGTGGCAGCGACCGCACCCTGGGGGACGACGACGACCTCTGGTTGATTAGAGTCCGATGAAGTACTTGGCCGGCGCCACGACTCACTCACTTCTGGTCCCGTTCTTCCCGACGGTACCAATGGTTCTATCACGCATTCGGCACCATTCAAGAACAAGACACCTCCACACGTACAAGCATTTTGGGCAGGGCCGCGCTGGCGTAGCGTTTCATAGTGAAAGCCACTCAGATCTCGATCCAAATGCTGTAGGATCCTGCAATACACGCTGTGTCGAAATCATGCTCATGGCGTAACCTGACAGCACCTGTCCAAGGCAACAGGGGGCTGTGCGCAATATCGACCCCTTTGGCGGCCCCTTGACTCGTTATGCTGCGATCCTGCTGCGATCTTGCTGCGACCTACCAAGCAGCAAAAGTGCTCCGCATGGAGGCCATGTCTTCTCACGCCAGAGCCTTAAGAGCAACGGTCGCAATCTACGCGATTCGCACCTTCTCCCATGGACCGCCTTCCCGCCGAACTGCTCGTCCGCATATTCACACTCGCGACAACAGACGGGGGTGCAACGTCCCGCTCGCTCGCCTTGGTCTCAAAGGAGATCAGTGACGCCTCACGCCCCGTCCGGTTCAACTCCGTGTCGCTCAACGGCTCTCGGAAACAAATCCAAGCCCTCCTTGCGCATCTGAAGGCGGAGCATGACCAACCCTCACACTACCCACCTCACGTCCATCACCTGTTCCTCGTATGCACTAAACATCTGTGGGCGCGCCGTGAACAGCTGAAGCACGATGGGTCCGAGCAATCGCGCGTTTGGACGGTCGTCGGACGCACATACGAGAATTCAGCTCAGCAAGCCGAATATTGCACCCTCATCACATCCCTCCTTTTCGCCGTCGCCCCCAGACTTGAGACCCTCAGCGTCGTTATGGAGGACGGCCTCGGCCAGCACATCATCTTCCCCTCCTCGTTTCCGGCCCTACGTGAACTATCCATTCGTGAAGGCTCGCTCGCGCATGCATCTGAAACCGGCGAAGGCCCGGCAGTGCGTTATCCGGCCCTTCGAAGACTACACTGGCACTGCGATCGCTTTCGCTACCCGTCATCCACGGAAACATTGCATGCACAGTCGTTCGTGCAATGTGCCCCGGGTCTTACACACTTGCGCATCTCAGACTTCGGTGGAGGCGCTATAGAAGGCCTCTTTCAACAACTCCTGCGCCCACCCGGCATCTGCTGCTCCCCGTGGACGGCCCACATAGCCCTTCTCCTGGCCGCAGTGGGCATCGGTGAGCCTGAAGCCCCAGGTGAGCGCGTCAGATAGCCGTCTTCAAATCCCTAACTGACGGTGCTGCTCAGCCCCGCGACCCTTCTCTCCTCCCAAGATCGATATCCCGCCTCAGCTGCGCGGTCTCAAGCAGGTCGTCATCCAGCCCACTCCCTTCCCCTCTCCCGGCGGGTACTGCGGCAATGCGTACGTGCAGCACGCCGAAGGCGTCGCCCAACTGTGGTACTCCTTGGCGTCCGCAAGCTTGCCGGTGTACCTCTTCCCCGCGCGAGTTGAGGGGTCCGATAGCTTGACGATCTTGGAGCAGTTGCGGGCAGAGTGGCTGGAACGTCTTGAAGGGGGCGAGGGGTGCTGGGCAGTGAAGGAGAGGTGGGCTCGGGCAAGCCAGCCCGGAGACGACTGTCCGAAGGAGTACTTCCGGGCACGAGCCGTCGATTCCGAATGAAAAGGCACCTGTATGTTTGTACGAGCGAGGACAAATCGGACGGCGGGGGACGAGATCAAGATCGGTGGCGGCGAGCGTCGCATGATGTGGCCGCCACATGGAGGTTCAGTCGGAGACTTAAAAAGACGAAGTGGCGCACGATTGAAGCCGCAACATGCCTTCTCCCCACCCCTCAGCGTTTCCACATGCCGGCACACGTCACCGTTCGCCTCCTCCTGCGCGTAGATAGTGGTCTCCAATATCTAAGGGTAGTCCACTACAAGTGCACAGGCGACGAGCAAAACCTTGGTCCTCTCTTCGACGAAGTTTTGCACGCCACTCAGAAGTTCCACGAGGCTGAACTAAGGGAAGTGCCTTATGATTTGACCATATGGAAGGTACGTCTCACGTTTAAATCATGGCAGAAAAGTTCATCAAGCATCCGTACAGACGAACGAATGTCTTGTTAATCCTTCAGACATCGATCGCCCGCGAGAGTGGAAGGCTCTGTGTCAGAGTCTTACAATCCGTGACATAGAAGAGAAGTCAATACAAATTCACCAGCATGACCACTTCAGCTCGATCAAGAATCCGGACCATCTAGTTGGAGTGCTCAGCGCTGTCGCCTATCCGACTCCAGCTCATCGGGAACATGACGATATTGAAGAACCTGAAGACTCTCCCGTTGAGCTGCTACAGAGTGAGTCAATTACATATCGTGAAGGACACTCCCTCATCTTCCACTAGGACATCATCAGACCGCTGTAGATATTCGGAACAATCCAGAGGATCCGCGGAAGGCTGCGCAGCCTCTCCAGATGCGACGACGCCCGTATGCCGTCTATAACTACCGGCCGGCGTCGCCTCCGCCCATCGGCATCTATCATCGTGTATTTTCAGATTTCCGACAGATGATGGACCCCAATACTCCTGCGGCGCAACCCACACACGATAAGTACGATGAAGCGCACGACTTCTGCATGAAAGCCCTGAGATATTACAACTATCCATACCAGCGGGAGGTGCACGGCAGTTACCAGCTCCAGAGGTTGGGTTTGCTCGAAACCCAACATGTCGAGTTCGATGGCAGGAAGATGAGGGTCGACGGCGCAACATTGTCAGCCACGATCCCCTCTGGGTTCAAGAGCGTCGCCGCGATTACGGAGATCAACACCGAGCTTGACATGGATGGCACTGACCCTGCTACTCGGGCAGAATGTGGCTACCTCCAGATATATGCATCCGATGCGGTTCGTCTTCTTTCTTGCCACGCTCACAAATCCATGCCCTTACGCCTTATCTTGCAGGCAAGCCCTATCCGCGCGGCAAGCTGTTGCCCCGCGCTGCTCATCGCGCACGTAGGACCGAACATTCAAGTACTTGGCGCCGCCTTCGCAGACGACGTGCTCATCGAACCCCTCACGGACTACATATCTCTAATCCCTCGCATTACTGCCCACGACGACACCTACGACGTCGTTGTGCGCCTGTTCCACGCGATCCGGAGCGCGCTCCAGACACTACACACTCACTACGCCGACATCGCGCGCCAGCTCGCTTCAGAAGGCACTCCGAGTTGGCCCCTTTTCGTCGAACCGCATTTTACCCAGTTTACCCATCCCATTTACGGCCCAATCACGCTCACCTATACTCGACGCCTCGCTGTCGACAAACCCTCTGTTGCCGTATTCAAAGCGAAGGCCAGGTTCGACGCGGGCTCCCGCGACGTCTTTGTCAAGTTCACGGATACGTATGGCGTCGAAGGCCACAAGCTCCTCGAGGACAACCAACTCGCTCCCGAGCTGTTGTATTGCCAGACGGACACCTCCGTGTGTGCGACCGTCGTCGTCATGGACTTTGTCAAGGGCGTGCGTGTCCGTGCGCCGCTGACGGATGCTCAGGAGAAGGACTTGCGCACTGCGGTAGAGCTGCTGCACGAGCAGGATCTCGTTTTTGGGGATCTGCTGCCCAAGAACGTGTTCGTGCTTGAGGGGAGTTCCCGCATCCGGCTCGTCGGATTTGACTGGTGCGGGAAAGTCGGGAAGGCACAGTACCCTTGCAATCTCAAACTGGATCGGACGATGGAGTGGCCTGCGGGGATGGACGGAGGCGAGCTGATCGATAAAGGGCACGATACGCGTTTCTTGGAGCAGATCATAGCACAGCACGTCTAGAGAGCTCCGTCTGAACCAAGCCGCATCCTGCTGCCCTCTGGCTCACCTACCCCGTCTGCGCACTCCCGACATTGACGCTGATGCCGATCTCATTCCCTCCCCGCGCGCGCACACACACCCACACCCAGATGCGGCTCGCGTTCCTCGGCATCCTCCAGAGCAAGCCGGTCGACTTCGTCTCGCAGTCGGTCGTGACCACGTATTACGCACCTGCCCGCTATATGTCCTCCACTCTCATGCCTGTTTCCATCATGCCAATCGGCGGCGAGCGCACGCGCTCGCACGTCGGTCGGCTCACACAGCGACGCGAAGATCAGCGTGGTGAGCACGACGAGGTCGTTCGGCGCGCGCACGGTCGCGTCGCGAATCGAGGTGCACCTTCCTCCCTCGTGGACGTCCGCGCTGAATTCTAGTGAATTTCTGTGCTAAAGCCCCGGCGCCACGCAGATAGCACGGCCGGTTGGGACACAGCAAGATGGCACCGAAGCTGCCGGCCCCGGCCCCGGCAGGCATGTGCATGAAGTCCAGGGGCGCGAATCTGAGTGCAATACAGCCGTCTTTCATCTGCGTATTTTTGCACGGTCTCTTCGCATCTCGGTATGCACCTGCTTTCATTTTCCTTAGCCTTGGGAGCGGCAACTCCGAGATCATCGGATCCGTCGCTGTTCTCGCAACACCCTTATTAACAGGTTTCTAGAGCAGCTCACGCACGCACGGGCAGTGATCTCGCAACCATGCAGCCCTTGTATCAACGTGTACATCATATTTCTAACAGGCCAGCCTGTCCATGTTCATCCTACTGATGGGGTAAGCTGCCTCACAAGGTGCTCGTCATGCGCCTTCTGAATCAGCTCGCCTCTCCCTACACCTTTGTCCCACCCCATCTTCGGATCCATGTTGATATCGCGCGGGTAGCGCGCCGTCCCAACCTTCCCGCACCAGTCGAAGTCCACCACGACTACACGATCGGTGCCCTGAACCGCGATCAGGTTCACCCACCGCAGGTCCCCGTGCACGATGTCTTCATCATGAAGGGATCCCATTGCTTCGCTCACACACGTCTTGTGCGCTGCCGATAGGGGCCTTTCGGGTGGTACCCCACGGACGAAGTCCATGACGACCACATACGAGCCCACACTCTCCTCCCACGCGCAGTACCACAGCGCTGGGGCGAGGTTTTTGCGGGCGAGGACGGTGTGCCCCTCGGCGCCGTAAGTGCGTGCGAACTTGACCACGACGTCATGGGTGGTTGCGTCGCGGGCCACGGTCGCTGTTGCTCGGAAGATGGCTTTGAAGTATTGGGCACTGTAAGCTAGGCGGTACTCGTAGGAAAGCGTAATGGCGCCATGGACAGGATGGTTGAAGGTGGTGAAGTGTGGCGCGCAGAACCATGGAGACTCGCAGATAACACTGCCCATCGACGGCAACGCCGCAACCACCCCAGCGTAATGGTGGTGGAGTTCAGCGAGCGCCTGACGCAGGGAACGGAAGAGGCGGGCGACAGTGGTTACAGCGTCGCTGCCGGGCGACCGACGGGGGAGAAGGGAAATGTAGTCCGTAAGGGGCTCGATGATGATCTGGTCGACGGAGACAGCGCCAAGCACTTGGATGTTGGGACCTGCGTGGGCAAGGAGAAGCGCCGGACAGCAGCTCACTGCGCGGATGTCGGCTGCCTGCAACAAGCAATGTCAGAAGTAGGGCAGCGCAGGGAGGACGGAGGAAACGCACCGCATCAGAATCATAGATACGGACGTAAGCGCGCTCTGCTCGCACAGCGGGATCGTCTTCGCCTTCGCCAATCTCCCCGTTCACCTCCATGATTGCGGTGATGGTAGTGAAACCAGATGGCGTCCGAGCAGAGCACGTAAATCCGTCGGTCTTGATTCGATTGTCACCCACGTCGACGTATCTGACCTCGAGCAGTCCTAGTTTGCGCAGCCGCTCCAAGCAGCCGCTCCACAGGCGATCATCTTCGTCGTTGTACCATGTGGCGGCGGCGCTACAGAAGTTGTACGCTTCCTTGATCTCTGCGGCTGTAGGGGCCGTCCCGGCGTTTGTGCGCATGTTGTTCACGAAACGTGCGAAAACAGGGTGATAGATGCCTATGGGGGGCGGGAGTTCAGGACGATAGTTGCAGATGGTGTATGAGCGGCCGTCTATCTTATGCGTGACTACGCTGGTGAGTAGAGAGCTCTTGAATTCGGCATACACGTTCTTGCGCTCTTTTATTGTATTGTTAGATGAACCGCTGTTGAAAGTGGACGACAACCCACTGGCTCGCAATGCCTGATCGTCGAAGAGAGCTTCATTGACGTGTTTTGCACGCGACTCACGCGAAGCTATCATGACGCGTGAGGGAGTATGAGACAGACGAGAAGTAAGGGCGTACTTATGACGGCAACAAGGTACCTAGCGTTCGTAATCTTTGAGAACGAATGGGTCGGTAATAGCAGTTTCGCATGGTCTTCTATTTCGCTTCGACTGAGTGTTTGACACCGGGTCTTCCAGGCTCGTCCCATCATTGACATTGTGTGGTCCACAAGGCATTCGTCGGTCTACAGAGATGAGTTGAATCAGCGGAGGTGCTAATATTCAGTACGAAACGTACCTCCCAAATGTTGATATCACACTCTACATCCCAAAACTTTGGTTCGCCATCCCGCGCCACCACCAGAGTGTTTTCGAACAAGGGTTCCAACGTGTGTGCTTGGTTCTGGGGCTGATGTTGCGCGAAACCAAGAAAACGAGCTTGCGGGGTGTCCCACAGCAAAACGGTGGCGACGAAGACTTTCGACATGGGAAGGAGCTGGGTAGCACAAAGGGGCAGAGTACCGAGCGCTTCACGGCGCGTCTTCGTCCATGCCGCACAAATTTGGCCAAGATGGAACGGCGGGGTGGAACGGCGTGCGGGGGACGAGGAGCAGCACTTGCGGGTGGCCTAGCCAGACACTCACCCAGAAGGACATACATATGGTAAGCATTCAGCACCCTCCCGGGGAAGATCTACACGCTTCGGCACGAGGAATTCCACCCCAAGTCTTGCTTTGCCATCCTGCCTGCCGAGATCTTGGATGGGAACCTCGAAGTACCGGCCGATGGGTTCGGTGAAGCGCGTGCAAATATGTGCTTCATTCTCGAGCACCGGCGAGGGGGACGTGCTCATTGCAGCATATGTGGAGAGGGGAGTAATGGTCGTTCGAGAGCAACATGGGACCGGAAGAGAAAGTAGGCGCCTATTATCAGCGAGGCGGGAGGTCGCCAGTTGGCGCGGCAGAGGAGCACGTCGCAGCCATCGTCGGTGAGTGGGGCACACGGAGCATCCTCACTCTGAGAAAGCGTTCTCGCCGGTACTCGAGTTGTCGTGATCATCGTAGCAATTAATTGCAGGCCAGTTACGCGAGGAATAGAGGACAGAAAATATATCATTGGTCGTTTTCGTAAGGGAATGCATGCACTTAGATCAGACACCAATCTGCGTGCGACCGCGTACATCATCATCGTGAGTACGCCATCACGGCACCTTGGTGTAACGATTTTCTGAGTTTATCGCATCATCTGCGAGTCGTCGACAGGCCCCGAGCACAAGAATGTGTGAGGCGCAGTCAGACGACATCGGGATAACACGGAAAGGGAGGTCCGGCCGCGGCGGAGAGCGAGTCTGGCAGAGAACGAGCCAGACGGGTCGTCAGCGTTGAGGATGTGTCTTCGTGAGGTCTGGAACCGTGTAAGGCTCGCGCGACACCTGCGAAGATAGCATTAGTCGAGAAGCGACTGGGCGCAGCGATGAGATCGACTCACCACGACGAACATCCGTCAGCTGGGAGCCGAAGCCGAAGATCTGGAACCTAGACGAGGGAACAAGGAGCCTAGAGAGGCCAAGCAGCGAGATGGGAACGGGGGTATATCGGACTTGAGGGTATAACCGGGAGCAGGGTATCGATGCAGATGTGGTGATGATGTCGAGTAGAGAAGTCTTGCGAGAATACGATGTTGCAGCTGATGTCGTATGCCGTGTCGTCGAATCCAAGATATATCGAAAGATCGCAGAGAAAATGATGCAGGAACCAGAACCCAAGATGAGATCGAAATGGAAGGAGATTGAGATCGAGTCGCGTTGTCATCTAGTGATTGTCTTGCAAAAGAATGTGTACCAAGCAAGTGGCTTTGTGCGGAAGCAACCGCGTGTCTTGAAATCTTGCACCGGGAAGAGATGGAGATGGAAGAGAGATGAGATGCCCAGATGTAGTCGTCGAAGAACCTGAATGAAGCCGAGTGCGAGAGAAGTCCGAGGAATGTCAAAATGCAGGAGACGACTTGACGAAACGCGACTCTTGCGGGATGGCGACAAGAGTCATCGCAGAGGTCGTGACCAGATGGAGCGACAGGTCGAGATGGCGACGAGACAGCCTTGTGTTGAGCGAGCGAGTGTGTCCCAGGCGGCGGGTGTTCTCGAAGCCAAAGGAGCGCTCTAGAGGACCTCGACGACAACGTCATCGAAGACGTCAGAGGCGTCGTGCCAGACCTCGTCCTCGTCCTCGACCTCCTCGACGATCCCGACCATGACCTCCACGGTCTCGTACCAGATGTCGTCGTCACCCTCCGCCTTCGTCTCTTTGTCTTCCACCTCCTGGACCTGAGGCGCCGAAGAGGACGATGATGCGCCGGCCGAGGACCCGGTCGCTGGACGATGCGAGGAGGCGAGAGACGAGATCACCTGGGTGAAGCTCATGGAGGCCTCCCATGAACATGAAGAGGCGGCGTCGCGGGTGGTCTTGGGAGACGGCTTGGGCCCGAAGACGTCGGCCGCAGCACCGGTGAGGGAAGGCGTGTCGCTCTCCGGCGCGTCGCAAAGCGTGAGCGAGGCCATGAGCTGGTGGAGAGGAGTGCAAGCACCACGCGGGGGAGTCGAAGTAGCCAGGACATCCCAGTTGTCGCCGCTCCAGTCTCCGCAGGCGTAGAGGTCGCACTGTTGAGGTTGTTGTCGCTGCTGCCAAGGCTGTTGTCGGCGGTCCGGTGTCGACGTCAGTCACAGTGAGGTCGCTCAGGACGGAGGTGGACCGAGCGATGGCGGCTGCGGGCTTGAACGAGTGCGCGGTTGAGGCGGAGGGCTCGTTGGCGACAGGGTCTCCGGTAGCAGCGACAGTCGGTGTCTCCATGGCGGCGGGCTGGAGTTCTCAGCAGCGGCCACCACATAGGGTTCATCGGCGGCAGCAGCCTCTGGCTCCTGGGTGCGGCGACGACCTGTGGCTCATCGGAAACAGTGCTCGCTTTGGTCTCCTCAACAGCGTCGGCCTTGGGCTTGTCGACAATGAGGACGACGACGACGACCTTGGGCTTCTGAACAACGGGAGTGGTGGCCTTGGGTCCATCCACGACGCTGGCCTTGGGCTCCTCGGTGGCCGCGGCGGTCTTGGGCTCGTCGGGAACGATGACGGGCTTCGCAGCGGTGATCGCGGCAGGGGAGGAGCGTGAAGGCCACAGGCTGAGGCACAGCTTGGACATGAGGGCAAGCCTTATAGACAGGCACGGACTGGGATAGCATGGCGTATGAGCAACGCCAGGAAGCAATGAGAGCAAGAGAAGACGCACCGCAGCCGCTGGCTTGAGAGGCTCGACGCCTGCCGCCGGGTCCTCCTCGTAAGCCATGGGAACATCGTCGGCCTCCGTGAGCGTGAGGGATGACAGCATGTCCCGTGCGTCCTCGAGTTGCAGCTGCAGGACATAATCAGTGGCTGGATTCGCGACGAGACAAGAGGGACGCACGTCGGTCGCAGTCGACATCGTCACGTCCTCGTCGACAACCGCCATGTGGTCCACGGTCTCCTCCTCGGCCGCATCGCATAGAATGGCCTGCGCGCGGTCCGGCTTCTGAGCCCGAGCGTGCGAGCCTTGCGCTGCCGGCCGCGATGAAGTCGACGCTTCTTGCACGCCTTGACATCCGCGACCACGTCCTTCGCTTGACGTACGCGAGCGAAGGCCATACTTGCGGCGGGGACGGACCGCGGGTACGCTGCGCAGGACGGACGCTTGAGAACCGAGGGAGCACGCCAAAGAACGCGACGGGACAGGTGAAGGAGAACTCGAACACGCCTCTTGGCTGTCGTTGAGGATCCAGTCGCGGGTGTAGCGGAGGAACCACTCGCGGAGCTGGAGGGACGCGTCAGTAACGGGCGGGGCCAGCGGAGAAGAACGAACCTGAGCTGCAGGGCCTTGGTACCGGACGCGCTTCTTGTTCACGAGGCCTGGAGTGGGCTCCCTCTGCGCCTCTTTGCCATGCGCTCCTCGCTGCCGTCGACGAGGACCTGAGTGGGCGTCCCTCGTTCATGATCGTGAGCTTGCGGACGAGCGGGTTAGGTGGGGCGAGGGCGGGAGGGAGTGGGTGAAGGGAGGGATAGGTAAGCATGATGGCTGAAGGCTGGTGGTAGTAGCGGAGGTGACGCAGGAGGCGCAGGGTAGCGCAGATGGTGGAAGTTCAAGGGAGAGGAGCGATGGGGGCTTGTAGTCGCGTCCGAGGGCTTTACATAGGCTCTGGACGGGCTGACAGGACGATCGCTCTCTGGCCAGCCTCTCGCTCCCTGGTTAGCCTCTTGCTCGCCTCCCGCCGACGTCGCCGATTCGCCGATGGCCAACCGCCAGAGTGCCATGGCAAAGCAACGGATATCGCCCTGTAGGATTCAACGTCAGAGCGGATCAGACTCAAGTAGCAAGAGTGGTACAGTACCCTCGAAACAAAATATCCGAAGCCCAGCGCACGGAGAGCGCATAGGAGGACTTGTTCGGCTCGCTATGTTTTCGGAGCACTTCGCACGTCACAATAACTTCACGAAGGTAACCCGAGGGAGCGCGCAGTCAACGGTATAGAGTGCTGACCGGCGACTTTCGTCCTATTCCGTTACACAAATGCATCAGTTCATTGGTATTTTGGGTCAGACACGAAGAATGAGACCCGAGGCTTGGTCTGAGCAAACTGCAGATTCGTGCGTACTCTGCTGAAAGGCACGCTCAGTCTCCCACCAGCACTGCCGTCTGCTCAGCAAGTGTGTTCTTACAGCTGGTGCCATTGCTGCCCGTGAAAACGCTCACATGTGGGCGTGCCTCGCGCAGCCCACAAACCCTCGCGGGTAGCGTGCATACATTCGCGGCAGCAGCTCCCGAACAAAACAGATCTTTTACAGACCCGGCGGTGCGCGATAGCTGCATGCTGGAGTAAAGACACTCACCATGATATCCATTATTACGAAGGCAGGGGAGCGAGTCACATGTCTGGGGCCCGTCGTCGGGGCCAGCGGAGTGCAGCTGCAATCGCCGATTGAGCACCCCAGAGATGTTCAATGTGAACGCCCTGGATTGGGTTGCATGAGAAAAGACGAGACCGGTCGCGCAGGCTCACAACGCTGAAGATGAAACACGTACGAGCTATCCTCGGGACGCGAAAGCGCACCACAATCGCCCTCGTCTCCCATATGGTCCCATCCACTTCGCGGTCGTAACCGAAATAACGCGTCTTCAAAGGAGCGGAAGCCACAAGTAGTGCTCCTCCTCGCAGGTACGCACGGAAGGACTCCCAAGGGCATCGATGAAAGGAAGGGGAGCAGAGGAGAGCACGGGGGTGGTGGTGCACATGAAGGTGATCAGTTGGGGTGGTGTGTGCGATGAATGAAAGACGGCACGGATTCTGGTCTGCTTGCGGCGCCTTGCGGGCGCCGCGCATCAGGTCGCCTACCACCGTCCGCCTGCCGCCCAACCACTGCCAGTCTTGCCTCCGGCTGATCTTTGCCAACCTTTCTCGACCCCCCAAGAGTATTGCGGTACCCCGGACGCGACGCACGACGCACGACGACGACGTCTGTCGTCGTCTGGCCCCGCACAACTGAGGCCGAGCTCAAGGAAACCCCGCGCCGCCAGCAGCAGCTCGAAGTCCGGATGTATTCGGAATCCGGACTCCGTTGCCACGCCCGGGTGGAATCGAGACCGCCAACATCGTGTTCCCAGATCGAGGACTTGACTTCGGGTCTGCTCCCATGTTCCTGAGAACTGCCTGAAAGCCTATTCTCATGTTCCCGGGATTGCTCCCATGCTTGTCGCCGGACGGTCCTCGGCTCATCTCTCCAGGTGCTTGCGAGGACACACTGGCGGAGATCCAGGCGGGTCCAATGTGCGCACATCGTGTCGAAGAAGCTGGGCTCAGGCGATACGCGTTCGCAAAGTTATATTGAGAAACGGCTACATAGTGAAACCCTATAAACCAAACCGAACCACTTTATAATCCCGTTGATCTAGCTGTCAAGGCGGGCACAAGAGAGAGCGTAGAAGCCATGGTCGTGGCAGTGACAGTTCTCGGGGAGCTCTCTTCCATGCGTCCGTGAAGCTTGTTTAGGAGGGGGGGCTAGGAATAGCACGTCAGTGTCTGAGCAGCGCGAGAGCGACGGTTGGCTGAGGCTTACACGGGGGCGACAGAAGTAGCCGGACCGGGGTCAGTCGGGAGCGTGGGGAAGGCCACGGTCGCACACTGTCGAAAGGCACCGCGAAGATCAGCACGCATTCCCCACATTGTGGAGCGGAGCGTCGAGGTCCAGCGGCTTGGAGGATGGAGAGGAAGGACGAAAACTCACCGCCTGCTGGACGTCGGCGTGGGTCAGGCCGGCGGGGAAGTGCGCGTTGGACTTGGCGGCCGGGGGCGTCTGGATGACCTCGGAGCAGTCGATCAGGTCACGCTCGTTGTGGCCGATGACGGTCATCTTGCGGAAGGCAGCCTTGAACGCCGACTGGAGCTTGGCTTGGTTGTTCACGAACGACTGCCACTCGCACGCGGTGCGCGGGTCGCGGGCGATTTCCGAGTCGGACTGGAGGCGGAGCTCGCCGGCGAGGGGCGACATGGCCTCGCCCTGGTTGGAGCCGTTGCCGGGGAAGAGGGTGCCGGCGAGCTGGGTCTCGATGAAGAACTGGGTGTCGAAGAGCTCGGGGGTCGAGTCGAAGGGGGTTCCGGGGATGGTGGGGTCGACGTGGTCGGCGGCCGCGATGGTGTGCGAGGCGAGGATAGCGACGACCTCGGCGGGCGAGAAGTCGCCACCGTCGAGCATACGAGCAAGGATCTTGTCGACAGAGTCGAAGGGCTCGGGGACGGTCAAGTCCGGAGCGGGCCGGGTTGCGTCCTTGCGGCCGATGAAGACGTCGAGTTGGGGAGCACCAGGGCAGTTCGAGACACCAACAGCACCGGCGAATTGGATGCTAAAGCACTTATCAGTCCACCATTCTCGAGTCTATACACAGAGTACTTACAAGTCGGCGGTGGTCATGTTGCTCATCTGGACGAAGGGGCGCTGAGTGTCGATGATCTCGTCGACACCGTTGTTCGCGTGGAAGTTGGTCTCGATGTCCTCGAAGATGGCGATGGAACCATCAGCTCCACCACCACTGTAGACCGGATGGTTGACATGAGCAATAAACGCGGGTTGAAAAGGTAATCACAACGAACCCGAACTTGCCGGCCCTGGCCGCGGAACGCGAGAAGCCAATGGCGTCGTGGAAGGTCAGACGAAGGGACTCGTGGACCTCCTCGCCGCACTCGCGGCCGTCGAAGAGCTGGTCCTGGAGGACGTCGCGGACGGCGAACAGGTTGCAGCACGCCGCGTGAGTGGCGACGTTCACGCCATCGGGGCAGGCAACACGGCGCGTAGTCGCGGCTGTGCGAGTGGAGTCAGCGGGTGGAGTGGGAGAGTAGATTAGGGACCCACCGTTAGCCACGGCAGCGATAGTGAGCAGGGAGAGCAGAGACTTGAAGGCCATTTCCAGAGAGGAGCCGCGTCGAAGAGAACTGGAGTTCTGAGGACCTTGCGCTCTGCAGCCTGCCTTTTATAAGTTTCTGGATGGCCGCTCGGAGTCGGGTACATGTCGAAGCCTGCTTCCACAGGACCCAGAAAATCGACGCGTTTTGCACACAGGAATGACTTGAAAATATGACCGAACCATCGGTGTGCCGTCCTACCCAGGCAACCAAACCAATCACAGTGCGACAACGCCATGATCCGACCATTGCATCCTTGGACGTGGGCGGCCTGAAACCCGTACGTTTGCGTGCCCTGGGAGCTAACCACCGCCCCGGGTTAGTAAAATCCCGCGGGCATCAAGTCAACGTCACTACGCACTGCACATTCGAACAATCTCTCCCAACACCCGAATGCGCGAGATGCGGGAGCGAGCTCTACGGCACCTGTAGAGCGGCGTTGCAGGCTGAACCGACTGACTGGTCTTCGGGTCTTCATCCAAAGGCGGGAAGAGACTTCTCCGAGGCGAGACGGTAACTCCCAGGGGTGCATGTGGATACAATCCGAGCAGATCCCACCGACAGACGATACATAGAGGGAGGGGTTGCAGCCGCGACTGGCAAATGGATGGCACCGTCATCCTTCCAGCACATGGAAAAAGTCGGTTGGACCTGGGGGAGATCTACCGCACATGAAGAAGTGGTACCTGAAGCTTGAAGACATACCATAGAGAGCCAGCTACTCTTGTTGAGCGGCTGAGAACCCTTGATAATTTTAGCGCGAGACGAAGCGTCGGTACCATTCGAAGAGGTAGCTTCGGTCCAAATCCTCCTGATCTCTTTAAGGTCTAGTGCGTGTGCTGCCCCCATGTGTACTTGAAGTAGACCAGCTCCGTTTCTCATCCTTTGCCTGACAACCTCTCCAACGGCGCGCCGTCGGAACCGAAAACGTCGCAATGCGCAGAGATTTGAGCGTACGGGTGGATCAAGCAAAATATTAATAGGCGAACCGTGGAAGAGGCCTCTCTCAAGCTCTGTCAAGGCCTCGATGTCGTGGGCAGCAATACGCCGCGTATCCGGCAAACTTGCGTCGCTTCCCAGAGCGACACGGACGTGGGAAGGGGATAAGTCGCAATCTCTGGGTACACGTGGGGATCGTGCTGTGTGTTCGGGGCGGAGGACACATGAAAGGGTGCTGATAACGCAGATGGGAGACTACGGGAGCCCAAGTGAAGAGGTGAACTGACTTCGCTGAGCCACTGCCTACCTGCGCGTCATGTCACGTTCATATGACCGTCGTCACACTCGCTCCTCCTCCGCCGGCGTATATGTAGCTACTTACGCTAGTCCTCCTACCACCACCGTCGCTACCCCTCGTGCTGTATCCCCGCTAGAGATGTCGATCTGACGCACTCGCGACGGGCTCAAGACTCACCCGGACTTCTCCCGAGGTCCACCACTCCGGGATCCTCACAACTAGGGCCCAACGCGGCACGGTTTTCACGGTGTGGTTTCAGCGTTCAAGTCTAGGTGTCGCTCGCGTGTAAAGGGGTCTCAAAGCTTCAGTGCTTCAGTGCTTGAACCGCAAACCGGAAGTATTTCGGCGACAGGATGCGGTAGGTACCGAGGATCTTTTCGGAGCAAGTCCCCTCCAACCGGCGAAGTTGCCAAAGCGCAGTGATCATGCCTGCGTCAGCCCCGTCGGCGACTAGAGCCTAGCGTTTTTGTTCTCAGAGGACAGTGGCTCGAGTGCGCTAGCAAAGCCTTACACTCCAGTTTCTCGCCCAGGATGTCTTGAGTGGATGTCTTGGGGCTCTGCGCCAGAACGAGTCATGCATCTCGTAATTCGAGGGACAGGTGAGTGCATTCGTTCCGATGAATGTCGGACATGTACAGTCGTATCGTCGCAGAGAGTCTGACAGAGTCTGTGTAGTTTTGGTCTAAACAGAAATTCTCAAGATGGGAGCCGCACAGCCTCGTTGCCGATGCGCGCCTTCCACAACCACATTCTGTCAGATCAACGTACAGCCTGCGATACGCATAGAGCTACTTAATGTTTGGGGAGACCAGCACACGAAGCCAGCCTTTCCTTCTCCATGACCGCGTCGAAGACCAAGAAGAACCACCTGCAAGTCGGCGCCCAGGCGCCCCCGCCGTTCCCACAGCCGCAACCGGCCCCGGCGTCACTACCACCCCCCCCTCCAGCTCAGGCTCGGACTCTTCCACGCCACGATAAGCCTGCTCAACATCATCGGCACTATAAAAGGAGTGTCGTATACGATGCATACGACATCACGCACCCCCCGCAACATCCAGGGCACGGGTGGACACGCTTCGTTTGCGTTTCGGACACACATTGCATTCGTTTCCCGGTTCCCGCTGGAGATGTGCTGCTGCACAGCGGGGATCTGACAGAGCACGGTACGCTCAAAGATCTAGAAAGCAGCCTCGACTGGTTGAAGTCACTTTCACATCCGGTCAAGTTGTGAGTATCCGGCGCTCGCGAACCATTTGGCGCGCGACTGATCACCAAGTCCACCACAGCTTCATCGCAGGCAATCACGATGTACGCTTGGTTCGAGCGTACATTCGTTTAAAACTAGGGACTGACTCATCTTCAATAGATCTGTCTAGATCCCCGCTTCCTAGAAGGAGGCTCGCATCGCAAATACAGACCACGGAGAGTCCATGACAAGGTGAACGAGATCCAATTATGTTTGGCCACATGGACTCACACATTGTCATACAGGACATCAGTGACGCTTGCAGGCTGGTCAGAAGCGAGTCGTTGCGGAGAGCCGGACTTTATTACGTCGAACATGAAACGGTGCTCTACACCACAAAAGGCGGCAAGGTATACAGTATCTACGGATCTCCGGTACGCCGCACCCCCGAGTGCCCCATAAATGTCCCAGAAGTACTAGTTCTGACGCTCTCCCCTACTCAGTCCTCCGTCATTTATCACTACAATGGCGCCTTCCAGTACCCCGCCGGCCATGGCAGAGCTCTCTACGACGCCGTCCCGCCTACGACCGACATCCTTATGACGCACTCTCCCGCGCACGGCATCTGCGACCTCACGAAGCACGGCGCACACGGCGGCTGCCGCGATCTCGCACGGCGGCTCGAACACAGCGACCTCCGCCACTGCCGTCTCCATGCCTTCGGGCATATCCACGAAGGCCACCGCGTCGAGACTGTGGGCAAAAGCGAGCGGAACCCGAGCGGGCGGGTGTGCGCGAACGCGGCGCTTCCGAACGTGCCGCTGCCGGTCATCGTGGACCTGCAGGATTAGCGTGCATGTAGTTGTAGGACAAGGTCCCGATTCTCCTCGTTATCTGTCGATACCCTGTCTACTGTTATATTTCGGCGACATACGATGCAGCTCGCCCGACATGCTCTTCTCTGAGGTGCTACCATATACCAGATATCAGATCTCCTCTCTGCCCTTGTCTTCCTGTAGGAAGTCCTATGCGCTACCGGGTCCTCCACCGACAAGCCCAAAGATGTCGAGATGAGCGAGGCTGTCGGGAGTCGAAGGTAGAGTGACGTTCACGACCATGAACCGCCTGTTGAGCGCCACATACGTCGGCGAGTCCGTCTCGAGGTGTCTGCGCACAGCGTCAGTACTCTCATGTCCGATCGACTACCGCCGGACGTACACGCTGCTCATTGCGCCGACGTTCACAATCCTGGCATGCGTCCGTCAGCACACGCGGGCAGGAAGCTGGAGAAGCGCGACGCACCCGACACCCTGGATGCGCAGGTATGCAAACGTGCCGTCGACCGCCCACTTCACCGGCACGTTCACCTCCGTGAAGATCGTGTCGTTCGCGGCCGCGTTGAACGTGTTATCCCGATCTCGCGCTCCCCGGGAGGAAAGTCGCGGCGAGGGTCCCGTTCGGGTCGAGAGGCTGCCGCTGCTCGGGCCAAGAGATGTCGGTGGGGCCGGGTGAGCAATCGGAGTCGGCACGGACGGGTGGCCGCGTTCGAACCGGAGCGGAGGAAACACCCGAAAGGCCGATTGGGAGGCGCACGCAGTGGCGGAATGAATGGCGGTGGACGCGAGAACAAGGTTAGCGCACTGGGCCGACTCGGAGAGAACGGAGACGCACGAGATGAGCGGTGCGAGCAGCCGTTGGCCGTAAGGCCTTGTATGACCCCAGAGGAGGGGTCGAGCCCGAACGAGCCCGTGAAGAGGTGCTCAAACTGAGGCAACAGTGCGTCCGCGGCGATGACGGGGCTCGCGGCGAGAGTGAGCAGAGCGGCGGTGAGGGCGGAAGGGAAGAACTTCATTGGTGCGTTGGGTTTGGAGTGGGTGCTGTGAGGACGGGTCTCCATGCCGCCCTTTTATGTCAGACAGTACGAGCGTTGAAGATGCCCGTTCGACCGGGCTTGGTCAGCAAGACGTACTCCCAGTCCTGTCGCAGCTCTAGTCCGATGGCCGAATTCAAGCCGCCGCCGGGTCCAGATCTAGTACCTGATGATCAATACGACGTTTAATGACCATTTCTGCACCAGAAAATAGAGTCGTACGCACTCGCAAGATTTCACTTTCGGTTGCCCGTGCCACCCGAGTGACGAGTGGCTCGGGCAGCGCACCGATTGAGTAGGTTGTGGATACCGAAGAAGGTTCCGTCCAGCCTCGGCATCAACATCCATGTCAATGTTCTTGAGACCCCCGCGAGGGACTCTGACAAGGCTGCGCCGTGACTCAAGCTAAACGTTGATGACACACTCAGTGGCGTGCTGTAAGCCAGAACATCTAGTATTGTTGATGGTACATACAACAGCAGCGCTTTACGCCTGCAGGTAGCGCATGCAAACGTTTCACCGCATTCACCGGACTAGACACGGCAGTTGTCCAGGTTGAAGATGAGGATGTCCTCGCACCGACCTTCACGAGCTCGTCCATCACGTCCGCAATCTTCTTCTTCTCAACCATCACGTTCACCGCGACCCAACCCGACTCCTCGAGGGGCTGATCGTCGGCGCGCGCCGTCCAGGGGTAATGACCGTGCGGCGGGCAGGGAGTCTCGGCGGATGTTGTACTCGCAGACCACGTACTTGCCGGCAGCGACGACGCCCGCTATGCGGCTCGTGACAAGTCTGATGAGGGGTCCAGATCGGGGTGCTTTGTATTCGAGGATTTAATCAGGACAGCTTCCGTCTGAAGGACCGTCGCGATCGCATGCAGACCAGCTGCACGCATCGTGTCGCCAGACTCTGGGAAGGGAGGGGAAGTGCCGTTTGTTGGCGTCGTGATAAAGATGGAAGTGAAACAAGTTACTCACCGACGAGATCGACGATGCCATCCGCCAAACCTAGCGCACAGGCGGCCTCCACGCTCCCTCCGACGTACTCGATCTTCGTTCTGCTGTCGTCGGCAAGTTGTAGCCGGTCGTCGATGTTTTTGAAGTATTTCCCCGAGAGGATCTCGAAACTCGTAACAACACGCTTTCCCGCAAGCCCTTCTACGGTCTTGATGGGACCTGCCTCGGGCACTTGAACTTGCAACGCACATTTGCCGAAGCCGAGCTGTAGAATCTCGGTGACGAGTCCGCTCATCTCGGCCTCGAGGATGACGTCCTGTCCGGTGATACCGAGGTCGACATTACCCTTCCCGACGAAAGAAGGGATGTCAGATGCCGGAAGGAAGACCCTAGGGGATCCGTTAGACGTATAAGCGACCGAGCGTGGAAGGAGGACGAACAACGCGATGTTGTGGTTCTTGACGAGACATACATCGAGACGGGCGTGTCTTCGAAACTGGATATCAGCGCCTTCGGCTCTGTCAGAAATCTCCAATATCGGTCCAAGGAGGAGGATCTCACCGGAAAGCAGTTCCATACATTTCTCGTGCAGCCTGCCCTTCTTAGGGATGGCGAACAGGAGGCGTCCGTCAAGCGAGTCGACGTCTGCCTTCCGGTCAGTGGCAGGTTAGCGTCGATGTAGTATATACGCACTCATCGGGGCGACCGGGGGGTGGGGGGTGGGTACAGCGGAAAAGCGGCGGGGAGTCATTGTAACGGAGTTCTTCCAAGACGTTGACAGATTAGATCATCGACTTTTTCCCTGGCGGTAACTCTCCCCGGCCCGCTGGATCCCCTCCCGGTGACCCGAACTAATCCGCTTGGAGTCGCAGCCGGCTTGTATCTCTCTCTCTCCCTCTCCAGTTGCAGTCAACCGTACTTGAACGTCAACTACATTGTCCCGCCGCAAACTTCAAACGCCAAACCGACTTGCTGGGGCGCAACGCGTATGCACAGCGGACGCCACGCCAGTCGTCAGAGACAACAGCTACGTTGACCAGGGCCAGTACACTCCTTCGGCTCCGCAAGTATCGTGCTTCAGCGTTCCACATTTCCACCCCCATCTCAAGTATGTCTACTCCATGTTACAATGACATCGAAGAGTGACTAAATCACTCAAGAAGGTTCTCGTTCACGATGAATCCAGAGGCAACACGCTTGCCGAACGATATCCAGCGTCTTGTCATCGATATCTGCCGAGAGGACAAGATCACGCTCGCTGCTTGCAGTCTCGTCAGTCAAGCATGGAAGGGCTATGCTCGTGAACATCTACTCCGAACCATCGTCTTGAAATCTGGACCCAAGGACGGCGATCGTCGTATTCATGAATTCATCGGGTTCTTACAGGATCTCAAGGAAGTGGACTATACGAGGCACATCCGCGCATTACAACTCAAAGGACATTTCGGTGCTTTTTTTGACAATGCATTACCCACCCCGCTGTCAGTCGACGTTCTAGTCATCATCCTGAACCATCTCCCATCTCTCGACAAACTTCTCCTGGAGGACATGGCAATCACGGAGACGCTGACGTTCAAAGACGACACATCGCGCTCTACTATCCCGACCTGGATACGCCGTCCTCTAAAGTACCTGCGGATCGCCAACTACATGTCTGTTGTCGCAAGCCGACAGACGTTGCTCGCATTCGTATCGCTCTTCACTTCTCTCGATAATCTTGAAGTGCTTCTGCTGGCTACGTACGACGAGATAGGCGGGACTTTGGCCCAACATGCGAAACCTCCGGTTTTCTCCCGTCCCTCTGGATTTACCACCGTGCGGTCCCTTGACTTACAATTCATTCATATGGACGTTGCCGCCGACCTGTACACTCTACTTCGCCAGTCAGGCTCTCTCACAGGACCTTTACGTTCGCTGTGCCTGCGCTCTACGGCCCCTTATGAATTGCAATGGTTCATCTCAGTCCTAAAGAGGCTGGACCCCACTTGCGTTCCCTCGGGATTAAACTTCCTGCCGCTGCCGCTGCCAGTGTAATCGGTACGTCTAGCTGTAGCTCTTGAGATCAATGCTGAGATAAGCCTTCCTTCCAGACCCTTCGCAACTTCATCTCGGACACTGTCGCTCCCTCAAGTCTCTCTTCGTGGCTCACGATGAACAGGAAGCAGCGTGGCTCCAAGGTTCTCCTTTCTATGAAACATGTGGCCGTCTAATATACACTCTCCCAAACACCACCGACCTCCGCGCTTTCACGCTCGAGTTCAGCATTCCTCGGGATCCGGGCATGAGCGATGGAGAACAGTCGGCGGTTCTCTCCGATATATGCCCCGAGAATCTGGCAACCTTAGAAGACGCACTGCTCAAATTCATCCCAACGCTCCAACGTGTGAAAATCGTCTTTACCATGGATTCATTGCAGTCAATGTCACCTTGTATGCTTACGCTGAAGGACTGCATCTGGAACAGCCTTCCACGACTCCGTGACGCGGGTTTACTGGCGATCGAGTGGGAGCATGGTTGGTGGAACATGTAAACAGCTACTTATCGGCATAGGCAGAGCAAAGCAATATCGCCGTATTTTCGCGCTAAAAGGGTGGTCCGTTGGTATCCCACCACTTCTTCCACTCTCCTTCGAGCCTGTCCTCCGGCCAACGCTGCCTGATATCGTCCGCGCCTCGACTTCAACCCCCTCGCCACCGGCGCCCAGTCCCTCACCAACTTCCCGCACTTCTTCACAATCTCTCCACGGACAAGCACCATCTCCACGTCCTCGCTTGACGCGTAGAAGACAGCGCCGACCACTGGTTCCTCAACCCCACAGAGGTTCGGAGAGTTCGCGTTGAAGACAATGAGGTCGGCGCGCTTGCCCACCTCGATAGTGCCGATGATGTTCTCCATATTCAAGACTTCTGCACCTCCAAGGTTCCCAAGGCGGAAGACGTCGCCCGCGTTGTACTTGTTCTTGTATGGGGCCGGGGACTTGTTGGCGCGAACGTCAGCGTGGTGCATTCTGCGCTGCCACTGGAGCTGGACCCGCATCTGATCGAATAGGCTACTGCTGCATATAGTCACGACGTCCCACGCCATATATCCAGGTGAGCACGCTTTATCGCGGAACAAACGAGACGCTGACACGTACCACTACCAGACCACACTTGACTCCATGCTCGGTCCCTTCAAGGGCGACGGGGTATCCCTGTGCGGTCCCCAGCTCGCCCAGCGGCGTCGCCCCAATCCCCGCCCCGCTCTCCTTCAGCAGCTTCCACACCTCGTCCCCGGCCTCCGGACGCCCCTGCAGGTTGTTACAGTGCCCAAAGACCAAGTCCGGCCCAAGGAGGCCCACGTCTCGCCACGTCGTAATGTGAGCGTCCGCGAGCGCGTGCGCGGACACGACCTTGACACCCGCCACGCACGAAGCCGCGGTGCGCCTCCGCCCCAGCCTCGCCCCCGGCCCCGGATATGAGCGCGTCGTACGCGAGCCCGAGCGTGACGCGCCCGTCCGCGCGCAGGCTCCCGCCGGTCTCCCGCCCGAGGCGCGTGATGCGGTCGAGCCGCCGCGCGCGCGCGGCCGCGTCGTCGCCGAACTCCATCGCGGGGTACAGGCGCGTCGGCGCGGACTGCCGCGCGGGCGCCGGACTCAAGCACGGCGGCGAGCGCGGCGTCGAAGTGCGCGGGGCTCATCGTCGCCTGGAAGTGGTCGAGGAGGGTGGTGACGCCGTTGTGGAGGGGGTCGAGGCAGCCGGCGAGGGTGCCGATACGGACTTCGTCTGGGGTGATGTCGGGCTGGACGGTCCTGCGCCGCGTGTGGAGTGAGTGCGACTGTGTTACCTGGTGCGGAAGAGGCGGGACTGACCACGGCATCTTGATCATGTATTCAGTCATGAGGTAGCTGCCGGAGGTGCAATCTCGTTAGCCATGGAACGTCTGCAAAGCATGTCGTGTGTACTCGCTGTGGTTCCCCTGAGCACCGACATGAACAAATGGCTGCCAGAGCTTGTGTCAGTCATGTACAGCGCGAAAATAGCTTCGAACGCACCGGTGAGTGTCAATGAAGCCGGGCGTGATCCACTTGTCCGTGCAGTCGATGACCGCCTCGATCTTGGTCATCGTCGTTCCTTCCACGAGGAGGTCTCCGTAGAACGTCTGAACGCCGTCGTTGCCCTTGACGCTTGTCGCGATCTTCCCCCCTTTGAGAAGGTACTTGGGCATGTACTTGGGCATGGCGGTGAGTGGTTATGTAATAGGCTGGTGAGACACTGTCTTGCAAAGGTCTATACCTCCCGCCTCCAGTAGATGTCCTTGACTGATATGGTCCTGCGTCGAGAGCAAGATCCAGCTGTAGGCGTCAGTCATAATTTATAAACCAACAAGGTTCGACCTATTTTGACGCTCCGAGTCATGGCTCGAGCGACGGGTTCGGGTTCTACATGGCCCACTCACACGCGGATCGTCAACTCCGCAAAGACGGCCAGTAGGATCCGTGTATGAGCTTCGGCGGCGCCGGAGGTGTGTGCACATGGACGGAGCGCTACTATACAAGCTTTGATCCACGACTTTGATTCACGATGACTCGACTCGGAACTACGGATATCGGATCTCCGAGGATGCGGCTGGTGTGTCCTACGTCGTGTGATATCTTCAACATCGCAGTACTTGTCGTTTGACAATGTGGGGAGTAAATGTTCCTGGTGTGGTATTTTGGGGCGGTAGGACGCGATCGGGGCAAGTACAATGGCTACAGAAGTATCTACGCGAGTGGCCCGAGGTACGTTTGCACCTCTGGCGCCGACTCCAACACGACACTGGCCGATGCCGGCCTCGGGGGCCGGGACTGACATGACGTGGCATTTCGCGCAGCTGTGAAACCACGCGTCTCCGGCATTGGTGGTATATAGATTGGGCAAATAGTGCTCTGGTCGTCTCGGTTCATTCCTCGGCGACAAGAAGGTATGAGGAACCCATTTCGTCCACCACCGGCTGCCCCAGCGTTCGGTCGTGGCAAGGTCATCCCGGAGACGAGCGCTTGGTGAGTTGCGTATCCTTCCGGGCGCTCTTTGGCACGGTGGCACTGCAGCTTACTCCTCGACCGCCATGTGTGCACAGGCCGCTTTCGAGATTGTTGTTCTCTTGGCTAGACCCTTTCCTAGCCGTGGGGTTCTCGAGACCGCTCGAGAAAGACGGTGAGTTTCCAACCTGCCCCGCCCCGCCCATGACGCGTATCGTTCATCGCTGGCGTGTTCGCAGACTTTTGGACCTTGCCCGATCAACGTCTCACTGGACACCTAACCGACCTTATCGAGCGAGCATTCTACCGTCGATGTCGTCCCGAGGAACGTCCATCATTTACTCCGATGAAGGCCGATGCCGCGACGAGATCTCCGGAGCCATCCTCAAACGTCAATACTGATGGGTCCGAAGACACGACAGAGGGCAAGAACAGGCCCCAGCTCACATCTGAGCAGCCGACTGTAGCTACTCAACACAGCTCGAACCTGATGAAGGCTCTGCACAGTGTGTTCTGGAAGCAGTGGTGGACTGCTGGCATCTTCCTGCTGATCTCCGGTATGAGTTGTGTTACCCATTCCTCATTCAAACACCTGAGCTTGTTCGACCACAGACACATTGAACACAACGACACCGCTGGTCAATCAAATACTCTTGACATGGCTTACCAACTCATTTGTGTACTTCCGCGCAACTGACGAAGAGCGCGCGGCCTTCGGGTTGGAAACACCCCAAGGCATTGGATACGGGATCGGGCTCGCTTTCGCTATCTTCGTCATGCAAGGCGCGTTGCCTACAGTATTTGAATACTCCGACTGCTGATCTACGATTTTTGGTACAGAGGCATCTAGTCTAGTGCGTTTATTACTTCGCTTCGCTGCAGAGCACAGCTGAGGTTCCCACTCTAGTTTTCAAACCATTACCAGATGCGTGCGTTAGAGCTCCTCTCTCTCCTTGCGGCGCTCATGATCTCATGGTTTGTTCTTATTCACAGTCGCCATGACGAACGGCATCTGTCTTCGTACTAGTGTATGAGTCATTTTCAGCGCGTGCAGCCGAAAGAATCTGACTGACCACTCGCCGTGCAGGTCATCGGCGCAGTCTTCCGCAAGTCGCTACGTCTCAGCGGCAGGGCTCGTCTCAAGCACAACGTGGGCCAAATCACAACGATGATCTCCACGGATGCCACCCGGCTCGACCACAACAGCCAGACACTTCACAAGTTCGTCGCGTCCTTGTCCTCGCACTTCCACGCTACTGACTGTCGTCCAGCGTGTGGGTTGCCCCCATTCAGGTACATAATCCATGTGGTCCCCGTCTTTCCACTTCTCTGAGATGGTTGATAGATCGCCATCGGCATCGGTCTGCTCATCCGTAACGTGAGAATAACATTGAGGCCGCTTTTATACCCTCTTATTAGCGTTGCACAGATTGGTGTTGCGGGTGTTGTCGGTGTTGGCGTAAGTCACACCGCTCTCTATCCGATGGGGTCATAATCACTCGTTTTTAGGTGCTCCTCCTCGGTTTCCCGGTTCAAGTCATCTTGGCTGCCATAATGTTTTCTCAACGCAAGAAGGGTGTCGCCATCACTGATCAGCGCGTCCGCGCGACGACCGAGGTGTTCTCCGGTATCCGCCTCATCAAGTACTTTGCCTGGGAGTCCTTCTATGCCCGCCAAGTTGGCGATCTTCGTGCTCAAGAGATTCGAACAGTGCGTGCCCTAGAGTGAGTCGCTACAGCATCGTTCGGCATGCCTTGCCCCCTGCTCACCTATTCACCTGATTGAGGATCTCTCGTTCGGGCCTCATCGGTACGGTCTCCGTCACGCCTACCATTGCCACGATTTTGTCGATTGTACGTTGAGTGCATACAAAGGGGCATAGCGACTTCATGCTGACGCGACATGATGCAGGTAGTCTTTTCATTGCGCAATGGCAGCTTTGATGTCGCCACTGTATTCTCCTCGGTGCAATTCCTTGCGGTACGTCGCGTATTGTATAGAAGCCTCGCGACTGTATCTAAAACACCTCTACAGATCATTCGCGCACCCCTCACACTCCTCCCTATCGTTCTCGCCCAAGCCACCGATGCTTCGGTGGCCCTCAAACGCATCAGCGACTTCTTGTGCGCGGAAGAGCTCGAAATCCCCTACCTGATCGATGAGGGCTCTGCCAACGCCATCTCCGTCGACGGAGACTTCACGTGGGACCCTGCGCCTAAGGAAGAGACCAAGGACTCGGCCGTCCTCGCCTCCGAAGACAAAAGTAAGAGTAAGGACAAGGTCAAGGATGAAATCTTACCGACTACCGCCGAGAAGGAAACCCAAGTCAAGGAAGAGAAGGAGGAGAAGCCTTTCACACTTGAGGGCTTGAGGCTCAACATTCCCAAGGGGCGTTCGTGGCCATAGTCGGACGTGTTGGATCTGGCAAGGTGGGCGGTTCATTGACTCGTTTCTTTCCGGCGCGTGCTGACAGCGGAGGGTGCTTCACAGAGCTCTGTACTGCAAGCGATGATTGGGGAGATGCGCAAGGTCCGTGGCGAATGCGTCTTCTCGTCGGAGGCCGCATATGTTCCCCAAACGGCTTGGATCATGAACGCAACTCTCCGGCAAAACATCGTGTTCGGGAAAGAGGAAAACGACGCACAGTGAGTACAGCTCCTTTCTTGCACCATCCACACTCTGGTCACTAACATCCGCTCATAGATTCCGCGACATTGTCAAAGCATGCTGCCTCGAGCCTGACCTCGAGATGCTCCCGATGGCGAGGCTACCGAAATCGGCGAGAAAGGCATCAACCTCTCTGGCGGTCAAAAGGCCCGCGTTTCCCTCGCGCGCGCTGCTTATTCTGGCGCCGAGATCGTGCTTATGGACGACTCGCTCTCCGCCGTCGACGCCTACGTCGGCAAGACCCTGCTCGACACCCTAATCCTGCGTGGTCCCTCGCGGACAAGACCCGTGTTCTCGTCACACACTCCTTGCACGTTCTCGACCGCACGGACTACATTTACGTCATGGACGAGGGCAAGATCGTCGAGCAGGGCACGTACGCAGAGCTCATGGCCAATGGTCTCACGTTCTCGCGCCTCATTGAGGAATACGGGTCCGAAGAGCGCCAGGAGAAGGTTGTGGCAACTGAGGAGACCACGAGGGACGCTGCAGCCGACACTACAGACTCGAATGCCCCCGCGAAGGCGACGGACGCGCTCATGCAAGACGAGGAGCGGATCAAGGCTCAGTGTCCTGGTCGGTCTACGTGAGGTACTTCCAGTACTGCGGCGGGGTCATGATCATGCCCCTCATCCTGCTGTGGATCATCCTTTTCCAAGCTGCCACGGGTGCGTATTTCGTCTGCCCTCGGGGTCGGGGGCCGATGAGCTCATGCTGGCACCAGTTGGGGACACGCTTTGGTTGAGCTTCTGGACGGGCCAAAAGGTCCCAGGTTTTTCGCAAGCCGATTACATCGGGGTGTACTCCTCGTTAGGCGTCGCAAGTGGGGTCTTCCAGTTCGCGCTCAGTATGACCATCAGGTGAGCTTTGGCAGTACTCTTCACGAGGAACGCACTGACTTACCGACTATCTCTAGTCTGGCGGGTTTGACTGGGGGTCTCAAGATATACAAGGCCGCATTCAACGCAGTCGTTCGGTCCCCTGTTTCCTTCTTTGACACTACTCCGATGGGTGCGTGCTCAATTGAGGGTCTGACTACCTTCTGGCTAACCTCTATGCTTGGTAACAGGTCGCATCATTGCCCGTTTCTCCAAGGATCAAGACACTATCGACCAGGAGCTGGCCATTTACGGCGTCGTGGTATGTGTATATTTCCCTCTGAACGCGAGCTTATGACTGATCGCACTTCATTTGCACCAGCTACTTACTCTCATCAGGTCTGTTTTCTCTGAACATCCTCTCAGTGGTGTACTCAATCCGTCGTCTAGTACTGTCTTCGGAACTGCCGCACTGGTCTTCTACACCTTCCCGCTGCTCGGTCTCATCTTCATCCCGATGATTATCTTCTACACCTTGGTGGCAATGTACTACACTCGGAGCTCTGTCGAGACGAAGCGCATTGACTCCATCTTGCGTTCGGGTCTCTACGCTTCCTATTCAGGTATGTTTACCTCCTATTTGTCGACCTCATGTCTGAGTCGTGAAACCGCAAATGCAGAGACCTTGACCGGGTTAAGCTCCGTTCGAGCTTACCGTGCTCAGGCGAGTCGCTGAGTATCTACGCCCACGACGTTCTGACTTATAGTTTCTTCAGGACCGTTTCGTCCGCAAGTCCGATCAGGGCCTCGACGAGGAGAACCGCGCATACTACATGACGCTCGCCCTCCAGCGCTGGCTAGCGATCCGACTCGATATTCTCGGCAACATCCTCATCCTCGGTATCTGTCTCTTCGCGGCTGGCTTCCGGACATCTGTCGATCCTAGCAAGATTGGTGTCGTGCTGACGTACTCTCTCAGCAGTATGTCTTTTCTGTTTCTCTCATCGTGTTTTGACTAATGGCGTTGATATCCCCAGTCACTCAAATCTTTTGTGGGTCTCCTCTCCGGTCCCTGCTCAAGCGACCGACTCGCTCATGCAAATATCTCTTCAGCGGCCATTGTCTCCACCTACGCCCAGAACGAGCAGAACTTCAACGCCGTCGAGCGCGTGCTCTACTACATCGACCTCCCTTCGGAAGGCGCACCAACGACTCCAGACGATCCTCCGCCGTCATGGCCCGAGCACGGTGCGGTCGAGTTCAAAGACGTCGAGATGGCGTACCGCCCCGGGCTCCCCACCGTGCTCAAGGGCGTCTCCTTCCGCGCGGAGCCCGGCGAGAAGGTCGGCATCGTCGGCCGCACGGGCGCGGGCAAGAGCTCGCTCATGCAAGCGCTTTTCCGGATTGTCAACGCACAGGCGGGACGATCGAGGTCGACGGCGTGGACGTCGCGACGGTCGGGCTAGACGTGCTCCGGGAACGGCTCGCGCTCGTGCCGCAGGACAGTCTGCTGTTCAAGGGAACGCTGCGGGAGAATCTGTGAGTGTATCCGCAGCTGACGCGGCTCTCGTTTCGCGCTGACAAGTGGGTGGGCGACGCAGAGATCCGATGAAGACGAGGACAGATGCGGAGCTGATCGAGGCGCTGAGGCGCGCGTGGTTGCTGCCGAAGGAGGGCAATCCGGTCGACTCCGCCACGGATGCTAAGTTCAGTCTCGACGCGGCGGTCGGCGATGAGGGATCCAACTACAGTCAGGGCGAGAAGCAGTTGCTCGCACTATGCAGGGCGCTTGTCAAGAACAGTCAGATCATCGTTCTGGTGAGTCCCGCGGTACCCTGTAAGATCCAAGCAAGTGTCTGATGAATATTTCTTGAAACTTCAGGATGAAGCTACGAGCAACGTCGATGTCGAAACGGACGCCAAAGTTCAGCGCACGATCCAGAAGGAGTTCAAGTCCTCCACTCTTCTGTGCATCGCTCATCGGCTGAATACCATCGGTACGCTCCCCCACATCGCGGTTGGCCGAGTGCGCCCTGACCGTCCACGCAGTGTACTATGATCGCATTCTCGTCATGGATGGCGGCCGCGTTGCCGAGTTCGACACGCCCCTTGCTCTCTTCGACCGCGAGGACTCCATCTTCCGCTCTTTGTGCAACGAGGCCAATCTTTCACGCCAGGATATCATCAAGATCCGCGCGAGCGTCCACACTCACGGCGCTCTCTCTTCCACGCCTCCTACCACTACGTCGTTGGCTCAGCCTGGATATACCACTGCCGCACCTCCAGGGATCGGAGCTTCCACATCTACTGCTCTGGTGGAGAAGCCTGCGACATACGTCGTTGATGCTGTCTCGGATGCCGCTGCAGCGTCTGGAGAATATACCTTGTGACGGCCCGTCAGTTACCCCTCGATGAGATACCCATGATGAACTGTTTGAAATATTTACTCCATCCCCACTCCTGCGCCCACTCTCCTCAACCTACACGCCTTCGCACTCGAGCCCTTCGACCACCACTCCTCTAATCCCCACTCTTTCAACCCCCACTCCCTCATGCATGCGCTCGCTATCATACGCTATCCACTCCCCGCTATAACTACATACCATCCCACCTTTCTCATCAGACCGGCATATGATCAAGGAGCCACGCTCTTTTTCTCTTCCGGAATATTGGATTGCGGTCGGATACAGCCAGCCAAGCGCCTCGAAGCATCGCCGCACAGCAGACGTCCGCTCCAACGACGTAGATTTAGACGCCCGTAGACGACTCTTTCCGCTGTTGGATTTTCGTGCACCCGCAGCTTGAGCAAAATGGGCGCGATATCACATGCCCAGCCCAGTCGAGGTTACTATACCCAGCCGACCCGTCGCGGAAGACCGGATATGGGTAGGTGGTTGACACTTCCGATAAGTAACCAGCCTGCGGTGTGTCGCAAGACGTGCGCCGAACAAACAAACAAACACGGTTCGCCTCCAGTCCCCAGTCTATAAAAGGTGCCCTCGCTGGGTCGTTCATCCTCATCCCCAACCCCCACCTTCCCCTCACTCCTCCTCCTCTTCTTCCCTTTTTCCCTCTCGACCTCGACCTCAGCACCTCCCTCGCCACTGACTACGCATCAGTCTCAACGCCGCCATCGTCAGCCTCCACGGCCCTCAACGCCTTCGACCAGTGCAAGACGTCGCCTCTCCCAACAACTTCACAACTGTCAGCCGCCGACACTGACCAGGCTTTTCTCTTCTCTCTCCACCCTTGCCACGCACTGTTGTGCTGACCTCTATGATGCAGTCGTTTTTTGCAGGTGTCGGCCGTCCGCGTGGGCCGAAGACTCGCCTCGCGAACCCGCAAGCGCCCTCGGTCTCCAATGCACACCGAAGACGCCCCGTCGTGGGTCCCGCAACGTGCGGCGGCGGTCCGCCTGTCTCAAGCGGGGTCTGGTCCTTTTTTTCTCAAGCCGTCCCCATGCGCGGAAGGCTCTCACGCTCCAGTGTCGGGCTGAGACATCAAGAGCGAGCTTGGGGCTCAGGTACTCGACGCAAGTCTGTCCCCCGAAGACGGCGTGAGTTGAAGCCGGAAGCCCGGCGCCCATCAAGAGGAGTCTGGTCCCTTTTTTTCTCAAGCCGTCCCCATGCGCGGAAGGCTCTCGTCGCTCCAGTGTCGAGCCGAGATATCAAGAGCGAGCTTGGGGCTCAGGCACGCGACGCAAATCTGACTCCCGAAGGCGGCGAAGATGCATGCGAAGGTCAGTCTGGAAGGTATGTCGTTTCCTTTCCCGAGGGGGGGCGGGCGCGCCGGTTGGGGTGGCCCGTCCTGGCGCAGACCTTTTCGTGGTCCTCGGGATAAGTACCGCTGGGGGGCGTCCAGGACGCTCGCCAGTGGGAAACCAACATGCGCCGAATCTCTTCTCTTTGTTTCGTCTAGTGCGTATGCCGTACATGTGTACCCTCTTACTACTACGAAGCTCCGAATGTTATGCACCGCACACGCTCGCAAATAAGAGCCCACCACCTTTCATGGAACTGACTCTGGCAAGGTGAGCCGTGTTCCTTTTATCAAGTCGTCCCAGATGTATGGCACGCATATCATAATCAAGGCTCTTTACTACTACCACACGGGCGACCCGAAGGTGTCCCACCACTTCTTCCACTCTCCTTCAAGCTTGTTGGCCGACCACCGCTCGCGGATCGCGTCAGCGTGCTTCCTCAGCTCCATGGCCACCGGACCCCAGCTCCGAACCAGCTTCCCGTTCTTCTTCACCATCTCCCCATCCACGAACACCGTCTCGACGTCCTCGCTCCCGGCGTGGAAGGCCACTCCCGTGACCGGGTCTGCTGCCCCTCCAAGGTTGGGCGTGTTGGTGTCGAACACGAGCAGGTCCGCCCGCTTCCCCACCTCGACCGTTCCGATCACGTCCCCCATGTTCAAGCACTCCGCCCCTCCGAGAGTCGCGAGCCGGAAGACGTCCGCGGAGTTCCACTCGTTCTTGTACGGGAGCGCGAGCTTGTTCTTGCGGATGTTCTCGTGCGTGGCCCCGCGCGACCACTGGAGCTGCGTGCGCATCTGCGTGAACATGTCTCCGCCGTTGATCGACACCGCGTCCTGCGCCATCCCGAGCCCAAGCCCGTCAGCCCGTCTCCCGGCACATCCACCACGCCCGAGCGAACGACTCACCGCTCCCAGCCCGCACTTGACCCCGCGCGCGAGCGCCTCCAACGCGACCGGGTTCCCGTGCCCCATCCCGAGCTCGTCCACAGGCGTCGCGCCGATCCCCGCCCCGCTCTCCTTCAGCACCTTCCACACCGCGTCCTCGGGGTCCGCGCGCCCCTGCAGGCTGTTGCAGTGCGAGAACACCACGTCGGGCCCGATGAGCCCCGCGTCGCGCCAGGCCGTGATGTGCTCGTCGACGAGCGCGTGCGCGGTCACGATTCGCGCCCCGGCCGCCCGCGCCGCGCGCACGAACTCGACGTGCGGCGCCACATCTGCGCCGCGCAGGACGTCGTACGCGAGCCCGAGCGTCACGCGCCCGTCCGCGCGCAGCTCCGGGGCGAGCGAGGTGAGCGCGTCGAGCTGCCACGCGCGCGCGGCGGCGTCGTCCGCGAACTCCATCGAAGGGTACAGGCGCGTGGGCGCGGACTGCCGCGCGGGGGCCCAGACGACGCGCGCGCCGGACTCGAGCGTGGCGGCGAGCGCGGCGTCGAGGTGCGCGCGCGTGTTCGCGGCGTGGAAGTGGTCGAGGAGGGTGGTGACGCCGTTGTGGAGGGCGTCGAGGCAGCCGGCGAGGGTGCCGATGCGGACCTCGTCCGGAGTGAGGTCGCCCTGGACGGTCCTGTAGAGTGCGACGGTCGGGCGTCGTGCTCGAACGTGGATGGAGAGCTGCGCGGAGGGACGCACCAGGACTCCTTGATGAAGTATTCGGTCAGCAGCCAGCTGCGGCGTGAATGTGATGTCAGGGTGGGCTCGAGAATGGCGGCGGCGGCGTTCCAGTGCTCACTCGCAATGGTTGCCGCGCATGACGGCCATGAAGACATGGCTTTAGAAGGACGTCCGGAGTCAGCATGCCAGCAAGGTTTCGAGGAACACCTGTCGCGTACCGGTGCGTGTCCACGAAACCCGGAGTAATCCACTTGTCTGTACAGTCAATGACCTCCACGCCAGCCTCGGGTGCCATGTTCTCCTCGATCTTGGT